CAATTCTCCAGAGCAACCATTGACGGGCCTTTTCCTGTAATTGCGGAACACTAGGGAAAGAAGAAAGAAAAGGACGGGAATTATAGGGGTTAATCAATTAAAGAAATAAAAAAAATAATTAGATACTCTCTCCAACAACTCTCGTTCTCCACTTGGAATCCCCTTTTGTTTTTTGTCTAATCTGCGGGGGCTCAGCTGATGCACTTTACTCCTGAACTCCAAAGGCTAGTTACAGTAGCCAACGGGAGCGACCGACATTACACCGATCCGATATTCTCCTGGGACGAAATTTTGGCTTGTCAGAAGATAATTGTCTTTCATCGAGGGTTCACCAGTCTCACCATGGCCTCAGTATCGAAGAACGACGTCGGTGGAATTGAATGACATCATGAAGACGTGCGACTCGGAGAGCTCGACTAGTCCCAATAAACTGCCCCTTCCAATGCGGCGGTATGACGGTCCGGTGTATCAGTCATACAGTACCATTCTTACCATTGATACCATCCAGAGGTTGGCAGATTAATTACACCAATACCAAGATAAACAATACCATACCAGTCACACCGTTGCGTATTCCGTACTCCGTTGAAGGTTCTGGCATGTCCAATTATATCACCAACCTTAACTCTCAGACAGTTTGAAAGCTTGAGCTAATGAGAAAGCCAGGGGGGTGGAATCAGAAAGTTACGGCCACTCACCGCTCAAGAATCAGGGGTACGACTCACATTCTCCAGACCGAGGGATGGCAAAAAACAGTCCTCCATAGGGAAAGTATAATCTCCATCGAATCGCCTCCCCCTGATGGGTCTGATCTTCAGGAGAGAAGGGGGGTTGTCATCTCCATTCCACTGAGCTTTTTTGCCTCCTCCTGGGCAAATTTCCCGACTTGCCTTTGCCGAGATAGTCTTTGCGACAGATTGGTTTGGGAATCTTGGATGAAGAATTCTTGACCCGGCGCCATGGTCCCTACTATACAAGGTGTGGCTGTTGGTATTCCGTAGGGATCGTCAAGGGGATCTCGGGATTTGCGATTGGAGTTGTGAGGATACATTTGATACACTTTTTTGATCTCTGACCCTACTACGACGAAAATATGAGGTGGTAATATTATGTGCCGTGTGTTATGTGCAGAGTATACTCCTCCGCAGGCGCAGAAAAACTAGAGATGCAGAGCTAAATCCTTCGACGAACAATTGACAGGCACCACGCATTACATCCATGTCTTTTTCCAACCAAATCAGACCCAACGGGATGGAACCGTTGCGCCTCGTTCGGCGGGGCGGTGCCATTGAATCCTCTGTCATTCTCTCTCTTTTACCCGTCAGCCTAGTATCCCTCTGTGGACAGCGACTGGCTCAAGGGCTCCTTCTCATTCAAGCGCCTGGATGCCCACCCAATCGGCGTGCTGCGCATTCTCACCAACAACACTCTCCTTCTGGACACGGAATAGACGGCACACATTTCATTTTCCACCGAACGCTGTTTCGCATGCTCGGTTGCTCGGCGAGTCCACTTTCACTACGACACTACAGTGACTACGCCCGTGACGGCGACTTGGATACCCGTGTCTGCCTGATACATGTATATCCCGGAGGACAACTAACTACTGCAACAGGGAGGTCGTTTGCAATGTGATACGCCAATCCAACGCATCATCTCATTCACTTCTCCAGTCTCACTCTGCAGCCCCCGGCTCAGCCCCCGTATTCGGTTCGCGTCCTTCGATGCGTCTTCGATGCGATGCTTGATATACTCCCGCGTATCCACGACCCCACCTCTCAGCCTTTTCATGCAAGATGCAAGAGGGTCATCCTCCAGACCGGCTACTATGCAGCATCCCGTTTATCAATAGGATGTCTTAGTTCGATATCTAATTGCGTGGTGGCTGGACTACGACCCTCCGCAGGCTGAATTGCAATCTCCGGCGGGCATTGCTCAACCTCATCATGAAAACATGGCATGTGACTCCGCTGGGAATTTTTTGTCCACGAAGGACTATACGCCCCCTTTACCAGGGCCTGTTCGTGCGACACTGCACGGGCAATTATTGGGGAAGAAGGTAAATAGTTCGCGCCGATGGTGCAACCACCTTGATTCTCGTGACGTCTGTCAGTCGCGTTTGATATGACGTCCGTTTCGACATCGATGTTATCAGTTTCGACGGCGGTCCTTGGCATGTCCCCTTCACCGCTGACCTGCGTCTGCATTCTGATGCAGCGCCGAATCTAGTTGCCTGATTTAACCACCGAGGCGGGGCTGCGTGGAAACATGAAAGGCGACCGAGCCTACACCGTACGACTACGTTTATTTCGAAGATACAGTGAGACGAAGCAAGCAGTTTTCCAAGAGCACCCCATCTAGGCAATGTCGCATGATTCCACTGTCTAGACCCGAAACTCCCCAACACCGTGGCGCAGGCGCCAGGGCTGAACTTCGAGGACCCCATGGTGCGACAGGGGATCTCTCTAACAGACCCAAAATTATGGACCCAGCAACCTCACACCTTAGGTAAAGAAGCGGCTCAGTCGGGTTTTCAGCCTCGTAAATTGATGTGGGACCGGCATCGTGTTGTGTGCCGTTTGACCTTCTCAGGTCTCAGGGTATGCCTGCGCGATACGTCTAAAGAACTGGGATACTATACATCCCGCAAGCCAGGCGGAGCTCGAGTTCAATTCATTAAGCCTTGCGACCAGGCTGTTCTAGCCGAGCGCGCAGATCTCCCAATTTGATGTCGGCAGTCTAATATATGTAAGTTATCACGGGAGATTTGCGACGTTTCAAGTCCATGCCGCGCACGGCACATCGAAAGGTTCGAGAACATGATCTATCTGAAGCACAATCTCGCACTGAACCACGATCCACGATCTGCTAGTAATTGTCGAGTTACTTACAATTTCACTAGCACTGATGAGCCCTTGCGTGGATTACCATGTACTGTAACTTGCCAGCGACCATATTGACTTGCTAGTTTCGATGCCCGCCAAGCGCGGAAGAACAGTTTGTGACTGACCCATCGTGGATCTGGGGCTGAAAACCGAGTGGATGCCGCCTCTAAGGCTGGCCCACATCCACTGGGAACCTCGCTGTGGACAACGTGGCTTCCAGAATGCCTATCGAAGAATCGGCCTCCATCTTACTTGCAGGAACGGCTACCATCGTTGATAAAGACGTCAGAATGCATCGCCCACCACCAAGTTAGTACATGTGTTGCATTTCAGCTGGCCCCAATCCTGGTTTTTTCGTGTGTCAAGACAGAACACTTTCTATCCGGCGTCAGCTACGGAGTATGCTTTGAATCGGTACGCACACGGCACGGGTCGAGCGGATGCCCGATGGCCGTTAATATTCCCACTGCTCAACCGCAGTCTTGGCACTCGCTTGCTCCCGGCGGAAAGGGCAAAACAGGAAAAAACACGAGTTGTGGCCCCAAGCTTAGAGGGCCAACACAGCAGTGGGCCCCGTTTCTGAGACAGGTTTTCTCTAATAACCTAATGGGGTCCCCTACTCTCAGGCAAAAATGCCAAGAGATACTGTAGTAACGTAGTAACCCCTCCAGTAAGTGGCCGGGAAATTATTTCCATTCCCTGCTGTCGGTATACGGGAATCGACACCACTACAACGGCAATTGTATCCCGATCGCGACTCTATTCTTAGTCTACACCCCCAGAGAATATTCATTATGAAGGAACCCCTGTCATTAACACTGTTATGGCATGCATTTACCCCCCTGTTTCTACCAGGCATTTTCCAAACGGGAGACCCGGTTGACTGGGCCGTGGGCATGAACTAAGCAAGGTCATAATTTAAGAGTTATCCCGTTATGTCGATGAGGCGCAATTCTTAGTGTATGTTGATACGTAATTTTAAATCTCACGTTAATAAAAAGTGAATAATATAAATAAGCCTGATCAATTGCAAATGAATGGTGGAATTACAATAAGCCCCCAATCTTACAAGTCCAAGTCCAAGGCTAAGCCTCACAATGAACAACGCATAGTTACCTACTCCAGTTCTCCATACTCTAAAAAGAAAAGTAAGAATTAAAAAAGAAAAAGAATAGAGAAGACCCTTCCCAGATCTCCGCGCTCCGCGGCTCTCCTGCCGTTGAGTACAAACTCCACTTTTCATCTTGTTATTCGTTTATTAATACTCCGTACTCGGTAGTGTTTCCAGAATTTCCATTTCCACGTTTCCCGTGTTTCCAACCTTACCAGTCCCCTATCATGATTTAGAACCCGCCGTGCAATCTATGCGAAACCCACGTATTCACAAATCACACATCGCACTCGCAGGCAACGAATTAGTGCGGGGTGGGCGGATCTCGCTGGATGGCTCGGATCACGCCGGTAATCAATTGACAATTCGTTCTTGAGGTTAGTATGTCGGTATGGAGGAAGTAATTACATACACTCTGTCGTATTATCTATGATTAATTTTGAGGCGTGAGGGTAGTGTCTAGGTAATAAAAAGTGAATTGCCATTTCCCTAAAGGGGGAGAGTATTCAATTTGTTCCATTAGGACACTCGGCAAGTGTCGAAGTGGTGCAGGATACGTTTTTCGAGTACGATAAGGGATTGGTTTATGGGTAAGACATTGTATTCTATATTTTGTCCCATTCCATGCAAGTTTCTCACCAGAATCGAGTGCTATCTCGGTACCACGGCATAGCCAAAGAGTTACAATTCGGCTAGTAACTTTTCAGGGCTGCTTGGCGGCCTCGGGCATACGAAGGTCGTTCCATGGTTGCTGATTACCGGTTGCGGGGGAGTTGCATGTGGAGATAAGCAGATCTCGATATGATATTCGTAGTAAACTCGAAGGGAAATAGATTCAAATAGGGTTGTTGCTGTATGGTTGAATGTAGCAGGTTCATGCTGCAAAAGAGAGTAGAGTAGGAGAGTTATATGCAGCAAGGGTAGTTAGTAACTTCCACGTTATCTATCATCCCACATCCTCTCCCCGCATTCCAATCCAAACTGGTAGACACTCAAAATCAACCATGATATACCTCTCCGCGCCAGTTGATAGTGATTTTACTAAGGCGCTGCCAAAGATCGAGGTAGAATCTACCATCACACTATCTATCTCCGTCTAAGCAACCTCAAGCTAATCACCCCGCACCCAGGTACACGCCCATCTAAGTGGCAGCATCAGTCGCCAATGTCTCCACGAGATCTGGAAACGCAAGAAGCAGAATGACCCCAATTTCCCCATCGAGGATCCGCTGGTCCTCATGCCCCCAGGCAAAGTCGACTACACTCTTCAAACGTAAAGCATTCAATTCAACACCCTCTACCGTCGAGTCTCCAGTAACTAACCCCGCACCACCAGCTTCTTCCAAGTCTTTTCCAAGCTTATCTACCAACTTTGCGACGACTTGGAAAGTCTCAGATACGCGACAAACTCCGTCCTCGAGTCTTTCCTCAACGATGGAGTCCGATACCTCGAGCTACGCACTATCCCCCGCGCATCGCCAGCATCCAACATAACCCGGGAAAGATATCTAAATACCATCCTCGATACGATTGCCCAGTTTCACTCCAAGGATAAAATGTCCGTATTCCTCATCCTAGCCCTGGACCGCGGTAACACGACTCCCGCTGAAGCTATGGAAATCATCGACCTCGCTATCGCCAATAAAGCGCGCGGCGTCGTCGGCGTCGATCTATGCGGCAACCCGACGAAAGGAGATGTTACCATATACCGCGATGCATTTGCACGAGCCAAAGCGAATGGATTGGGTATTACGCTGCATTTTGCAGAGTCCCCAGCGTCCGGGGATGTTAAGGAATTGGAGGCATTGCTTTCGTTCCAACCTGATCGGTTGGGTCATGTCATCCATGTTCCTGAGGACGTCAAGCGGGAGATTGCAAAGCGGAGGATTGGCTTGGAATTGTGCATGTCTTGTAATGTGCATGCAAAGTTGATTGAAGGGGGTTTTCTGGACCACCATTTTGGGGAGTGGAGAGGTCAGGAGTGTCCGATTGCGTTATGTGTAAGTGATTGCCTCTCCGAGGTTGCTTTATCTGTCTGATGCTGACTTATTCGGGATATTCTAGACGGATGACGTGGGCTTCTTTTGCAGTCCTGTCTCGAACGAGTATCTTCTTGCTGCGGAGCACTTTGGTGTTGATCGTGCGGAAATGCTGGGTATGTGTGAGAAATCGGTGGATATGATATTTGGTGGTGAACAAGAGAAGAAGAGACTTCGTGAGATTATATTACGATTCAAAGATGAACTATGAAGTACATCGCAAGAATACCATGTCCAACATTCTGCACTCAGTATCAAATCCTCCATTACTCCATCTCGTGTGGAGTTGCGCGAACTGGCCCAGTCGGTTGACCATGCCCCGCCAGCTCTGGTTTAACCCAAGGTGGTGGAGATTGTGACTGAGAAATATTTCCAACCTCCGGACTAAACTGTGTCATCGGTGTTTGGAGGGGGTACACAGGCGAGTATACGGACTGGTCAGCTTTGCGATATCCAAAGCAAGCAAGAATTTTCCGCCGGAGTAGTAGGGATATCAGTATCAGGATGCCAGCCAGAGATCCAACCACAATGCCTGCGATTGCGCCTGCTGATAGTGAAGAGCCACCACTGTCGCTCGAGAGTGGGCTGTCTGTGGGCGTGGCCGAGGACAAAGAGCCAGTGCTGGTCGGAGTGTATGTACCCGTTATCGTTCCGGCGTCTGTGTTCGGGGGCAGGGTAGAAGAGGGCGTGGCTTACGTTATGGGAAAGATAACGGTTAGCATAGAGATCACGTATGTATGGATTTTTTATTTGGACTCACCGGTAGTGGTTGTATTCAAGGTACGATAGAAGGTCTCTCCATACCAGTTGAAGAAGCAGTTATACTCCGTCCACGATGCGCTGATATCGCCCACTTTGTTGAAGACTTCCCTTGATCCGCATGTTCTCGTGGTATCACTAAGTTGCGAATGAAAGTGAGTATATTGTAGGTGGGAAAAACCCTTCAAAATTATTTCCATACCAAATTGAATTGTGCCCTGGGTACTCTATAATTTCATCGTTGTAGCAGCCAGTTGGGATCACAGATGAAGGTCCTGCCGTTGATCCACAGCCACCATAGTTGTTGTTCGTCGTCCAAGTGAGGGGGGAATCACAACTCTTCGGGTAAACTAAGAAGCTGTATTAGCACAGGTATCTTCCCAGTCAGTAGCATGGGGACAGTGGACCAACTTGTATTATCCAGGGTGGAGTATCCTATAAAGTCGTCTCCGGTCGTGTACGTTGCAGGGTTGAATGAATACATTCTTGAAACGAGTATCGAGCACACTTTCTGCGAGAGTACAGTATCCCACGCCGAGAAAAAAAGAACCGCAAAAATGAGAGAGAAAAGAGAAGGGGATCGCCAAGGGTTGATCAGTTTATCAGAAAAAAAGCGGACAGTTAAAAGCAGGGCAGCTCGACAAGACTCTTAAATATATGAATGCAGAGAATAGGGGCCCAAGGCCATCAAACAAGCAGAAGCCGACATTTTGCATCAATTCTGGCTGGAGGTTCTCGTATCATGAGGCTCCATGTAGTGATCTGACCTGTAAACCAAGCGCGACCCTGCATGGTCTTGCACGCCCAGCGACAATCCCAGTCCCCTAAGAAGATCGACCAGCTAATGCAATGCCGTATTCTTGACCAATGACTTTACGTCCATCATTAAGATCGACGCGTCCCATTTCCTTGTATATTTTCAGGCCGGACGGAAAAAGCAATTACTGCATGGTCAATGCAGCCAGAGAGACACTTTCGCCAATCAACCTCTCAAGACATCCCTCTACGAGTCTCTAGAATATTTTAAGATTTCTGATCAGTGTTTTAGTTGACAAATTATGTCGCACGCCCCGGCTTTTCTATCAATATTTTGTTCTTTACCCCGGGGAGGAGGTTGTCTCTTCTCGGGGAGGAAGTTGTGACTACTTACTACTTTGGGAAGGAGATTGTCAGTCATTGTCAGTTCCACTTGTAAATTTTTGTCAAGAAACTACATAGGGTATCATTATGGTATCAATTTTGTCGTAAACATGTAATCAGTGTCTGAACAACTCTCCCGTCAACCCTGCCATCTGAAACGCCCCTCCTTCAGAGTCTTCACAACCCCCAGAGGCATGAACTCCCGGTTCACAGCAGCCAGACTTCCATAGGTGCGCACCATCTCATCATGATACAGCTCTGCAACCCAGTGCCAGTAGGGAGTCATTTTATTCCAGACCGCCGAGATCGGGCCTGGCTTGATTGCCTTGCCCCTAGGTCCTTTCAGCCCCGTCTGATTCTTGGTGAAGCTCGCGGTGGCTGCCACACTCCGCTCCTCCGGCACCTCGATCAGCTTTTCGTATGCCTGCTGAAGGCACAAGCTGTATGTCTCGGGGTACCGTGTGTACTCCTCCAGCGACATGAATGGGAGGGCTTCGCCATTTTTGTCCTTCCAGGTCTTCAGGAAGTCCGAGCCCTGCTTCTCAAAGCGTCCCTTGGCCACGTGGTAGGCAGCTTCATCATAGAGGGCGGCCCTTTGGAGGAGTCTCTGGGGCGTCTGCTTGATGTTTTCACGCATGGCAAGGAGTCGGATGTACGGGTTCAGCAGTCCGAGACCTCCCAGTTCGACGGGGTAATAGAAGAATCCCTCGGGCAGGCCGTGAATGCCAAATCGTTCAGCAATGACAGAGCGCAGGTAGTTGGTGACGCTGGTTCCGTTCTCGGAAGTCATGTTGGAAGTTTTGCTGAAGAGAGTTCGCTCGATACGGCTCAGCGTCGAGACTGCCATGTCGATGTGATCGCGGCCAAAACACATGGCGGGTCTCGCAAAGTTGTTGGTGAAGAACCGCCCAAAGTATCCATTCCATGCCTGTACCCAGGTAAAGACACTCTTGCAAGATGAGAGCTGTCGGTCAAGCTCTTCGATATGCTGGTCCACCTGCGCCTGATCAATGACGAATCTGCCTTGGTCTGCATCGAGAATCAAGAAACCCCAGCGAATTTCGCCAGACGGGAGAACGGAATCCTTCCTGTCCCCAGATTGTCCCATGTGAACGGTGCCAGTCTTCTCCTCCTTAAATTTCAGGCCCATGACCCTGGCATACTGAGTCATCGCCACCCAGGCCGTCTCGCAGGTTTTCTCGGCACCCCAGAACCAGAAGTCATCGTGTAGGCGATACAAGACTCCACCATTGGTATGTTGATTGACCGAATAGTCCATACAGAACAGAACCGCTTCGCCAAAAACGTCTGAAAGAGTGTGGCTCATCGGGACGCCACGCTTTCGGATCTGGGTTGAGGTAGTGGGACCATCCTGAACAAACTTGAGCGGGGCCTCCAGGAACACCTTGAAAAAGTTCAACCACATCTCTGGGATGCCAAAGTATTCCAAGACTGTAAGAACTGTGACGTGAGGCAAAGAGGGGCCAAACCACTGGTAATCGGACCGGATTGCAGTAAAATCGCCGTGCCGATCTTTGTAGATCAGAGACTCAGTGATCAACAGATGGAGAAGTGAGTGCTTGGTATCCAACGCATTCTTGACCTGAGAGTTGTCGTCGTAGCTTCGAACACCCTCCTCGAGGGAAGTGGGCAGTTGACTCATGAAGTATTTGTCACCGTAGGTGCGCTTCCGAATCTGATTGATGCCAGAGTCACCAACATTTGTTGCCTTCCCAAGGAAGTACTTGCGTCTCTCAATATCTTCCTTTGGGATGTCCTCATGTACCGAAATCCATGCCTGCGAACTGAAAAAGTACTTGAACGCCAAGTGCAGCCGGACAGCCCATGTGGATCCTAGATACTGCAACAACAGGCTGTCGAGTAGGTCTTCGTCCATGAAAACGCGGTATTTACCGTTAAGTTGGCGGCGCATTTCGATCGGAATGCCGTCACTACCCCAGGACCAGCTGTCAAGGGACGCGAGACGCATATTGAGAACATCTGCCACCTCCTGCAAGACTTCTTTGTTGCGCATGAATTCCTTGAGAATAGTCGTTTTCTCGGCACTGAGCAGATCGGTCTTCATTAGCGCCTTGGACACCCATTGAAGCTCCTCGACGTCCAGCCACTCCCCCTTAGTTGCCAGTTCGGTGCCGAACCCGCGAAGGTTCTCACGAAGCTCCTTGAGTGCCTGACGGGACAACTTGGTCTTTTTGAATAATTCGTCGAGGTAAGCTTTGATGGCGTCTTCATTCACCTCGGTATCAGTCGTAAAGACCAGAGACTCCCACTGTGCACGCTGCTCATGCATCTCTGTCCGGCCCACATTTTCAAAGCCAGCGTCAGATTTGGCAGAAGCCGCATCATCTGTCTGGTCGACATCGGGAGATGCAGCCGCGTCGTCCAGGTTTGAAAGCCACTCGGTAACCAGCTTGCTGTAGAATGAAGCATGCTCATGCTTGAGCTCCAAAAAGCGTAGATCCTTTTCCAGTCGAGCAATCCAGTCATTCAAGGCAGAGTCCGAGATCGAAGGGTCATAACGGCCTTGGAGAAGGAATCGGCGAATATTGGTGTGGTCCGCTTGGTATAACTGACCCATACCTGGCGAGGTGACTTCCAAATCTTCCGAGTCATTGTCCGAAGAGCTGACCTCCAGATCCAAGTCGTCTTTATCGAGGGCGTCCTTGGGATATCCTTTCAGGCGGGAAAGGCCGTCTAAAAGAACGCGAGCTCGGGTACGCAGGTCGGGGGCAGCATCTGCAGCCGCGAGGATATCAGTTTTGCGTTTGTCGAATAGGACTCGCTGCTTGGACAGCTCGTTGATTTTGGTGGCAGTGATGGACTTGAGGGTCTGAGGGAGAGCCCCAGTGGAAGCCATGATGCCCGAGAGTGATGCCCGAGATAAACTTTGATAAGGATGAGGATGATGGTGATGGATGGTTGAAGGATGGATGTGGATGTTGGTTGTTAGTGATGAGGCGAGGGCAGTTTGCTCGGTTTAAATAGTGCCACCAAGCGGAGGGATGTGGGAGGTGGCAGTTTCCTTGTGGAAAATGACTCAATTGAAGCCCACAACCCAGCAAATCAACAAGCAAACACAACGACACCGGAGAATTCCATGATCAAATGTTTGCGGCGGGCAACCAAATGATGTTAGTTCTGTGGAGTTTAGCTTTACAGCCTCATGAGTCCCCACCATCGGCATCCTCATCGGGTAAAGCGGGTTCGACTAGTTCCCTTCTAGGTGAACAGCCTACATCCTGTAGACTTTTGTACTACCCCTGTAATACAGCTATCACTCAAATTAAGATACTAGCTTATAACAGAGTTACTGCTCACTAGGGTGGCTTCGGGGAATTTCCCTCGATCCCCGCTCCAACCCAGCGTTACGATGTAGCACAGAAACGGCAGTTCATCTCCGACTCGAAGACGGGAAGATCAATATTGACAACAGACACATTGAGGATAACCATAAGATGCATGCAAAACTAGAATACTCAATACTTGGCTATCGTTTTTCTAATGATGTACCTAGGTCGTATCAGAACGATTTGAAATTGGCTTCATGAGCGGCATGGTAATCAAATATGCGATTGGTACGATATAAGAACCCAGAACTAACTAGACCATCCAACAAACATGAAATCTAGGGAATGGCACTTGATGTCTCCCGTAATAAAGAAGGACTTCGTAGCATTAGCATTTTATCCAGTAGTATCGCCAACGAATTGAAAGTGCTCAAGAAGTGCTCTCCTATTTCACGCTTCCAAATGCACCAATCACCATCTTGAACTATACTCGTATAGTGAGTCTCTTCTCCCGGGCTCCTAGAAACCACTCCCGGGCCAAGGGATGGCACAGAGAGACTTTCTACTGTGTGCGTGGACAAATACTCCATAGCATCCTTTGCAAGTACGGGGGCTCAATCTCTTCCTTGACTGAAAGTAATTGTTTAGGTATCGAATTAGAACATAGGAAGCCCACAACTATTAAGAGATTTATTCTAGTATCCGCCATTCTAGAGCTAAAATACCCGCCAGTCTAGATTGAGCAAAATCAGCAACAGGCTTCCCGACCAACGAAATCCGTAGTATTCAGCTTGAGATCTCTAGAACTCATATGCTAGGAAGCGGACATAGGTATGAATATTCTCACTATTACCTTGGAGATCTCCTACGAGCAATTTTCCCGCTATGTGGCAAGTCATCCCAGGTTACGTAGCATCGACGCTACCATGTACGATGAAGTATACAAAGAAAGATTAGCCACCAGAACTATTGAACCAGGATTAGGAAGGGCTTGATGCCATAACGATACGAAGAATCATTCCAGAGGCCCGTTTTAGTATAGTACCAGTTGATGATTCCTTAGGGCTGGTTTTCGGGTGATCTCGCCGCTTTGTATCAAGCCGGTGGCCAGCAACTCGTAAAGCCTAGACCGAATCTTTTTCTTGAAACTGGTCAAATTTGGGCTAGTAGCAATCTATCTCCGCAACAATCGCTGGATGTAGTCAAGTATGAAGTGCAAAGTCTGGGTTTCGTGATGGTAACCACGGATAGACATCGCCGCACTTCCAAGTCGAGGAAAGTACCAGTCGGTCCTAATTAGGGCCTTACTATTCCTCAACGAGACATTCTGACCTATTTTGGAAGTATGGGCTTCTCGTAAAGGGAATAGTAGTTCTGCGAGCTTTTCCTTCATTAGCTTGACAAGTTCTCTCCCAACTTTTCATTCTGTATCTTCTCCAAAGCACCTCCCACCTGGCGATCTCTCACCAAAACGTCACACATCTTTTATCTAACATTTTGAATACCTCTCAGAGGTCACTGGCGTAAGCTTTATACAGCTCTCCATGCCTTATTCCTCTTCCTCAACAACTCTATATATCAACCTATATACTGAGGAAACTCGCCATGTCCGCCTTTTCAGCCATCCACTCTCACGCACCAGCCGCCTTCAACTGGCTTGATGCTATGTCTGCAGACAAAACATTCTTTGATCCAAGGTAAGTAAAGTCTATGCTTTTATTATCGACTGTACTGACACATCCATAAGAACCAGTGATCTTCACCGGTTCCCTCTTCCCTCCCGAGGTCCATCTTACCCAATGGATGACCTCGATGTCACTGTCCCAGCACTGGTTGCTCCAACGCCTATCAAGTCATCAGTGACTACCTGGGTTAAAAAGAGCATGGGCACCTGGGAGACCGAAGGCTTTGAGCCCCTCTCCGACGACGACATCGAGCTTCACGCCGATGTCAATGACGACAACGACAGCCTCGAGGGTATCGAGCTTAAGCAACTCCAACTGGAGGTCTTACCTCCATACCCCAAACAGTTCGCAGGCAACTCACTGCTCAGCCTGCACGACCAAATCCAGTCGCCCCGGAAGCAACATCACTCTTCCTCGCGACTCTCAATTCAACGAATTCGCTCGGTTCCACACGCCGAGATGTACGAATATGCGCCGCCCGAGGAGCCTATTCTCTATCACCCAATTCTCATCGACCCAGTCGTTGAGCCCTCTGCTTACGCCTTTTCGGACTCGTCATCGTCCATGGCTAGCTCGGTGGAGGCAAACACCCAAAATGTTGGAAAATTGATTGCCAACAAGGTTCGGAAAGCGGCAGCCCACGGCGCCGCGACTTGTCGAACATTGAGAAAGAAGTTGAGCTTTTGAGGAGGATGGAAAGGGAAGGAAATGGGTTTGGGGGAACTCTTATGATGGACTGATTTATGTATATCCAGGTTCACGTCATTACCCTGGATATTTTTCAGTATGATGGTTTTGGGTATACTATAGTTTCATGTTGCGATAATCTCATGTACATTAACTTACAATCAAATACGGAGCTATTCAAGCATTCAAAGCCCTGAAATCCCAGTTCCCACTGAGAACTTCTTCGTCGCTGATTTGAAGTATAAAAGGCGGTCGGCCTACTTGCCATCGGCCGAGTTGCCTATTCTGCCGTAACGCCAACATGCAATTGCGCCCCGACATCAACACCGCATCCCTCATTAGCCCCCCCCCCCCCCAAATCTCCAATCCCCGTTAACTACAAGATGGATCCTTTCTCAGCAGAGGGCGGTAAGCTACTTGGAATATCTGCAGACCCTCTATCAATCCACTGACACCCTTCCCAGAGCTCCTCAACATTCACAATGCTTTCCACTCCGGCCAATACCAGACCGTGATCGACTTCGACACTGCCGCCCTCTCCCCCGAGAACCAACTCCCCGCCCGTGTGCTCAAGCTCCGCGCTCAGATTGCCCTTGGTCAGACTGAGGAGGTCATTGATGCCGTCTCCACCGAAGAGGATACCCCCGACCTCGCTGCCACCAAGGCTTTGGCCCAGCAGACCGCCGGCGACAGCGACGCCGCCCTTCAGCTCGCTCAAGACCTCGCCGAGAACTACCCCGAAAATGCCACCGTACAAGTCCTTGCCGGCACAGTGCTGCAGGCCAATGAGAACAGTGAGGAGGCTTTGGCGCTGTTGTCCAAGCACCAGGGTAACCTGGAGGCGTAGGTGTCCCTATGTTGCGATTCTGTGGGATCGGTCAGAGTACTAATGGGGTTCTGGGGAAATTTAGTGTCGCCTTGATTGTTCAGATTCATCTCCAGCAAAACCGCACCGATCTTGCCCTGAAGGAAGTCCAGGCCGCCAAGCGCTGGGCTCAGGACTCCCTGCTCGTCAACCTGGCCGAGTCCTGGGTTGGCATGCGAGTTGTACGTATACCGAGCACAATTTGGAGCCTTGTCCAACATTAAACTAACTGGGAGTTCCTTTCTTAGGGTGGCGAAAAGTACCAATCCGCTTTCTACGTCTACGAAGAGCTCGCCTCTGCCCCCAGCACCTCCGCCGCCCTCTCCATTGTCGGCCAAGCCGTGGCCGAACTCCATCTCGGTCGTCTCCCCGAAGCCGAGGCCGCTCTCACCACCGCCCTGGAGCAATATCCCGATAACGCAGAGTTGATTGCCAACACCATCGTATTGAACGTGTTGGCGAGCAAGCCCAGCGCAGACCTGGAGGCGTACGTAACGTCTTTCCCAGTTCAATGATGGCTATGCTAACTTCATAACTTTATAGCCGACTACAACAGGTGCAGCCCTCCCACGCCCTCCTCGCCGACATTCAGGAGAAGAGCGAATTCTTCGACGCCGCGGCGGCCAAGTACTCGCCGAAGGTGTCCTCGTAGACGAATAGATTGTTTGAGGAGATGTATTTGGAAAGTGCTATCTTTGTTTCTTGCGAAGCCTGTTATTTGGAGCCAGGTGCATGAGTACCCTGCGTTGTTATGAGTTGACATGACCCCTGCTTATTGTAGAGCAATTACTGGCAACATCCTGTTTTTCATTATTTTACCGTGCCAACTGGGCCGAGTGATTTTCAAAATACATAATATATGCTCTATAGAGAATGAGAATGTTGGTCATGTATCCAAACCTTGCGTTGTCGTGGCAGGTTGATGGTAATACCGTACGGCTTCAGAGCTGCTTAACTGGAAGGGAAAATCTTGCGATAGAAGCAATCGGTGCTGACTGACTTCATCGTCACCTCTCACCTCACCAGATTTAGATTTAGTACTAACAGTAGGGAACACGAGGGGAATTAACAGAACGAACAGGACCGATCTTGGCATCGGCCTCTACATGATCTTATCAGGGCTAGACCGAATATTATCGCCGGTTGTCAAATATGAAACGTGTGTATTAACTCCTGAAATATCCCATGTTATGTGCATTGGGCCCATCAATCCATCGAGACAAGCATGGCCCTGAATCAGACATCTTCTCCTCAAGTTGAGCTCACAGACGAGAAGCAATCCATTGTCGTAGCTCTCTGCTGGTCTGTGTACCATCCTTTGAGCCTGCTTCGACATACAAGTGTGCATCATGAGACTCGTCGTATCCAACGACGAACGTAGTATTCGGGAAAGCCGACTGCCAAATACATTAGCAACAGACCACAGCAACGATATCAACCCAGCCAGGACTAAACGTACCTTGACCTTCTTCGCAAAAGACTCAATAGGACCCAGCAAAAGCTCATCACCACCGGCCAACAGCAAGATCTGCTCCGTCTTCGCGTCCTGCCACCACTCGACCGGCGCACGATCCGGCTCACTCCAACTATCGCCCTGCTTCCCATCCAGATAAGCATTCGACCACCTCAACAGCGCCTGATCAGTAAGAACATCCCGATAAACATTCTCCTTGAACGAGGGCCAATCATGGCTGAAATTAATCCACGGCGCATACCCAAACACGCCCGCCAGTGGACTCGACAAGGTAACCGGATCAATATCAGGATGCGGGTGGGACAGGTGCAGCAGCACCGCCATGGCAAGGTTACCACCAGCCGAGTCACCGCCGACAATCACGTTAGACGGAGCTCGTCCGGCGTCGGTGAGGATGTATTGGAGTGCACCGACGGACTGGCGCAGTTGGGTTGGGTAGACTTCGTGCGGGGTGAGTGTGTACCGTGGGAAAAACACGGCGATGTCGTGACCGTTCTCGTTGATGACTTGGAGGAGGTCGAGCCAGAAATCAAAGTGTGTGGCGCCGGCAGCCATGGCGAAGCCACCTCCTGTGGTTGCACAGAGTTTAGATTAATCTTTCGGCTTGGAAGGTCTCCCCGATGGAGATCGGGTTACACGTGTACACGGTAAATATGGAGGATTGGGAGGGAGAGATAGACGTACCGTGATAGTAAATAATCACGTTCTTTGCATTCTTGTTGCCCAGCCAGTATCCCTCGGTGTCGTGAGGGAGCTCGACTACCTCGGGCTGGAGGCCTCTGCGCTGCATCACGGCATGGTATGTCTGCGGCGTAGTCGGGTCGAGATATCTATACAACGATGAACCTGTCAGCTTTAATTCTCAGGTCTTTAGGTACCGGACGCTTATTCTGCGACAGTCCCAAGTCAACTATCGAAACAAAAAAGAAAACAAAAACATACTGCTTCTGACGAATAGAGATCCGATTAATCATCCCGCGAATAGCGGCCGCAGTAACATGGTGGCTATACTTCCTGGGACTGGCTTTTCCACGGAAAAGCCCCGTAATAGCAGCATACAAAGCCTGGACAACCACGGAAGCCTGGATGAAGGGGAGATCTGCCTTCTCCCAGAACCCTAACTGGGGCACCTGCACGACCTTGGAACCAGGCATGATGACTTGCAAGATACTTTCTCAGGCAAACGGGTTGAGAATCACGTTCAATGGAGAGGGTTTCTCCTGTAGTAAATCTAAAAAAGAAGGGATTGAGTCCAGTCGTCAAAGCGTTTGCGCTTTTTCTTTCTGATGATTCCCCGCTTTTCTGGAGCTGCAGAATCTCCACCTTTTGCCTCGGTCTCGGCTGCTTCCCTGTGGGGCCGCCTAAATGCCGGCGATGAGGCACATTCTCGATTTATCTGTGATAATGGGGATAACCTTAAGCTGTAGCTCGTAGCACCTCGTTTAATGGACCGGAGAGACTTCGGCCCATCCAGCTTCCCCGAAGCTGTGACGAAGTCTCTTGAAGGAGAGCGAGCTACAGGCCAGGTCAGATTTAAAACCAATCCCCGCAATATTAGGAGCCCAAGAGTCGGAATGGATTATGCCATCCATCCCGTCCGGATCCGGTGGAAGTACTGCGCGCCTGGCATTAAGGTCTACGTGATTTGCAAGCCTTCGGTGTATTGGCCGCCCGTAGAAGTGAACTTGCAGGTGGTTGGTATTTGAGAGTGTAGAGCCTCGTGTATTGTATGTGGTCAGTCATTGTCAGACCTACTTATAGCGCAGCTACAAACATCAACCTCATTACATCCAACTTTCGACGAGATATATCACAGGTTCGCACTCACACTGGCACGGCCTATTGATAGTCCCGAATTAGAAGACGGAGCGCTAGTGTCCATTGACCATATCCTCCTTACCAGTCAGCTCGCAGAATGCCTTGTACGTCGTGAAAACATCATCGTCACCCTCTCCACTGCCAGTGTTCTCAATAATGCACTCGGCAGTAGCTCCAACGAAGAAAACGTAGCCCTCCTTGACCTCCTCGGTCTTGTTACCGACGGTAATCCGGCCCTTGCCACCAGTGCAGATGATAATGCTGGGACCATCCGCTGGGTCAAAGGTCACCTTGGCGCCCGTGCGGTTCAAATCCGTCTTGACAACGCTGAACTCCTCAATTGGAGGGTCGTACAGCATGCAAGAGGAAGCGCTCGAGTACGCGGTCGCGTTGAGGATAGCATATGGATAGTCGGTGGGCGCGAGCTTCTGCTCCTCGATCGGGGCATATGAGTACGTCAACATCTTGGTCAGAGTATCGACGTCCTTGAACTTTGGTGTGAAGCCAGCGCGGACGACGTTATCAGACGAGGCCATGCACTCGATGATATCTCCCGAGACATAGGCGTGAATGTCGTCGGCCTTCAAGAACATGGCCTCACCGGGGGACAGCTTGATGAAGTTGAGGAAGAAGAAGACGAACGAGCCAATGTCGTTGGGGAATTGTCCATCCAGTCGACGGATAATGGCAGCCAACTCATCCGGGTTGGTAGGGTTGGTCGCAACTTCGCCAGGCAGGGTGCCAAAGCTAGCAGGCGAGTTTTCTGCCAGAGAAACAAGCTCTTTTGAAGCAGCCTCAATATTCTCCGATGTAGACTCCATCAGCGTGGTGAACAATGAGCGAAGCGCATCCTTGTTCCGCTGCACAACCGCCTCATTATCCGACTCCTCGTTGCCCTTGACAATCTCTTCAAAGTCGCTGGCGGCGCGAGAGCCGACAAGCTTGCGAAGGGGCTCAATAGCCTGGAGGAAGTGGGTGATCTCGGCCAAGGGGCGGAAGCCGCAAAGACCTTCAAACGGCGTAATGGCAATGGTCATCTCGGGCTTGTGGTTATCATCTGCGAGTTGGAAGACTGGGTCAGCTACATCTTTAAATCAATTAGATCCCACCAATATCCACGCATACCAGGGTAGTTGCGCGGGTCTCGAGCATGGAGCTGCTCGGCCAGCTTCTTGTTGGGGTGGGCCTGAATGCTCAGGGCCTTGCGAATGGAGAGCACCTTGAAGAGGAATGGTAGCCGTCCGCCATAGCGTTCAGTGATTGCCGTTGACATCAACGCCTGGTTATCTTGAACGAGATCGAGAAGTGTCCGCTGGGTCTCGACGTCCTTGGAAGGTAGAGAGGGGTGAGTGCCCATCCAGAGCTGTGACGTCGGTCAGCATGTCCACCTCTGCATTTATTGCACTCTTCTTAGAGCACCGTAAAGAGCAAACTCATACCTCCGCATAGGGCTTCTCAGCCTCAATCGCAAAATCCGGGGCCGCCGTCGTGGCCGCATAGCGGGCTGCTGCCGACTCTTGGCCGACCTTGCCTATGACGAAGGTTAGTGCGGGGCATTCAATGAGTATTGATCCAAACTTACCCCAATCGTAGCTGTTGACGCCTAGAAAGAGGAGAATTAGCAAATGCGCGTACAATTAAAAGAATTCGGGACCTACCGCACTGCAGCCGAAGCAATGGAATCTGCATTTTTGGAGAATGTGTTTTGGGGAAAAAGATGAGGGGCGTGTAACTGGTTTTCTATTACGCAGAATGTCCCCGCCAAGACTCTCGGTGAGGGCGATTCAACCAAGGGTCCGTGGCCAACAAGGGTTTCTGCAAGGACTGTACCGACAAAGAATACTCAAAGAGGAAGTCCTGATTGATCTAGTTTTATACCGACGAAATTGAACGACCCAAACATCCCAATTCGGACATTCTCAACACGTGCTCGATTCCAGTTTCCGCAACCGTCTAGTCACAGCTCCCCTCTATAGTCCTCTTACCGCATTCGGATTTAAGCTTAATAGAAGCAAATACAATGCTTGGCCTTTGAATTTGTGCTATACCATATGAAAAGAAATTTAGATACAGATCGCTTAGTACTCACTGTAGACCAGAATGATCTGTAAGACGCGATTATTCCGCGACGCCAAGATTTAGACGCGCGGGTAGCCGACCGCCCTGGGCTTATCGCCGTCGCATCTCTCCGCCTCCCCCAGCTCAACTAGAAGTCTATCCCCTCTCCGCATTGCGAGCTCGTTCGCTTCTATCGGTGCTTGACATACTTGACGCATCTGACAATATATTTGATCAGACGAAACTATGTCTCGAAATCGCCCACGCCCCCGCGACAATGGGCTTGGCAACAACGAGGAGATGGAGCTCTGGACCCGGATCTGCCAGGACATTCGCAAGTCCAAAGAGAAGTTTGACCAGCAAGCATCGCTGTCAGTGCAGATCAAGACATTGGTAGAGAAGATTACTCGCGAGGGCAACAGTAAGTATACCTGCTTATATGGCTTCCAGAGCTACATAGCTCCGCCCTTTGTCGATCGTCTCCCGTGCGGGGATGACGGCCATGTCCCCGAACACGAATGTATTGTCTTCTTGATTGACCGTAGCTAACCATCTTTCTTGCTTAGAACCAACAATGTCAGAACACGATCAACTCGACACATGGCTACGGCAAAGCCAGAAGTTCAGCGAAGAAGAGCGCTCGATCATGCAGGATGAGCCTTGCGACGTGATCAAGAACCTGGAGCTGCTGACTGCACTCCGCAAAGCATCAGAAGCAGAAGCTCCGCCAAATCGATCGTCCACCCTGAATAAGTCTCGCAAGAAGCGAAGCGAAATCGAGAGCTCGGCTACCGACTCACCCAGTGCTTCGGGTGTGGACAAAGCCAGTCGTTCCAAGGGCGGAGTACCCCGAAGCACGAGTGTGTCTAGCAACCAAGCGCGCGATGGCCGGAGTGATGGGGTTGCAGTTAAGATTGAAGAAGGGTCTGAAGGGACGAAAGGCACTATGGCTGAGCGCAGCGGTCTGCTCGTAGTTGGAGCACTGGTCGTCTTCAAGCATAGCAAGAATAAACAGGGAGTAGAAGGCGAGGGCATTCAGTGCATCATCAAGAATATCTCAGGGGATGGGCATAAGAAACGGTGCGTTCATACTCTATTACAGTTATATGAACACCTGCAACTAACTCGGCTGGCCATAGATGGTACGATGTTCAAGACCCCGAGCCCAATGAAAATGGCGAGGAAGGTGCTGTCTTTAAGACTACTGCCTCATCTCTCATCCCTATCCCACACGCTGGTGCCCCCTTGCCTTCATTCCCCGTTGGTAAGCAGGTGCTTGCGCGATACCCCGACACCACCACTTTCTACCGGGCAGAGGTGATGGGTTCCAAGAAAGATACCTATCGCCTCAAGTTTGAAGGCGAGGAAGATGACAAGGAGATGGAAACCGAGCGACGCTTTGTACTGGACATTCCCAACAAATAGATTGGGTGGCCAGCGCCAGCAATAGTTCGATGATCTGATGTGATAATGATACCCTTAGCGAGGCGCTACTTGGAGTTTGAGGGATTCCCGGTGACTGAACGGGATACGTGCTGGTCCTGGGAATGACCTCTATGAATAAAGAAATGAAGATTACTGTTTAAACGAAGGTTTCTTCTATTTTAAAACTCCCTTATTTGACCGTCATGTAGTACTATAAACTCGTCTGCGGTTATCCGGCATCCAGACCGCGCTTATCGGGACCCTCGCATAAGCGATGGAAGCTGCTAGAGTAAGCACTGACACTGGAATGAGTCAGCCGCCCCTCATCCATCCGGGGCCGAGGGAATAATTGACGCCATGCGAGTTTCGGTGCCACCGCAATAATTCCGATTGATTTCCCTGGATGCCATTTTCTTCTTGAGCCCGATTCTTGACGAATTCAAATTGATCTCCGAGGTCCTCTCCGAAGTAACCCTCCTCCTCGCCAACCGTCGCAATGGCGAATCTCCCGGCTCACGCCTCTCCCAAACTCGCCCCGCATTCTCCTGTCCCGACCGGCCGACCAGACTCCCGGCTCGACGATGAGAGTCAGGGAAGTGGCCTCGCGACAGGCGAACAGACTCCTGCCCTGCCGAACTCGATTCTATCGCCCGCATTCACCCCACCCGCGACTCCCGGCGGCACATTGAACCTCACTTCCAACCCCACACAGTTCTTGCACGACAGCCAAGCAGCGAGTATTCGACACCAGGGAGAACACAAGAAAGCACCCAAATTGCTAGAGCAGTTGCCCAACGTGGAATGTATCGTTCGGGCCCGTATCCCCACCACCAACGGTGCGGAGATGTTCCTGCATCTTTACCACAATGACATTGATAATAAGGAGCACTTGGCTATCGTCTTTGGATGCAATATCCGCAGTCGTAGTTTGGATCGTGTTCGGCCCGGTGAAACGGAGATGGACCGCATGATCCGAGGTGCATATGTTGGCAAATTGCACCCCGGACGAACTAGCAGCTGGTACGATGATGACAAGAACACGGAATCGGCGTCGGGCTCACGCATGGAACCCCCGCTGGTTCGGATCCATTCGGAGTGTTATACGGGCGAGACGGCATGGTCAGCTCGATGCGACTGTGGTGAACAGTTGGACGAAGCTGCGCGATTGATGTCCTTCCCGGTCGAGGATCTTTCGTCGGATGCCCCGCCCGAGACACAGTCCTTGCGGTCACAATCTGCAGGAGGTGTGATTGTCTATCTACGACAGGAGGGCCGAGGCATTGGCTTGGGTGAGAAATTGAAGGCATACAATCTACAAGATCTAGGGTCCGACACTGTCGAGGCGAATCTCTTGCTGCGCCACCCGGCCGATGCCCGGAGCTATGGCTTGGCTACGGCGATGTTGATGGATCTTGGCTGCGGCGCAGATGTGAATCCGGACGGCGTACGCCTGCTTACGAATAACCCTGATAAGGTACGGGCGATCGAAGGCCCTAACCGTGAAGTGTTGGTAAAGGAGCGAGTTCCTATGATCCCCTTGGCCTGGCGGACAGGCGGGGAACGCGGGATCAAGAGTTCCGAGATTGAAGGGTACTTGAGAACGAAGGTTAGTTGTTTCGCCGAAGATACTCCTTTCCAACGAAGACGACAGGGGGGTTAATCGAAGGACCGTTGGACAATTGAATTATGTGCGCAGTTGGAATCACGTTTTGCTAACAGGGTTATTCTTCGGCAGATTTCCAAAATGGGCCATATGATCCAATAATCAATAGACTTGGCACTCTCATTAAGTTTCTTACCGGCTTCTCGTTTTCGTGTTGGGTGCGAGGGTTTGCCGACCTTCTTCAGTTTATCCCCAGGGAGTTTTGGTGGGCTCTTGATTCCTTTTTGTGCTTTTCATTATTTTTGGCAATGTTTTCGCATCCTTGTACACATGATCGACATGACCATTCTTTTTTTCCCTTCATTATTGTCATTATATTTCTTGCATAGTTCCGTTCGGATGAACCGGCCGTATACATGATCGTTTTTCTATGCGATAAGTGTATTTTGATGATGACCTACTGTACCTTTTGCATCGAAAGTATATGGAACATGTTGGTTTTTTAAGCTGGACCTCGTGCGTAACTCTAGAATTGACTTTTCAAATAATTGGAGCCCGCATGTCTCTTCCTCTGGGGAATGGAAGTGGAGCTCGTCGCGTGTCTGAGCCTCAGACTCCTAGACTCCGCAGATCATTGAATATTTCCATGACTCGTTGCAAATCGCGAGCGAGAGGAGTGCTGTGTTGGGGGAAGTGGCTACTGTACAGGAGGACCATGAACCTATGGCGAAGATGGTAATTAAAGTTATCATCCAAAGGGCAATCATTGATAATTCCGGAAAACGGTCGTTACAAGGTTGCGGGGAATGCCCGAGTCTCGACTTGCCGAAATCAAAGTCAACTGGGTAAAAGCTGACTCTGCAGGCCCCAAATCTTTGGAACCGACGCTCTCCTCAGGTTCGACCCACCCCCAACTCCAAACGTCCTCCCGGATGCCCGTTCCTGTGCTCGACTCGACTAGTCGACTCCTGCTGAGCCCCCTAATAATCCCTCATTCTCCCCCTTCTTCGTGGATGGCCGTCAATTGCGAGCTTTATGAGCGCGCGCGTGTATGAGGCGATGTCCAACCGCGCACTGGGCGGATCAATCAATTATGCGGCGCCTTCGCCGCCGATCGAGGCGATGATCGAGGGCGCCTCATATCCAACCACCACCATTCCTAAGACGGAGGATTCACCCGGTCCCTCCAGGTCGACTTCCTTGGGTGCAGAGGGCCTTATCACTGAGAATGTCGAGGGCAATGGGCCGACGACCGCAGGGCGGAAGCGCAAGCTGAATAGTACCTCGTCCAGAGGCGTGGCCAATCTCACCCCCGATCAATTGGCGAAGAAGCGTGCGAATGACCGACAGGCACAGCGTGCGATTCGTGAACGCACAAAGTCTCATATCGAGGCTCTAGAACAACAGGTTCGGGATCTTGCATCACAGAAACCGGTCCTAGACTTGCAGGCTGCACTACAGCACAATGAGCGCATCCGATCGGAGAATAGGGAGCTTCGCCAATCCCTGAAATCCGTCATGGATATGATACAACCCTTGCTAGCTAAACCAGAGGCTTCAGGTAGAATCCACCGCTATCTATGGAATTTGGGGACCTTGACTGACATCAACAGATCTAGCTTCCTTCCTCACCCAACCGAGATCGGTCCCGCCAGTATCGCATACCCCTCCTTTCCCCGAGACCGACCCCATAAACACAAGCAACCAGGCTACGACACAAGGCGATAGGTTATATGCCGAGTCTGTGACCAGTGTCGACACGCCCTCCCCCACACATTCTGGATCGGCTTCGGGCAGTCGACGAAATAGTCAAAATGGAACCCTCCAGCCAGCCTCATTTCGTGCTGCGCTGGACTCCCAACGGCATAATATTGCTCATGGGTTAGACCTGGGCATGGAGGAGCGGCTTGGATTCAATTTCCTTCTCGATCCTTCACAAAATGTCCCCAAAGTCGAGCGGCTGCGACGCACCAACTCAGAGAACTTCCGTTCCGCTCAACCCTCGCCAACGCCGCTCTTCATGCAGTCGCTGAACTATCCAGCCGGTCAAATACCGGCGTATGCAACTCCTATAAGAAATTCGGCACCGACATGTACCTTGGATAGCATACTGCTTGACTTCCTTCACAACCGGCAATGTGAAGCCGCGGAAGGGATTCCTCGACAGAAGCTCGTGGGACCACCTTACCCAAGTGTCTCTTCACTGCTGAACCCAGAGAAGAGTGCGCAATCACATCCTCTCTCCAAAGTCTTTACGGATATTCTGCGCACATTCCCAGATATCTCCGCTCTCCCTGTGCAGGTTGCCGTACTTTACACAATGTTCCTCTTGATGCGCTGGCAAATCTATCCCACGCAGGAGAACTACGATCGACTCCCCGAGTGGCTCACTCCACGTCCCACACAGCTTCTTGAAGCCCACCCCCCGTGGATGGATTACGTCCCATGGCCTCGAATGCGGGACCGGCTTGTAACGTCTCATCGGGACTATCCGTTTGAGAACTGGTTCATCCCATTCACACGGGGCATGGACGTGAATTGGCCATACGAAGCCACCGACTGCTTGTTATCGGCTGGTGACTCGGACGAACTTATCATCAACCCAGTCTTTGAACGGCACATGCGGAACATCAACAATTGGTCACTGGGTCCACTTTTTGCAGAGGCGTATCCTGGATTGGTAGACACTACGCGAATCAGACCGGAGCCGGGTAAACAGCCTTGCTCGACTCCGATATAGTTGGCCTTGGCGTTTGGGGGACCAAGCTGGACTCGGTCTGTTCTTTTGGGCATGTCGTTGTGAGACGGTGCATGGTGTTGGGCTTGATAAACTCTTTTAATGATGTTTCTTCCGATATGGAATTTATAAATGCTTCAATTAGCACGGATGGTTAGGATGGGTGGGGCAATTAGCGGGCTGGGGTTTTTGGTTTCTTTATATTTCGATGTTGATCATAAGGACAAAAGATACTTCAAAGAAAGTAATATCACTCTATTGTAGTGGTACACACATTTTTCGCAATCTAGCATAGGATATCTACTCTTGCCGACTCTTCTCATTCCAAAATGGAAGGCCAGCCTGCTGCCGCAAGGTTCCATACATGGAGCTGCTGTCGAGACACTCACCAGCATACTCACGAGCCGCCTCCATATTCTTGCGAGCCAGCTCAAGAGCAGGAAGTTTGACTCCCTGCTTCTCGGCCATCGACATAGCGTGCCTGGCATCCTTGATAGCAAGCGAGACGCCAAATCCGGGGCGAGCGTCCAAGGGTGGCGCATAGGCGCCAGTAGTCAATCTAGTCCACATTTAGTATCTGGTTTTCGCAGCGCATACGCTCCATAATACGTACCTCTTAGAATATCCACCGGCTACAGGACCGAAGGCCTCACCGATCAACTCTTCCATGGGGCCGGTTCCAAGGCCGGTCTTTTCAGCGAAAACCTGGGCTTCACCGACGGCTTCCATCATGTTCACAGTAACGATGTTTCTGCATGAATGTGTTAGCAAAAACCCCCATTTTCAGCACGCGCAGTATCCACAGTGAGAAACCATACCCAGCAATCTTCAACAATGAAGACTTTGTAGCATCTTCACCACACTCAATAACCTTCCGACCCATAACATCCTGAATAAGTGGCTTAACAACCTCAGTCGCACCCCTGGGACCACCAATAGCAAACACCAACTTCCCATCAACGGCAATAGGATTACCCCCAAACACGGGTGCCGCGACATACGAGGCTTCCTTGGCCTTGAGCTGAGCCACCGCCGAGCTAACAGTCTCGGGGTGAACGGTCGAGCAGTCTACAAAGATCTTGTCCTTGAGAGAATGGCCCGAGTCAACAGCTGATGAGATCAGACTTTGGAGGACTGTGTCGTTGGAGACCTGGGAATGATGTGATTAGAGAGGTACAACGTCGGGTTAGTGTTGACTGCGTGATGCGTACCATGGTGAAGATGATTCCACAGCGGGAGACTAGCTTGTCAAAGCTAGGCTCTGGGATACCACCTAGAGTCTGGAGGGGACTGCCGCGAGACATAGTGCGGTTGGTGTAGAGTAGGCTCAGGGCCTTTTTGGCGGCGAGGTGTCGCTGCAGGTTGTTGGCCATGGCGAGGCCCATGGACCCGAGGCCATACTGTTCATACGTTAGCTTTCGATTTTCGATGAAGAGTTGGACAAGTGGTATGCGGATGATTTAGATCTAACATACCCAGCCGATTTGTGTCATTGTGTCGTTGGCTCCTTGCTGGGTGCTTTGAGTCGGGAAGGGCCGGTGATGTGGAACTATCTTGCTGATGGTAAATCACCAGGATGGCTTCTGAGATCTGTTGGAGGAGCCCACACTGGTTTATTAAGCTTAATTGATACCTATCAATCAATTGATTAGTGTGTAGGAGTCCTTCTTGATGATTCAATGCAGAAGTGAAGAGGTGGAGCGTGTTCCTTACCCGAGGGGATCGGAATCGGCCGATAGGAGATGTAGACGTCTACTAAAGAGGCTAGTAGTTCTCTTACAGTTGATAACTAGAATGAATGAAGATCGGGCCGATAATATCCTCTCGGATGAGATTAGATTTGAGCACCCCGACTACCCCGAGTTTGTACTATTCCTAGGGTCTGATTGCCTGCGTGTCTGATAGGTGCAGGATAGCCGCCCACAGTAACTAGAGATGCTGCCTCAGGCTACCACTATGGCGGCTCAACAAATCCAACAAGCTCATCAAATTATTCATTCTATCTATTTGAGACGGACTTGGATTGCTCTGGAAATCCCTATAATAATGAGCCATTTACGTCTGGATTGACAATTGCTATTGACCCAGTCACGTTATGTAACGAGACTGACTTTATCCCCATTGCGCCCCAAATGCGGGGAGCGGAAGAGGTACGGTACGGTCACGTAAATAACGATGATGATGCCCAGGCGACAGTAACTCGACTTACCGACATCAACTCCAACCCCAACACCTCCACCTCCGCGCCCCCTCTTCCAATTGCCCTCGCCTTGGAGATAAGTGCTTATAACAACCTTCCACGGCGCTTGCTTTTCACATTCGTTCATCATGGCGGACGTGCCCATTGGTACCTCCCCTCACCCCAGCCGACCGCGTGTCTCTCCCAGTTCCCCAAGCTAACAGGCTGTAGTGCTCGACGGAGGAACCGGTTTCCTCAAGGTCGGATATGCTGGCCAGGTATGTCGCACACCGATTCATCACGATTGCAGTATCTAACTGACTCTTTCGCCTTCACTAGAACTTCCCAGAGCACCAGTTCCCCTCGATAGTGGGGCGGCCTATCTTGCGAACGGAGGAGCAGGCTGGCGACATTGTGGTCAAGGATATCATGTGTGGTGAGGAAGCTGCCGCCGCACGGTCGATGCTTCAGATCAGCTATCCGGTACGTGTGTCTTCGGATAGGACCCTCGTGGCCTCGCCTTTGAATACCCCGCCCCCTCCCTCTCGGCAGGACAGGCACGAGCGTGTTGCTGACAATGAACCCCTTGCGGGGATGGTTTAGATGGAGAATGGTATCGTCAAGAAGTGGGATGACATGCAACACCTGTGGAACTACACCTTTTACGACAAGTTGAAGATCGATCCTACGGGACGGAAGATCCTCCTTACGGAGCCACCGATGAACCCGCTCAAGAACCGTGAACAGATGGCCGAGGTCATGCTGGAGGGATACAACTTCGGAGGTGTTTATGTGGCGATCCAGGCGGTGCTGGCACTGTATGCCCAGGGTATGGAAGAATTGCCCCGGCGGGAAACACTTGCAGGTTGAGGTCGAAGTGCTGATTGTGTCGTGTCTAGGTCTGAGCAGTGGTGTTGTTGTCGACTCCGGTGACGGTGTGACACACATTATTCCCGTTTACGAGTCAACCGTGTTGAACCACCACATCAAGCGACTGGACGTTGCTGGTCGTGATGTCACCCGCAACCTGATTGCCCTTCTCCTGCGCCGCGGCTATGCGCTGAACCGAACCGCCGATTTCGAGACCGTCCGCCAGATCAAGGAGAAGCTTTGCTACGTTTCGTACGACCTCGAGCTGGACAAGAAGCTGTCCGAGGATACCACCGTCCTGGTGGAGTCCTACACCCTCCCCGACGGCCGTGTCATTCGTGTCGGCAGTGAGCGATTCGAGGCCCCCGAGTGTCTCTTCCAGCCTCACCTGGTGGATGTTGATCAGCCCGGTATGGCTGAGCTGCTCTTCAACACCATCCAAGGCACCGATGTCGATATTCGATCCAGTCTATACAAGGCTATTGTGCTTAGCGGTGGTAGCAGCATGTACCCTGGTCTGCCCTCGCGATTGGAGAAGGAGCTGAAGCAGCTCTGGCTCACCCGAGTCCTGGGTGGTAACCCAGAGCGCCTGAACGTATGTTTACGAAACTACGAGTCCGATCAAACTATTCGCCTTGTCAGAACTAACACAGCCACAGAAATTCAAGGTCCGCATCGAAGATCCCCCACGACGGAGGCACATGGTCTTCCTGGGTGGTGCTGTCCTCGCCAACCTGGTATGTTATTATCACCACATTCCTCTTTTCGTCAAATTAGAAGCTAATCCATGCAATAGATCGCCGACAAGGACGACATGTGGGTATCCAAGCAGGAGTGGGAAGAACAAGGTGCTCGCGCGCTGGCCAAGCTTGGCCCCCGGTAAAGGCAAAGCGATCTGTATTTAGGCGGTTTTTCTTATTGGTTTGATTCATTTCCTTCTGCTTCGCACTCTTCCCGCATTGTCTGCAAGCCGTGTCGCCCGATTTCTGCGTCCCGATTCTTTTTTTATCTCGCCCCTTGGCCGACCGTGTCGATATCCTTCCCGTCAATCACGTTTTCCCCCGTGTCTCCTGCCTCTGATATAGTATTGTGCCTAGACTTGGTGTGGGCGGATTCTGGGGCTTTGACAGAAAAGAAAGAAATATCCTATTGAAATGCTTGATCCTGATCCTTGTAGGGTAGGGTCTGGAGAAGTCTGTTGAAATAGATGGTTAATTCGTCGAATGTTGAAACGATAAGTCTGAGAGAAAGACCCAGTCGGATTTGATAATATCCTGCTATCAATCAAGTCGTCTGTACCACTATCCCAGAGTTCTTTAGATGTCCAATTGATTGACGGCAATATGCACAGGTCGATTTATTTAGTCTTTGACAAGTCATGAGGTAGACCAGCTTGTATGTCAAAGACAAAGAATCCATCTCAGTATATACGGGCGGGCTTATGATCGGCCCCCAAATTTCCACAGTCGAATACGACAAACCAAACTTTCTGCTCCAGATCCGGTACTCGATTACGCCAAGAAAGCGTATTCACCAGCTGGTTCATTCTAAAGCGTTATTCCAAATCCTCAGCGCAAGTGGGGCTGGGGGCCGCCGCTCAGCCTCGCAGCAGGATAGTCAAAAGCCCCGAGGAGAATTAGTTCTAAATCTCGTCGCAATCCTTGAAAAAGGGTCCTTAAGCCTTTGAGACGAATACGCTCGGAGCTTTTAGAGTAACGCCTACCGTATCAGTACGATCATACTTCCCTTTCCTATCGCCCCGCGCAAACGACTACATGCCTAGCGATACGACCCGATCGGATCTGCAAGCGACAGGTCTGAGAGTCCGAAGAGCACACGCAAAATCTAGGACTGGCTGCTTGAGATGCAAGCAGCAAAGAAAGAAGGTGGGTCATTATTCGGTTAGATGGGTTGGCTTCTTATGTTCTGATTGTATTCTCTAGTGCGACGAGTTGAGACCGAGCTGCTCCAGATGCGCCAAGCACAGCTATAGTTGTCGGTATCAAAACTCTGCAAGCCATTCTGCTTCATCGGATGAACACGACCTTCCAGTTAGGACGATTGTTACTCTGCAAGTCCCAGACTCGAGTCATGGATCTGCTTTTGATGGCTCCGAAGGGCCAATCACACCTACGGACGATCGTCTCTCAACTTCTAGCGCTTTGCATTACGCTTCTTCTCATACCTCTCCTCTTCCATATTCTCCAAATTCAAACAACTATGAAGATGAACAAACATCGATTTCGAGATCTCCAGGCTTCCTTGATACGAGAGAGCTCGATCTCTTGAGCCATTACCTGACACACACTAGCAAAACTATCCCATTCGATGCCCTGGATCTTTACGCTCTTTCCATAGGGATACCAAACCTCGCCTTTAAAAACAAACCAGTCATGTCATCTTTAATAGCTTTGGCAGCAGCTTGCAAGTCCCATGATATTGTCAAACGGTCCAAAACAGCTCTAGAAAGTCAGATGTTATTTGAGGTTCGGGAACTACTTGAACTTGCCGAGCGCCATCACAGGGCTTCTCTTCAACATATTCAAGCCACCGTATCTCACTCAAATTGGTACGACGAAGTCCTCGCCAATGCTGCGTTGATGGTATTATACGCCTCCGCAAGCCACTCCATCAGAGTACATCTCGCGGCTACTGCGAAACAGAAGGGCCAGCGGCTACCGGCTGAGCTGCTTCCACAGCACTCACAGTGGATCTCATTCACACGTGCAGCACATACAGCCTCCACTGCAATTCTCAAAGATGTCCTCAACGCTTCAAATAATACCCACTATGATGATATCGCGACACCGCCTTCTATACAAGGCTTTCCATGTATAGATTTGAGCAGCACGAATGTCTTGACGCCACAAAATGGTCCATCAGAGGAAACGGGGCGTCTATTTCTTCCCCTAGTCGCGTCCACGTATAATAGAGCTCTCGGAAGACTGTCAGAGAGAGCCGATTCCATATCGGCTCATGTTGGGAGAATAGCGTCTTTCAACTCCGACCTCCGAGACCTTGACGTATGCATGAAAACTTTACCTATCCTCGGCAAATGTGCATCCGCTGCCCTGACCCAAAAAGAAAATTTGGAAAGCCCCAAAGATCTTCAGCATGAAACCCCTTTATTTGATGGATCTTCCAAGGTCTCGCCCTGGGTGGGAAAATACATGATTAGTGTGACATCAATGAAAGCACCAAAGGCACTCCGACGAACCATAATGTCCTTTTTGAACGAAGCCCCTTCCGAGTACCTCAACATTATCCAGTCAATTCTGGATTTACCAATCACAGAGACGAGTCCAGCTGAGAATGGAATAGTGCGAGACTCGCCGAAGATTGAAATCCCTCCGCTTGATGCGACGCAACTATTGGCCATGGATATCTTCGCCCATTGGCTGGTTTTAGTCATGCTGTTGGATGGAGTGTGGTGGATTGGGGATATTGGACAATGGGAGTTAGGACAGGTTGTGTCATTGATGAAGACTCAGGAATTCTTTCATCAAGTAATGGATGATAAAGAGACGTGGTGGCCCCAGAGCATGTATATGGTTAAGCTAGAACTGGGAACATCTATCTAGAATTCTAGATCGGGAGATTCCTCGCAGTCTTCGCAACCCCGTCAAGCTTCGATTTTTCTGAAATCAGACAGAAATTTAGTTGGAAGCTGATAAAACAACTGCAGACTTGTTTTGAAAGAGCTCGTACAATCTTGGGGAATTCCCAGCTAGAATCTGTCACGAACAAACTGAATCATAGACTAGAATGACAGTCGTCTAATGTGTTTCTAAGAGCCGTGTGAACCCACAAACCTATGATCGGCATCATGCGTGTGGATACTCTTAACTGTCAGGCCACTGTCCGCCTTCATGGTCGTATCGTGAATACGCTCGGGCTGGATTGGCTAATACGACCACCAATACGACACCCGCCAAGACGGGCAAAGCACACTCTTGACTATTTGGCTTAGAAATTCAATTCTAGTCTTTGCCATCATTGATTTGTCAAGTCAAAAAATCCAGGGTCTTGAGAAAGATCTAACTACAATCGCCTCTAACAAGCAATCCATATTCTGGATTCTGGGGCTGATGGTCTTGGCAACAACCGCGCCCGAAAACTATAGCCTTTCTTACCAGTCCAAGACTGATGCACTTGGCAGTGGAGTCGCTTTCTTTACTCATCTTCTTATGTTAGATACGACTCTCTGGATCACTGGTATGAGGGAATTGTCATGAAGATGGTACCCCAGTGAGGCTGAGCTTTGGGCTGAGTTGTGCGCTTGAGAAAACTACCATGGAATCCTCTCTGCCAAGCAAGTGAGGCTAAGTCTTCAGTGAAGCCGAGATAGATATTTGGAATTGGTATTGAAATGATGCTTCGAAACGAACCCTGGGGTTGAAGAAGGGCAGTATATAAGGATCTCCATCGCCGTCTCCTCTAACTATCCAACATCCAACATCACAATTCCATCAAACAGCTTCTTTCTTGTGTCAACTTCACTCAATATCATCGATTACATATCGGTAGACATCATGTTTCCTCAATTCGCTTCCAGCTCTGTCCTTGCCTGTGCCCTCGTTTTGGCTCTACAGGCGGAGGCAGCGCCTCACCAAATGCTCGAACGTGCAACAACCGAACTCAGCTTAACAGCTCAACTGCGACTTGCAGATAGGTAAGTTGCAATGTACTCAAGCAGTGACGCTTTACTAATTTTGGGCCTTTCCAGTGCTGCCGAACGCTATCAGCTCTTGCCAAAGGATGAAGACTTTGTCTTCGATTTCAACAAAAACGCTGAACTTCCATTGGCCAACCGCAAGAACTTCCCTGCTCTTACTGGCTATGGCGCATCTTTCAGTCTTTCGCAATTGCCAGGTATGATAGCTACAACTGAGCCATCTTTCAGATGATGCTAATAATATAAATAGCATGCAGCATGAGCTTTGTCCACCTCCATCCTCGTGCTACCGAGCTCTTTGCCATCACCTCTGGCCGCGTGCTCTCCGAGATGGTTCCGGAAGGAGGCGTGGTTGACTCGGAAGGCAATCAGCGAGTCATCAAAGCAGAAATTAGCCAGGGCATGTTGACCATCTATCCGGCTGGTTCATTTCACACGCAGGTGAATCCGGACTGTGAGCCTGCCAACTTCACGGCAGCCTTCACATCTGAGGACTCTGGAATTTCTTTGGTCGCGGATCAAACCTTTGCTTTTAGCGATGATGTTATCGCCGCAACATTCGGGCAGAGCATTGCGGGTGAGGATATTGATAAAGTGAGAGATGCTATCCCGGGAGATATGTTGATTAAGGTTGAGGAGTGCTTGACCAAGTGTGGCAAGCAGAAGCGTCAAGTGTGATCAGCTTAGTACTTACACGTCGACATGTGATGGCCGTTGGCCTAGGGTCAACGAGGGAATAGTTTGGTGATGTGCATTGATCATTGGTATATTATGTATTTTGAATGGTTTATAGAGTTTAGATCTCAATTTCAATACAAACAATCTGATTTCTTGGCAGACTTAACAGGGTGAGGCGTCTTTCTGGTGTCGCGCTCGATGATGGACCCACCCCGTTCAATAATCTTGAAATTAACTGTGAAATACATCCCAAGATTCATGGACCTCACGCTGACGAAATTAATTCTAATTTTCTATATCATACTTAAATAGATCTATATCAAGCTATGAATTCTTTGATGTGCTTGTCCAAGTTCAACAAACGACTCGAGCCGACTTTCTTTTACCTGTCACTCAAGTCCATTACTATATTTTTGGATGGGGACTTCTCGCAACGATGCACAAGTCAACTGATAGTGGCGCTCAAGGCTCTCAATCCCAGTTCCAGCCCGGTAAGTCAATATTACTTTTCGGATATTAACAAATACATTGCTGACGATGATCAGGTCACCGGGTCCCCGTTCAACACCACGAGAAGCCTGGCTTGCAGAGCGAACTAAGGGGTCCAAAGCCTACATCAGCGCAACTCCCGACCGATGACAATGGATATCAAATCTACAAAGCAGCAGGCAAGCTCGTAGGCAAGAGGGCCGTTATCACGGGCGGAGATTCAGGTATTGGGCGAGCTGTCGCAATCCTGTTCGCAATGGAAGGCGCAACAAGCCTGATCACATATTTGCCAGAAGAAGAGTCGGATGCGCAAGAGACTAGGCGCCGTGTAGAGGAGCTGGGGCAGAAGATTCATCTTCTCGCTGTCGATCTACGGGATAAGAAGAATTGCCAAAAGGTGGTCGATACGGCTCTGCAAACTATAGGTGGTATCGATACACTAGTAAATAACCATGGTTACCAAAATATGGTCGAGAATATTCAAGATCTGGATGAGTAAGTTCCTTCAGTTATTCGGGGCTCATATAATGAACCTCACACATTGCATAGCGATCAGTGGAAACGTACATTCGACACCAACATTCATCCCTTCTTCTATCTCTCGAAATACGCACTGCCTCACATGAAGAATGGCTCAACTATTACCAACTGCGCCTCGGTCAACGCTTACATCGGTCGACCAGATCTTCTCGACTACACGTCCACGAAGGGAGCTATAGTAGCCTTTACTAGAGGGCTCTCAAATCAGCAAGTCAAGAACGGCATCAGAGTGAACTGCGTCTGTCCTGGACCAAGTAAGTGAGTTCATCTCCTATAATATAACCCTTCACTGACGCATAAACAGTTTGGACACCACTTATTCCAGCTACTATGAATACCTCTGCACAGGAGCAGTTCAGTGGATCTCCCATGGGTCGCCCAGGTCAGCCTAGCGAAGTTGCGACGTCCTTCGTATTCTTGGCTAGTCAGGATAGCAGCTTTATCTCCGGACAGTCTTTGCATCCTAATGGCGGAGTTGTTGTTAATGGTTGAAGTATTTGGAGATCACAGACTGAAACAAATCTCGGTTGTGGCGTTTCTAGTGAACCTATCTTATTATTTCCAGAATTCATAACAATTCGGCTTGGAGATAATGAAGCGTTGTCACACGTAGCACTGTTACAGACCAATCAAGAGAAGAGATCAATTCAGTGCCGTCTGACCACGGTATCGAAGCTGAAGGAGAAAGAGTGAAACTGGAAGTCGGCTAGAACGGAGAAGCTCAAGAACACAGTAACCAGGCAAGCATCCTAAACAGATAACTCTAGCAATTATCTTGCGGAACGAAGTTATTCTCAAGCTTAATAGTCACCGCTGTCATATTGATGTTACATCTTAGTTACAAAAGAGACAGACATCAACCAACGTAGTAGCATTTCGACGAAACAACTCAGTATTGGGAAGGAAAGAAAGAGAGATAGTGAGAGGAAATCATAAATATAAGTTGAATACTGCGGTAGCAGCCATCAACCCGGTCATTAGGCTCAGGGCGGCCAGGTGACTAACTCACGGCAGTTTTACGCTCACCTAGATTGCACAAAGAGCATTGAGGCTAGACATGTTATACACTTTGATAGTCAATATGGATTCGAGGTGGTCTCGCGAGATACTCTGATATTGTACATGATTTGGCTTTCTTTAATTCGCTCGATTTTTCAATTAGTCTTTGAAAAGAAAATGGTGCTTTTGATAGCTAAGATTGTAAACTCTTTGACGCTAGCTGGTTGCACGGTTGACTTCATCATGACGTAGTTCGTACCTGATAGCGACCCATCCAAGACTAGTCGCAAGTCGTGAACACCGCCCATTTTCTCCAAATAATTAGAAGACTCATAATACAGCATCTTATGTTTTATAATTTAAATTAGTTCTTCTTTTGCGGCTTGGCAAAAACTCACGGGATAATGGCGGCGTAAGCTTGATTTCCAGTCCCAAGTGCTGTATGGCTTTGACATCTAGAATATTACGTTGAATAACTAGACACCAACTATCCTACATAATGTCAATATGGGGTCATTCGTGGCCCAAAGTCGACTGTTTTTGACCTGATTCGGTTTCCTCATCTGGTTCGACATCCTAGACCCTCACTACTCTTGTGCCTAGAAGCTTCTATGATGTGATCGTCCGAGCTTAATGGCATACTTTAAATCTCGGGCGTTATTTTAGAATGGAGAGATCCTGGACCGACGTCACGCCGCAGGCTTGGTGACGGAGTCTTGACTTGACGAGGCCCACTGAACTAATACAATACAAAAACTTGAACATGTTGCAGCTAACAGGTTGAAAATAGACCGGTCTGAGATGTAAATATCAAGAATTGACCCCATAGGCCGGCTGTCATCATGAAGTCAGGAATTGGAAAGTAGCGGGGGCCAAAGTGGAGTCAACATACCTGCTATCACCCTCGAAGAATCGGTAGTTCCGCCACTAAGAACGTAGAACGGAAGAAGAATATGAATAAAACATGCTTGGGCCATCTGTGCCACTAACTTTCGTCTGAGTAGAAGATCTTCACATCGATTTCGATTCCATATTTCAATACTCACCAAAATGTCGTCCCCAGTTAATAACGCAAGCTTTAGGCTTGAGAATCTCTTTGGTATGAAGGGCAAAGGTATGTTTTTCTTGCAAAATTCGTTAGGGTTCTGGATACATACAGGGTTGTCTAACGATTGAAACAGTTGCCCTCATCACTGGCGGTGGGTCAGGTATTGGCTTGATGGCCACTCAATCCTTGGCTGTCAATGGCGCAAAGGTCTACATCACTGGCCGTACGAAAGAGAAGCTCGACCGGGTGGTGGATCTTTACGGAAAGGATATTTCTGGGGAGATAATTGCGATTCCCGCCGATGTCACTTCAAAGGAGTCAATCCAGAAGCTGGTTGACGAAATCTCGGCCAAGGAGTCTGAGCTAGATATCCTAATCAACAATGCCGGTATCAGCTCTGCAAAGCAGAATACCGACCATGAAGACTCCAAAGAGCTCCAGCAAGAACTATTCCATAATACAAGCACAGTCAGCGATTGGGAGGATGTCATGCGAACAAATGTGATGCAGCTATTCTTCGTCACCACTGCCTTCCTACCCTTGCTCAGTAAGAGCACTGAGGATACATCTGGATGGTCTAGCACTGTGATCAACATTTCCTCCATTTCCGGCATTATCAAGGAATCGCAGCATCACTTTGTTTACAATGCAAGCAAAGCGGCTGCCATTCACCTTACGAAGATGCTTGCCCATGAGATCGCCAGCTCGGGCGTCAAGATTCGAGTGAACAATATCGCGCCTGGGGTTTTCCCATCGGAAATGACAGCTAAGGAGAGTGGTGATAAGCAAAAGAGCTCTCTTGAGAAAGAGAAGTTTGAGGGTAAGGTTCCCGCTGGGCGACCCGGAAAAGATGAGGATATGGCTGGAGCTGTGCTTTTCACTGCTTCAAATCAGTATCTGAATGGACAGACCGTTGTTGTCGATGGTGGCTATGTGCTAGCGACCGGGTCAGTCTAACTTGCGGATCAGAATGTATGCAGAGTTTGCGAAACTTGAGAGTAACTATCCAAAAAGATCATACTCATGGCACTACAAAGACCTCTCGTGACACTGGGAATCTAAGCCTAAGTAGGAGGACCAATCTTACGAGTACAGTAGTAGAATTTGATATCTGTATAACAGTATGGATGTATAGTGATAGTTCTAGTTTTTGAAATAAGAGTTAGAAAGAAAGGCCTCCCTAGATACGATTTGACCACCTCTATTTCTAACGGTCTTTCTAAAGGTCTTTCCAATTATCTTTTCAGAGAGCTTTAGTAAGATCTCTCAATTTATCCATTCAAGCATAACAAATACGATGAGTTTTAATGCTATTCGCGGATAATCTTAGTATCATTACACCATTGTATACTCGTAAGGGGGGTGCGTCTCTGATTAGGCTTAGCGTCGTAGTGTCACGAAAGTTTTTCGTAGTGCCATGAGTATGAGCCGCCAGAAAATGAAATTTCTCTCCCTAAGCAGTATTTCTGCGTTGAGACTTAAATAATTCCATACGAACTATCTATAATTCGGTATTTCCTGTTGAAAACTCGCGTTACATTATCCTATTCAAGCGGCCTATACTTTCCCGGCCGGATCCAACCTAAAACCCGGGACTCTTGTGGTAACGTAAGCCTTACTAAAATCTTACCCTATCCACACAAGCTATCCGTCGCGACCTCGACTCTTGAGACAAAAAGCTTACCCAAAAATTAGGTACTCCAAGTCATCGAAACCCCGGTCTCTACTCTTTCTTTCATTTCAATTGATGCAATCCCAATTGTTTCCCTCCTAGCGGTACAAGCGTAGCAGAGGCCCCCAGAAAAAGCAATCTTGCATTCTTTCTCAACAAATCCCCTACAATCATGGCTCTCTCGCCTGAACAGACGCGATGCAACTATCAATCAGACGTGGAGCAACCAGCGACATACGAGATGTCGCGGATCAAACCAGTTATTCAACCCTTCGCTGGACGAATCGGCGGTAATCAAGAAATAGTGCTTGATCGCAGTGATCCCCAAAATGCAGATCTACTCAAGAAGATCCCCGATGCGGCTCCCCTTATGTCTTTCCGCGACGGAACTGACTTGCGCGGATTTTGGGATTTGGATTTGTGGAAATTTGGCTTTATTGAGATGATAGGTAGGTAGCGGACAGTCCCTTTTTGCCCTGTGATCGCGGTGCAAGCAGTGAGTAATTTACTAATGCATCATGTTAGGTACCATGTTAATGGTTTTCGTCACGGCATGGGTCTCTATACGCCCCCCTGGCTCTTCAAGTGCCGTGCCGTCTTCACCTTCAGGAGTTTTCTCTACTACAACATTCCTCGGTCCGCTATTTGGCGGTATAAGCAATTGGTTCTTTCTAACGCTATTCATCTTCTCCTTCTCCAACGTCAGCGGTAGTCACCTCAACCCGACGATTTCAGTGGCTACTTTTTTTGCGCGTCTGATCTCATTCCCACGAATGGTCATCTACGTACTTTGCCAGACACTCGGCGGGGCTCTGGCTGGGTTTATACTCCGTAAGGCGTACGGAGCTAGAGATTTTACCTGCGGAGGCTGCGCGGTTGAGCTATCCGATGTCCCCGTGGACGAAGCGTTTCTGCTTGAGTTCATATTCACTTTGATTCTCATTTTTTTGTCCTTTGGCGTGGGATTGGATCCGCGACAAGGGAAGATCTATGGAGCTGCATTGTCGCCGTTTTTGGTCGGGATGGTTCTTGGGACGTTGAGCTGGGGCTCTGCATTTGTGCGAACTGGATTCGCTGGTGCTTGTAAGTGATAGCCCCTAGGAACCCCTTGGAGGGAAGTATATTGGACGAAATCATCTCACACTCCTTCGGACAGCCATGAATCCTGCTCGATGCTTTGGTGTTTATGTTGCCACATCATTTCCAACTTATCATTGGATACATTGGGTAAGGCGCCGTCGCTTATATTCTCCTGGGCCAATGTCGCCTCGTACTCATCCTTGTTATAGGTCGGACCAGTTGTTGCATCTGTGGCACACGGAGTCGTCTACTATGTGGTACCTCCCTGGGGTCATTGAGTTGAAAGGCATAGTATATTTGCCTGAATCTGTCTGAGAGGACCGTAGAAAGATATCGTGATACAGAAAAAAGATAAACAGGTTGCTGGAAGACCATCAACATCAATACATGATTCGAATACCGAAACTCTTGAGGCTCAAAGGGAAGCCCCGTTGATTCACATCTTGCCGGCCAAAAAGTGTTCAATGCACGGCACGGCACGGCACGGCACGGCACGGCATAGCAGGTATATAGACAACTTGAGGGAAAAGAACACCGAAGATTATGCAGGAATGCCAACGGAGAATAATCAAAGAGAATATACAAATGGAGCTCACATCACTGCTCAATAGCCCCCGGAGAAACGGCCAGAATAACCGCTAACGCCGCAATGATCAACGCTGCCGCAATAAACGCAGTCAGTGCAACGCTTCCCCGGCTAGCAGGGAACTTGCCACGGACAATCCAGTACTGACTCTCAAAGTAGCGGTGGAAGCCTATTATAAGAATGATGATGGCGACGCCGATAAACGTAGAACCGAGGGGTTTGCCAACGCTGCGGAGGCGAGAGGATGCCGAAGCAGCATTAATGGAGGATGAGGAGAATTGAGGAGGGAGTATATCGGGGTGTCCCGGAGAAGTCACACCAAGACCGTATGCATCTTTAGTGGCTGTTGCGGTATTGAGACGGAAGAGCTGGGTGACTGCGATACCGATGGAGGCAAAGGCGAGGGATGTGCGCATCCAAGCTAGAAAGGTTCGCTCTATGGATGTGGATTAGACTTTATTTGAAGGAAGGTCGTGAGAGCACAATACCATACCTAAGGCTAGATGGTCACGCGCAACGCTGCCCTTGTTCTCCAGCTCGAGGGCTCCGAACCGATCTACAAATCGGCTATACCGCGACTGATGCGGGTCATCATGTTGGTTGTCTTGATGTGATGAGTTGCCGCCGTTGCCGCCATTACGGGTTTGAGGAGCGCTCTGCTTGTCGTTGCTTGTTCGCCCGGACGCCGCGCTAGACAAATTGGGCGCCTCCGTAGCCCCGTAGTTACGCGTCGAGGCGCCTGCCTCATCAAAGACTGGGGTGGACTCGTTGGACTGCCTGTGAGACCGCGGGGTGCCAGCATACTTTCGGGACGAAAAGCTTGAATGGGACCGGCTGCTGCCATAGGAAGATGACAGGGCTGAATCTACATGGGTGGGCGAGCGTGACGAGTTATCGTGGATATCTCTGGCTTCCCCGGAGTCGCGAGGGCCTGTCGGAGTCGTCGCCGATGACTCGAAAGTATTCATGATGGCGTGCTCATGCCCTAGGCGGTCACTTGAATGATCTGTCCAATAGCCTGTGCGAGATTTGAGTGTTGCATGCAGCACCGGGGCGCCAGGCACAGTGGGAGGGACCAGAGCGAGGAATGTGGCCCGGTGCTGGACAGAGAGAGGCTCTCCAAGGGAAGGAAATGTGGAGAGGGTGAGAAGATGTCTTCCTGAGGCTATTGACCTGGCTCAGCTAGATTCTGTTCGAGTAGGTCATTCCCATTCAGCTGGCTGCCATCATGTGCACCGTCACACACTCGTATGACAGAACAAAAGCAAAGAGATCCGTCGATCGCTGGTCTGGGGCCGAGGAGATCACATGCTCCACCACGCTATTCTTCTTTCGGCTTTCACGGCGGTCCCTTACGGGAGTGGCTTTTCTTGATTGGCTGGAGTGTCACCGCTCGAATCTCCGCCCTGCTCTCCGCTTTGATGGGGTCTTTCTGGTCTTTCTGCTGGACCCTCCCTTTGATCCGAACTCTACAAACCACAACACCATATTCCTATCTCAACTAACTTAACTATACGCTCCATTTCAAAATTATTTCTCTTACTAGACTACTACTCACTACATTGTGCTACTTTGTCGCTAGGCCACTTTGGGGTGACTGTTTCCCATTGATTACAGAGTACCTGAAACATATACAATTTCCAACATATCTTCATGCCCAAATATCATCCGAGACGACGCGAACGAAGATTTCTTATTTATCAAGATCAACAGTTGCACACACCTAGTGCTGAACAGGAGTTTGAGCCACAGACAGGAACGCATCCCCTGCTCCAAAGTAGAGAAGCCACTTGCCCTTGAATTGCACCAAACCTTCGCTAATATAAAAGTCAGGACTTGTATTTCTCACCAAATGGGAATTTGGATAACTCACCTGAACACGACATTATCAACTTGCCCAGTGATCTCCGTAGCCGTGGTCGGCTGCAAGATGGGAGTCTCAAGGCGTGCAATGGGAGGGCCGAGGGGAGAATTGGCCGGATCAATGAGCATCTGTCCAGTGCTATACTGGCCAACGGCATATCCACCCACACCGCCAGTGGCCATCCCGTTGTAGATCTTCAACCACTTACCGTCTCTCGTTTTAATCGGAGGCGGTCCACTCTCAGTCAGAGCTTGCTCCCAGACATTCATCAAAGGAGCAAACGGCTTTCCGGAGCCAGAGACCTCCCAGTTAATCAAGTCGGTTGAGTTCGCGGTATAGAGGTATGTATCACCGAATTGCATATAGTAGTAACCATCAGGCTGGCGCTCGTCAATGATAGCACCGCTCTTGGTCCAGCCGGGCGGGTTGGAACTGAAGTAGGTAACGGGATCGCGCCAGTTGTACACGGTCTCAGTGAAGTCTGGCAGGATAGGGCCGTGCTTCTTCCAGTTGACGAGATCGGTCGAGGTTGCAAGACATAGCCGAGCAACTTCGCCATCGTAGGCAGTATAGGTCAGATAGAACGTTCCATCCACACGGACAACTCGGGGGTCCTCGCATCCACCTGGGGTCTCATATGGCTCTGTTGGAGAGATGATGGGCTGAGAGTACCGAGTGAAGGTGTACCCATCGCTGGACCAGGCAAGACCAATGCTGGAGGTCTTTTGCGAGTCTTGGGCGCGATAGAGAAGAAAGACCATGTCATCCATGACGATGGCGCTCGGGTTATAGAGGTATGCAGACTCCCATGGATGGCTAGCATCGGGTCTCATGATAGGGTTGCCCGCATATTGCTCAAAGCCAAGTAGAGGGAAGTATGGCGCCGTGTAATTGGCTTCATTCTGTCGAGATGCTGGTGTGATCTTGGGAGGTTTGTCGGAGGAGGCCGCAAGGGTCGTGACAGCACCTAGTCCTAACGCGAGGACCTGCAATGAAAACCTCATTGTGAAAGAATATAAGAAATAGAACAGAAGATAAAGAGTGAAGACTGTTTGAATATCCAAGAGGGCAATTACGCCCTTTTATGCTGCAGATCTCGGTCATGATAACCATCTTTGACCTTTTCCTACCTTTTGTCAGTGCTTCAACTCTCGGGGTAGCTCATCACCCAAGTTAGTATCAACAGTTGTCAAGCGCGGGGTTGAATATTCAACAAGTCCCACATTTCTGCACTTGCACCTGATGATCATTGCCATTTTGACAATGCTTAGCGTGCTCGACCTTGAGATGAGAGCGGATAAAACGTCGGCGATAATTATTGAGTGGGCTCAAGCGTCACCACATCGATGGAATTACCCCGCCAATTCCCCGGCCGATAGCCATTGCGGAGTGGAGCTTCCCTGAAATCTACTAATTTTGCGATTAAATCTCCGGACTTCGATTTGATATGTTGATGGGCCCACTAAGATCTCATCGACCTCAGGAAAAAAACAACGGAGACAAAGGGAGCAAGAAGCTTATTATTGATCTCGACGAACACAGGTGGCTATCTATAATCAATTGTCTAGGCACTAAGCCAAATGGGGCAAATAGCAAAAAGAATATACACACAAAAGATATGCTATCCATCATAATTAAGTTTTGGATTTGACGTCTTGATTCCATGAGTATGGAGTGCAGAAAGCCTCTGAAAGAAAACTATGTTCTTACTTCTATCTTGTAGTCTAATCTGTCTGTCTCAGCTAGAGGTTCTAGTCCATCCGGTATCTGCAGTCTAGAAATCCGATCCATAGTATCGCACGTGTACCTTGTCGTCCTTCCTCAATCCCCGTGCTATGATGGTGTATACATCATTCGGGAAGACGTCGACGGCATTATCCTCAAACTCAACATCACGGTCATCGGGAACCACGGAGACCACCAAACCCTTGACAGGCGCGTTCGCTCGAATCTCAAGCTTGCCGTCTAGGACTGACACGGACACGCCCGGAGAGGAACACAGAGTGATATATTTGAGTGGTTGAGGCCAATCTGAAGTGCGGGCAATGACATGGCCATCCCGAGTATCCCTCATGATTGCCTGGACGGCTGTCTGGTCATCCACACTCATGTCTTCCACCAACTCGGTGGTGCGGTTGAATAAAAGGGGTTGAACGCCAATGGACTTGTCCTCGCGCAAAACTCCGGTCGCGAGGTCGTACAGCCGGATTTCTATTTGGGCTTGGGCATCCCGCAAGGTTCCGTTCATAGCCCAGACGTCACAGATATAATTCTTGGGGGCAAGATCGTGCGGAGGAGCCAGAATCTGTGGAGGCGGTGACTTGAGCTTCTTGAGCTCTGGTGTTGAGCGGCAAATCCCAAGTGCTAGAGGTGCACTGTCGCGCATTGTCATGAAGTAAGCCATCTTCTTCTCTCCATAGAAGTCAATTATGGCCCAACTCGAGACTGGCCAGCAGTCATTGATCTAAACAAAGTCAATCATCAACCAAGAATAATAAGAATATCAATCTTCACATACCTGCCAGATCAGTTGGCCTCCGCAATATTCTTGACCTGGGCCTTTCCACTGGCGGCGACAGCTTCGAACGGCGAAACTGAGACACTCGCCTTGAATGAGTTGAGTGGCATAGATCCAGCTGTCAAGATCTAACGAGTTGACCCGGAGATTCTCCAAGACATACAGACCCAGTCGGCGTTCTGCGCCGTCTGCTTTGTTGTGCAGATCCAGAACCCGGCTTTGAGGATATCGCTGCGCAGGATCGGTCACATAACGACGGATGGATTTAGCAGCTGGGAAGCCCAGCATGCCAAACTCAGAGACAAAGCGGCCCACAAGCTTGTCCCATAGCTGGTACTTCTCCTGTGAACCATGCCAGACATTCCACTGGTGAATGTCGCCAACGGTCCTGTCGGTCGTACCATCACCACCCCAAGGCGAACTGGGGTGGTAGGGGACACCAGGTGCATATTCAGCCACCACAGCAGGCAGATGAGTTTCGTACAGAGTCCGCGCCGGGAAATTGGTTTCGGTCCAATCGCCTGAATGATCGTCACGATCCCAGGTCAAATTGAGCATCTCTGCAATCTGATAGTCCTCATTATTCCCAGCATAGAGGACGATGGAACAATATTGTCGCAGCCGCTTGACTTGATCTGCGGCTTCTCGTTTCACAGTTGCCGCGAATTCAGGATAGCAAGGGTACTGGGCGCAGGCAAAAGCAAAGTCCTGCCAGACCAGAACTCCCCGTCGATCACACTCCTCATACAGTGCATGATGCTCGTATATACCCCCACCCCAGATACGCAACATATTCTGGTTCGCTTTCAGACATCTATCAACAGCCGAGGCGTAGTCATTAGACGTCATAGCAGTCAGGAAAGAATGACCAGGGATCCAGTTGCTGCCGGAAGCATACACTGGTTTGTTGTTGACTTCGAAGAAGAAAGAGGTGCCTAGTTCACCGTTTAAAGAATGCTGCACCAGGCGCAGACGTCGCATGCCGACGAGTTTCCTGGCACGATTAAGAGGTATCTGATCACGATTCATGATAGCGACATCTACCAAATAGAAAATCTGAGGACCATGACCGACAGGGTACCAGAGTTGTGGCTCATTGATCTCCAACGAGACTGAACCTCGAGATTCCTTCGTGCTAGAGCCGAGAGTTGCCTTTGAATGGAAAACACGCCCATCGGGAGCAGTAACAGTGACATTTGCAGTGACGTCTTGATCCAGAATAGCTTCAAAACTGACATTGACAGACGCACTATGAAGGTCCTCAGATACTCGTGCATCGGCAAAAACATCGACCAAAGTTGAAGCGTAGGATTCGAGTTTGATCTCCCCACATGGTCCGCATGTCATCAACAGAGGTCCCCAGTCCCATCCATAGTGATACTGGGCTTTGCGAACATGAGCTCGAGAATTCTCTCCACTAAAGGCTCTGTAGCTTCCATGCTTTTTCTCCAATTCACGCCCGTAGTGGAGAGCACTCTTGAACACGATGCGAATCGTGTTCAAGCCCGGGCGTAATTTCCCAGTTACATCGACGCGGTGCTGATGAAACATGTTTGTTGATTCCAGGATTTGGTCCTGGTCATTCAGAAAGACGGTGGCTACTGTATCTAAACCTGCGAAAACGAGGTCCTGTCGAGAATGGCTCAAGTCTGCCTCGTACTGGAAGTCGCAGGCATACTCCCAGTCGGCTTCGCCCACCCACTGCACATGGCGCTCGTTTTCGTCGATGAAGGGGTCAGGAATGACTTTTGCATCGATAAGGTCGGTGAAAATCTCCGTGGTCGGTTTGTCGTGCATACACTGATGCCATTCTTCATTGGCTTCGCCGTATTGCCGCCATCTCCAGCCGGAGAGTGTCAAACTGCTCGCAGCAGACATAGCCAAATGCATTAAAAAACAATTCTGGTTTGAAATGATTTGTTTCGAAAAGTTAGAAGGCCGTTCATTTCCAGCCTTTGTATAAATTGCAACGGCACTGCTCCGATAGCCTTCTTGACCTTCCTACTAGAGACGGCTCCGACAAATTTCCCGCCTTTCCCCACACTCCATGCTCCAGGGGGATTAACCTTAAAAAGTTTGGTTGAGCGGGGCTCCAACCCCAGCAGCCTTTAGTCATGGAAGGGCCCGAGCACGCCGCATCTCAGTCAAGGTGTCTTTTCCGAACTTTTCTCCGCCTACGTCGAGAACTAGAACCCGACATCACAAGAAATCGGCTAAAAAAAGATCTCATCCCGAGTGTTTTCCCGTTCCAAATGACCCATGTTCAAATCATGCAACTACTGCAGACACCGGAAGAAGAAGTGTGCCTTGGACGGCCCGTGGGCTAGCCGCTGCACCGAATGCGAGCATCTAGACCTGATCTGCGAGTTCAGTCGGCGTCAGCCGAGTCAGAAGCGTCGTCAAACGTCCCAGCGCATTGCATCAAGAGTCTCAGCTGCGGCAGCAGTATCATCACCGAAGAATCGTTCATGGGCCAGCACGGGAAGCGTCGTATCGGTCGTCAAGGATGGCGATAGCCAGTTGAACTCTGCGGATACCAAATACCCTCAAGGCCAAAAGATTATTTTGAAAGATGAAACGCCACTCGTGCTCGAGTCGACAACGACAAAGTACAGAGAGCACATTCAACCCCTTACACCTTTTTTACCCTCTGAGATGATTCACGAGCTGGATGAGAATTGGGATCTGACGCTACAACAATGTGTCGAGCTAGCTGCTAGGATCTGGTTGCATAGCACGCCCCATGCAGACATATCGCAACAGGCCAGCCATACTCTAAAAACCATAACGCAAAGCGAGATGACGCTGCCATGTCTAGCTGGCGTACTTCTGATGATCCTCCGATTTCCTGTGGAGAATGACTGTATACAGAGGGTAAGTCGTGATCGAGTCATCTTGTTCCTATCTTGTCAGTGCTGACCGTTGTAAGATTTTCGGCACTATCCATGCCTCTTTGCTTATGGGGCAAGACCTACCAGCTCCTATTCTCGCGGGTGCAGTTGTAGCCAACACTTGGCTGCGACTAGTTGGCTCATCGCTGGAGCCTCTCGACATTTCTGAAAATTACCTCATGAACTTCGCCGAATCAGTCGATCACTCTACATTTGCGCATCATTATCTGCGTATTTCGGACCTGGGTCTGCGTCTCGACCAGCTACGGATTCTGGAAGAGCGCGATGGATTTGGACCAGATGCAAAGCTATCGTGGTGTCGCCTTGAGTACGAGTGTTTATTCTGGGCCGTTCAGCTTCCCACGTCGTTACTTGATCTTCGTGATGAGATGCCAGCTCGGCCCGAGGCGATCACAATTCACTCACTCCATAATTTGGTTGTCCTAACATTTTATGCGACTGTTCTGAGTCGCCAAGACACTCTTGGCACCTTGTTGGCCTTACGTCCTGTTCCAGGTGTACTACATTATGTTTGCTCCTTGATCCGATCAGTATTCATCTGTCCGCGAGAAATTCTCATTCACTGGTCTCTCCTGTCGGACATACAGGCTGCAACGGCTCGTATAGTATTACAACTATGGCGTCAAACGCAGTTTGAGAATTTCCAAGGCCTTTTAAACCTTTGGGATGACGCACTTGGCCGCTATCCAGAATTGGCCCAGGAAGTGCGTGACGAGATTGGCCCTGGGCCATGGAATATCGATCAGACGGACGGCTATTCTGTCTTTTGGACATTTCGCGATCTTCGTAGTTTGCATCTGCAAGATGCTTTCCCTCAGCTGGCTGAAGCTACTATGCCCTAGCCGAATACTCTTGTCGATTAAGGATTCCCAAAGAGTAATCAACCATATTATGAGTTTGGTTAAACGGTCTCGATCAAATTTCTTTATCTACTACTCCGGTGATCTACTTCATTCTGAACCCAGCGCCTCGCTTTCTTGCTCTCAGGGCTGGACTTCGGCTGTTGCAACTCCAAGCTCGCTATCTCCTTGTCCATAATACATAAACCATTTCCCCTTGAACTGTACCATCCCTTCGCAGAACACGACTTCATTGACCTGTCCAAGATGCTCGTTCTTTGAAGACACGACAACTGACGGTCGGTCGAGGCGAGCCAGCGGGCCATCTTTAAGATTTTCGAGGTCGATCAACATCTGGCTGATAGAATACTGGTTGAACTTGAAACCAGAAGCACCCTTCGTGGCAACATTGTACACCAGGATCCACCGGCCATCACGGGTCTTGATTGGGGTTGGACCGGGTTCCAAAAGTCGATTCTCCCACTCATGGACACCCCTTGCAAAATACTCGTTGAAGGGCCATGCTTTCCAGTTGATCAAGTCTTCACTCTCAGCCACACAGAGATATGCCTCACCAAAGATCATCATGAATTTTCCGTTTGCCGTCTTTTCTGGGAAGATTGCGCCGGACTTGGAGTGGCCGAAACGCACTTTGATCCGCCCATCCAGAGCGTCGTCGACGTCGATAAAATCTGGGAACAGTGGACTACCCCTCTTCTCCCAGTGTACCAGATCGGTGGATGTTGCGAGGCAGAGTTTTGGCACCTTCAAATCCCACGCGGTATAGGTCATGTAGAAGATGCCGTCGATGCGCACCACACGCGGGTCCTCCACACCACCGCCCATTTCCCATGGCTTGCTCGGCTCCAAAATTGGACGATCCAGACGTGTAAAATTGTAGCCATCCGATGACCACGCTAGACCAATGGTGGACACCTTAGCGGCGTTCTGGGCGCGATAGAGCAGAAAGACCGTGTCGTCCAACACAATTGCGGCAGCATTATAGATGTATGCCGATTCGAATTCGTTCGCCGGGTTTGGAATGAGTAATGGATTGCCAGAGTACTTGGTAAAAGGGCCTAGTGGGAAGATTGGCGCCTTATAGTTGGGATCGCCTTCGCGCGAGGCCGGTGTGACTTTGGGGGGAGTGGAAGAGTACGCTGTGGAAGGCATGGTTTTGAGATTGAAGAAAAGCTGCTATACATCTACTTGGACATGGGAATTTCCTTCAAATATCTATCTGGTCTGGTCTAATTACATCGGAAAAAAGGTCGGCGAGACTGCAACTTCAATCTCTGTTTGCCTGCGACGAATTCTCCGAAAATTGCATGTCCCTCACGACAACCCCGCTCCCGCGTGGGGAAGCGTTACAAATTCAAGGACGGGGACACGGTTTGACTTCCGAGCTAAGACTCTCTTGGCTTGCGAGTTCGGTTCCCCGGATTCCATCGGAGAAACCGTCGGGATTTTATCAGTCAAGCAACATCCCCACATTCAAGATGGCAAAGATATATGAACGGCAACAGCCCCCACTGCGGATCGTCATGAGCATCTGTAACCCCAGAAACCCCTTGCATTATACTTCTATCTTTAGACGATCAGTGGTTCATCGTTTCCATGGCCTCCACTCAGGATGAAAAGTCTCCCGGGGCCGGCTCTGAGCATATCGAGGAGCCTGTCGATGTGTTCCATGCTGTCCGCGGCACTGCTGCCCTGGAAGTATGCACGCGACTAGAGCCGGTTCAGAAACTCAGCAAGCGTATGATTCAACTCTACGCTATCTGTAGCCTGGCCTTCTTGGGGTCGACTATGGGTGGTTACGACGGGTCTTTGATGGGCAATCTGATTGTCATGAAGCCCTTCCAAGATCAATTTGGCGCAAAGATCCTCGGAGTGCAGACTGGCATTATCATGAGCATGTACTCGATCGGTTCCGTGTGTGGTTTGCCTTTCATCGGCCCACTTACTGATACCTGGGGCCGTCGCGTGGGTATCGCCATTGGATGCGTCTTTATCGTCATTGGTACCATCATTGAAGGCGTATCTCATCGTTTGCCTCAATTCCTCGCCGGACGTTTCTTCCTCGGCTTCGGTGGCATTATCTGCAATGTCGCCTGTCCTTCTTACGTCGTCGAGTTCGCCCAGCCGGCCTACCGTGGTGTGATTACTGGATTCTATAACTGCTGCTACTATCTTGGGGCAATCCTGGCCGCTGCAGTTCTGCGCGGCTGCGTTCACTATACGACCAACGCGGCCTGGCTCATTCCCACCTGGCTACAGATGCTCTTCCCAGGCATTCTGCTCGTTGGATGTCTCTGTTTTCCTGAGTCGCCGCGTTGGCTGTACGTTCATGGGCAAGTAGACAAGTGCCGTGAGATTCTCATCAAATATCATGGCAACGACAACCCAGAATCTCTCTACGTGAGACTGGAGATGCATGAATTTGCCGAGGAGCTAGAGCTCGACGGTGCAGACAAGCGCTGGTGGGATTATCGCTCTTTGTTTAACTCTCGGGCGGCCCTTTATCGTGCCATCCTGTGCGCTGTCGCTGTTTCAGCTTTCAGTCAATTGACTGGCCAGTCAGGCGTATCCTATTTCCTGCCTGCCATGCTCAGCACTTCCGGGATCAGCAACACTGACACGGTCCTCGACATTAACCTGGGTATCACACTAGCATCTAGTGCAGCCGCCTGCTTCGGTGCAAGTCAGATGGACCGATTCGGTCGACGCAAGATGTTGATTTCATGCTGTGCTATTCTGACTCTCCTCTGGGGTGGTATGGTTGGTGGCACCGGTGGATATGCTATCTACAAAAGCCATCCCGCTGCCGATGTATCCATCACCTTCATCTTCCTGATCGGCATCGTTTTCTCCGCCGCCTACACACCACTACAAGCACTGTACCCCGTTGAGGTCCTCGCGTTTGACCAGCGTGCCAAGGGAATGGCCCTGCAAAAGTGAGTTCATCAATATGTCCTCATGCCTCGTTTATTTAAACTAATATTTGTTATAGTTTCGCTGGAAACGCAGCAGGCCTGGTCAACCAGTTTGCCCTTCCGATTTCGCTTGATGTGATTGGTTGGAAGACTTACTTTATCTACATGGGAGTGTGCTTTTGCCAGGCTATTTACTACTATATCTTCATGGTGGAGACCAAAGGACATACCCTCGAGGAGCTCAATGAAATCTTCCAGTCACGGAATCCTCGGAGGGCTGCTTCGTTGCAGAAGCAGGAGGTGGATGAGGAGTTTGACAAAGTCCAACGCTTGAAGCAGATGGCCGCACATGACAGGTAAAAGAAATATTGCAGTGCTCATACTAGTTACGGATTAAACCGGACAGGTCAAAGGGAGGGAACTGCTAGCAACCGACTCTAGAGAAATGTATCAGATGCCCTCATTTGACGGAATTGTCTTGTGTCGTTGAAATTTCCTCGAACTTCTAGTAATGTTTGAACCTATCTATCTCCGTAATCTTCTTCGCATTAATCTAGAAGAGGAATTTAGAACACGCTCTGCTTTTAACTTGGCAACAAATGGATTAAAACCATCAGTTTCACCACTTCATCCGCGTACATCCTTCTCTTGGGCTTATCTAAACTTGCTAAAGGATCCATCAATCGTTAATTGGCTCCTTTGAAGACATCGAATTATCTTCCACGGGAAAGTCGCCTAAGCACCTAGCCTTAAATATACTAACAGGCCCAAACCGCGCTAGTCGGCCGGGCCACGTACGCACGATTCTGCCTTGTTATCTAGTGTCCAGTGAAGAAGAAGCTTAAACCTTGTCATCTCGTATTTGAGCTTGGCACAGCCCCTAACCCCACTTATATAGAAGCCTCCTACAACAGCCTCCCCAGACGCAATTCTAAACTGCTTGAACACGTGTGAAGCACAGTTTCCCTTGCTGCTACCTCGTCCACTTGCACCCTCCGCCTCGGCGCTGAATTTCGCCGTCCTCGCAGTCTAGTAGGCACACTCGCCTACTTCCCACGACCGATATGGGCTCTTCATCATCAACATCCAACGATCCCAATAGTCTGGGCAACGCCTATCGTGACCAGGGCAGACTACCCGAAGCAGAAACAATGTACATACAGGCACTGGCCCGGAGAGAGAAGGAACTAGGAGCAGAACACTCCTTGACCCTCGACACCGTCAACAACCTCGGAGTCATCTATTGTAAACAGGGCAAGCTAGACCAGGCATTGCTGATGTATATGCGCGCGCTAGCTGGAAGGACGAACACCCTAGGAGCACATCACTTCCTCACCCTCGAGACTATCACCAACGTTGGGATACTCTATTGCATGCAAGGAAGAATAGGCGAGTCAGAGCACATCTTCAAGGAACTACTAGCTATCAGAGAGGAGTCGCTAGGAGCACATCACATCCTCACCCTCGATACTTTGCAGAATCTCGGAAATGTATATTATGCTCAACGGAAGCTGGAAGAGGCGCGGCATTTGTATATACGGGCGCTAGTTGGGAAAGAGAAGGTACTGGGGCCGAATCATGTCTCCACCCTCGACACTGTCTTCAACCTCGCAAATGTCTATTGTGACCAACGCAAGTATGAACAGGCGGAGCCAATGTATTTACGGGCGCTAACTGGGTCTGGGGAGTTGCTCGGACCAAAGCATCCTTCAACCGTCGAGACAGTCAAGAAGCTTATGAGCGTGTATCGCTTTCAGGGAAGGCCAGACAAGGCAAAGCAGTTGGAGCAGAACTGGCTTCACGTGTGATAATCGGGGGACTGGTGAAATAATTGATATTGAAATTAATTGTACTTAGAGCGAATCTGCCATTAATATCCTCGTAGAGTTGGGATGGATAATTAAGGGGCCAACAATTCTGCTGGCAGAATATCATGGCTGACAATATTTGCACGGTTTGCACCGATTGCCCCACCTGCCACAAACATGGCGTCATGCCATCTCCGCTTACAAAAGGCGGTGGGATTCAAACTACTTTCTGCCGTCACGTCGATCTGAAAGCCACTGTTTTTATCAACCAACAACCCCACACTACTCACTATGGCGTCGACCTCACTACCACCCCGAGCGGGTTCATTGGATCTATCCAAGAAGCTATCAGAGCTACGGTCAAGCAATACTCGCCGATCCCAACCCACATCTTCCCGAGACCCAACCCCGATCACCCCTCCTTTGCCTTCGCCGCCTAACCTGTCCACCCATTCATACTCCCACCCCGTTCGCCGCATCCTATCGCCAAAAGACCATGAGCTCTTCCAATCATCCCCGACGTACAAGCTAGTACTTGCTTTTATCTTCGGTCTATCCGACTCTGTGCGTGGCCGGGCTATCACAGACCTACAAAACAAGCCCGACTCCGATCATATCTCCAAGATCGCCTCAATTGTAGGGCAGCTACAATCGCTGCTAGAGAAGCACCCGGCACTTGACCAGGGTGGTTCACGGTTCGGCAACCCTGCATTCAGAGCTTTCTTCGACGATGTCGCTGCACAGAGCGCCTCATGGCACACCGAGATCCTGGGTCTGACGGACCCCGCGGCAATCGACGAGGCATCAACGTATCTCGTCCAGTCATTGGGTTCGCGGGACCGACTAGATTACGGGTCAGGCCATGAGCTGAATTTCATGATGTGGCTTTTGACCCTCTACCAACTGGGCATGCTTTCGACAACCGATTTCCCTGCCGTTGTATTCAAAGTCTACGTCCAGTACCTGCATCTCATGCGGGACATTCAATCCACATACTACCTCGAGCCGGCAGGATCCCACGGTGTCTGGGGATTGGACGACTACCACTTCCTCCCTTTCCTGTTCGGTGCCAGCCAGCTGGTAGAACACCCATACATCACGCCACTGGGTATTCACAACACGGCCATGTTGGATGAGGAAGGTGACAAGTTCATCTACCTGGATCAGGTCCGATGGGTGGACAGCGTCAAGACCGTCAAGGGTCTCCGCTGGCACAGTCCCATGCTAGATGATATCTCCGGTGCCAAGAACTGGTTCAAGGTGGAGAGCGGTATGAAAAAGATGTTTGTCAAGGAGGTCCTCGGCAAGCTCCCCATCATGCAGCACTTCCTGTTTGGAAGCTTGTTGCCTGCTGCTGAAGGTATGGGCGAGCTTTCCGAGGGTGGCGATGAGGATGGACATGAAGATGGCCAGTGTCATGACCATCCCCATGGCCATACTACTACTGATTACTTTGGTGATTGCTGCGGCATCAAGGTCCCCAGTACTATCGCCGCTGGCGCAGAGATGCGTAAGCGGATGGGTGGGTCGAACCTGCGCCCAATTCCCTTTGATTAAAGCAGCATCGTTGAATTATAGCAGACATTTGTTGGGAATCCAAGAATCATAGAATGATAAGGATATAATAAGCATAAGCTAGCTATGATATTGAAATTACCTTTCAAATTACGCAAACCCAATTATCAAAATAGACCCCTTATTTAGCAACTCCGAACAGGACTCTACGCCAACTTAGTTGAGTACTCAAAATAATTTGATATCCGTGATCTCGACAATTGGAAGATATTCATTCTGTCATTTTGGCCAAAATCGACCAATCTAGGCTTCGGCCAACCTGTCCACCACAGGATATGAGAACCAGACTATTCAAAGATTAGGTAAACTCTGTCTTCATTCTTCCTCATCGACCTCCAATAACAATGGCTCCCTCTCATCCTCGTTACCGTCCTCGTTTTTGAGTCGCCAACCCGCCACAGCGACAAACCCTACGAGCGCAACACCGACGAGAAACCCAGCAATTACCAGGGCCACATTGATGGGAACTGGGTTCCCATTAAAAGGTCCATGGGTTAATGAATCCAGCCAGTATTGAGAGAAATTAACCAATCCAGAGAGGCAAATGATCGTTCCATAGACACGACCAAAAGTTGCGAAGCCAAAGACCTTAGTTGCGTAGTCACTAAATTTCGAGTCAGTATATTTTGGGAAATGAAAATTGGAATATAAACTTACGACATGGCTGAATAATAGAGTGGTCGGAGAAGGACGAAAAGTAGGATGGTCAAATATCCCGCCCACATGGCCGGGATAGAGTTCAGAACGCCGATGATCGTGGTGAAAGCCACGATAATACTGAGCGTCGCTGGTACACTCAGCCGGTCCAGCAATCCCCCAATAACAGGTGTGAACAAAATACCACCGACGGGTAGTGCAACGTCGAAGAAGTCATTAATCTGTTCGGCGTCCTCGACGGAACCAAGCATGTACTCGTACTGTGATCGAATCGTTGCAATGAAATAATTCATGCGCACCATTTGAATGATAGTCATCAGAGTGATCAAAATGAACCACGGGGTCATCATCTGCCGGTGAGCTGGCAGTCCATGCAATACACCCCAGACTTGACTGGTTTTTTGACGATCTTCCTCGCGCTCGGCTCGTTGCTGTCTCTCATCTTCGTCGCCGAGGACTTCATTGATGTTCTTGATTATCTTCTGCCGCTTTTGGGCGCGCTTGCTACGCACGCGCCGTAGCTCCCTCTGGCTGTCAATTTCATGGTCAGAATCATGCACATCACGAGTGGGATCTTCGGCCTTTTCAATCTGAGTTTCCAATCGAAGTGTTGAGTAGTAGTCACGCTTTGGCATGAAGGATAGAAATGCGAGGATAATCAACACTGGGATGGCCAAGTAACCCAGGAAGAATTTATCTGGGGTAAATGTCCGAGATGAAGCCTCGTAAACAAGCCGATAAAGGAGGAATACAGCAGCAGAAGCATCGAATGCTCCTGTCACTAGCGCAACGATAGAGCCTGCATATTTTGGAAATGCATTTGCAATTTGAAATGACGGAACGAAGATGAAAGTTCCACCAAATGCTAGAAAGAAGTTGCCAGCGACGAAGCCTTGGAATTTTGGCCAAAGGAAGGTGAATGACATGAACAGGCTGCCCACGGCAAGGAGCACACTACCAATAAGGCCACAAATTTGCGACCCATAGTGGTCGAGAATCGTCCCGACAGGCAATGCCGAGACGTTCGCCGTGATGGACGCAATGGTAAAACAAAGGTTGAGTCTGTAGTCTGTTAGAGAGACAATCTGGCTGAGGAGAGGAAACGTACCTCAAGTCCTGCTGGACACAAAGTTCAACCCCTTCTTGCAGCTCTTCATCGGTACATTGATCATAATAAAGACCCTCCTCTATCAGCACAGGTTTCAGAGCTGCATATCCAAACAGAATACCCGACGCGACCCAGCATGCCAGAATGGTGAAGATGACCTGCGCTTTACAAGATCATTCAGTAAAGTTGGTTTACACGGACGGTCACCGCACATACTCAATCTTTTGACAGCAGAAACCTTGTAGGCGGGAGTTGCCGGTGGCTGCTCCTCAACCGGAACAGGTTGACTTGGTGCCTGTAACACATCGTAGCTGATCTTGCGTGCAATAGGCCTGAAGTCCTCATCAATTTCAACTTCCGGATCGTGGTCAACACCCTCGAGGGCGGAAACATGCTGCACAAGCGACATTTCTCGCTATGATGAGCTGGAGGAATTGTTGAAGGTGAGGTGATACTTGGACAATCTCCAATACCTCCACCTTGGCAGATGGGTCCTTCCATAGATGGCAGCGCAAATGTTTATATGGATGACTAAGTTTTTATGACGTCATTTAGAGCAAGCTCAGAAAGATTTCAAATTCTACAGTGTACCACGAATTACATGTGATATGCTTTAAAAGAAATAAAGAGCAAATATATTTGAGTTCAAAGTCATTGGAAGTTCATTCTTGTCGCGCCAAGAAACAGGTTCAGCCATCAGTGCAAGCCATACTTGAAAACTTGTAATACCACACCACGTCATGCAATATACAGCTTGAAGATTAATATCATGATTGTAAACGCTAGGGTAATTTTAGGTAAACGATGATGTTAGGTTGAATTACAGTGTGGTCTTGACACAAGCATCCAACAGGAGGTGGAAGTTAAGACGTTTCTGGCGGATTCGGAGTGGTGAAGAATTACTGATGAATATCCATCATCGAGTGCATTTTGTTCTAATCATGTAAGATACTCAGGAATCATGCCACATCTTTGACACTACAAATGCTATAGAGCATTCATTTCCACGATGCCATTTCACTGCATTGACGAAATGATATGTCTCTCTTTCTCATCACGTGACTTGTAGAATCTTGGAGAAGCGTCTGTTCCGATCTAGAAGCTACTGGAGACATCTAGTAGGAATATGTAACATCTAGCATCCGATCGTAAACTCGAACACTATGGCACAAATACTAATCATTATATGTGGCGATAGTCTACCACTGATCTATAAAAGACCCCTCATCACCCTGTCTACTAACATTCCCAGATCAAATCAAACACAAAGCAAAGCTCTAAGCTACAAACCGTCCAAAACATCAACATCCTCATTCATCCTTCAATCAACCAACTCAACAAAACCACAATGTCTCTCTTCCGCACCAGCTTCCCTGCTGCGGGCGACTTCGCCCCTCTCTTCCGTCTCCTAGACGACTACGACAACCACCGAAGCAGCAGCCACTCCACAATGCGCAGCTTCGCCCCCAAATTCGACGTCCGCGAAAGCGAGACCTCTTTCCACCTGGACGGCGAACTGCCCGGCATTTCCCAGGAAGACATCAATATTGAATTCACCGATCTACAGACTCTGGTTGTAAAGGGTCGCACTGAACGCGAGTACCACATCAAACCCACAGAGCAGTCTGGTGATAACCAGGCCGTTGAAGCTACGGAGAAGTCTTCGAAGCACTCCGAGGCTGATCATCACTACTGGGCTAGTGAGCGGACTGTCGGGGAATTCTCGCGCACTTTCTCGTTCCCGATTCGGGTTGACCAGGACAATGTCAAGGCTAGTCTGAAGAATGGTATTCTCTCTGTGGTGGTGCCTAAGGCTACTGCCTCGGCCGCGAAGAAGATTACCATTGAGTAAGACTCGGGCTTGAACATGGCCTTTTGATATCATTTGTCATGAGGCTATTATTTCACCCTCACCCGCGAGGCTTATGAGAATATGATACTTGGCGCCTGTTTTGTACTTTTACTGATGGAAGTATAACGTTACTTTCCTGCATGGTGTGGGTGGCTTAATGGCTGTACTTTCTTATTTCGAGAAATTTTTGCAGATAAAATCATCTACTTCAATAATAATATTCTATTTACAACAAATAAGTCCGAATGGGCTTCTTTCCATGTATCCCATTTCCAAGGATTCTATACCGAATATATATATACAGCCGAGATCAATCAGGTCGCCTAAAGCTATCTAGACTCGGCCATGTGAGAATTAGTATGATAAAAACTCATTCAATAACAAAGAAAATCAAATCATACCGTAGAATCCTGCTCTTCCAAATTCCATCAATAGTAGAAAACAATAACCACGGCTACACAGCCTTACAGGGCAGTGAAATCAACCCCCTTAGTAATTACCACCCACCAGTCACAACCTAGATCCCCTCGGAGAAAAGTGGCAAAAAAAGAAACACCCTCTTCCCCTCTTACTCCGCACCGCCTTCCACCAGTCCCAGTACAGTTCTCCATATACCCCCATCTCCCTTTCCCCCACGGCCACCATGGCGCCAGACGAATACTCCACTGGCGGGGGTGGCAAGCTCAAGCTCAAGGGCAGCAAAGTGAGCGACGGGCGGGTCGACAAGAAAAAGAAGAAGAAGGCGAAGAAAGAGAAAGACGCGCAAGGCGACCAAGCTGAACAGGCTCAACGGGCCCAGCGGCAGGGGTCAGGTGAGGCTGATGCTGAACTCCAGCGGGATGGTTCCCGGGAACGAGATGAGGAGGTTGGGTCTTCGGCGAAGACGGAGGCTGAGAGGAAGTATGAGGAGGTTAGAAGGAAACGGGTATGTTGTTCTCCTGGTTGTTTTGCTTTGCTATTCTTTTGGTGGTGTTTCGGATGGCGCTTGGTTTTTTAGTCTGGAGCTAATTTTGATTTTAGTTGCATGAGCGGCTCCAGAAGGAAGGTATCAAGTCACACAAGGAACGTGTGGAGGAGTTGAACAAGTACCTCAGCCGGCTGAGTGAGCATCATGATATGTACGTGTACCCCCGTTTCACTCGAGTCATCACCCTCAAGTCATGTTTCCCCCGTTGCCTTGTAGCTGAAGCTGACCCATTTCTATAGGCCGAAGATCGGACCTGGTTAAGGCATGAAGGAGGGTCCCGTGACTGGAAAGGGGACCCTGGAAGAGTTCAGTCAGGAGGACTATTTCGCATGAAGAACTTAGAAATCCCACTTAATGTACTTGTATCATATGATTACGCCCCAGAATCAAGAAAGCTACGAATGGAAAAGCATCACAATTAATATGGTATATTCATGTAAATTCGAATTCCAATCGGCGAGCACAAAATAAGAAATAATGCCCCAAGGGAGTCCCGTGGGATCTCTATGTAGCAGCCCCGAAAGTCAGAGACAGGAAAAAAAACGAGGAGCAGATAAAAAGGACCAGGCAAACAGGATGCAAAACCATAAATCCCCAGATAGATCAACCATAATCAATCACGAGAATGGAACAAGTAAACGCCGTGTAGATGGTGGCATACCTCCCGACAAAGGAAAAAAAAACAGAATGACTCAGTCAAGAGACATGGACAGATAAGAAGAAACCGGGTAGCCAAAAACCAGGCTACCTGAACACCCCTGACAATAAAAAGGAGAGAACAAGAAATCAAAAGAAGTCAACACCGCGCTAAGTCCAACCGGCTAAATGGCACCAGCCCACTGCCGGGGAAGGCGTGAGACGGAGAGAGAGAGGGGTAGAAAAGAATCTCCGAAACCCTGAATCAGAAATCCCTCAGGAAGAACCCCTCATACACCCTTGACCACCACCGTCCGCTCGCTATTCAACTTGTCTGCATTGCGGGCATGCGACTCCTTCTTGCAGTCCTCCAGACCAGAACAGGAATGGGCCTCGAGCATACGGTGCTTGGAACAGAAGTGGCCGTGGCAAAAGCTGCAGTCACCGACGATCCGCTGGGCGGCTTCCTTGCACTCCTTGAAATTGCAACGGGGCTTGCGAGGTGCCATGGTTGTAGTTGGTTGAGGAGTTGGCGGAAGAGACGGTGATTGAGTTATGGAATGCCGAGAATTGAGGTCGACCGGTGATGAAGCGACGCGGAGGAAGAGAGAGAAGGTTGCTGGACTGCGGACTGCTTCAGGAGCCGGGTGGGTTTGAGATAAGCGCCGCGGACGGGAGGATGGGAGGCGTGCGGAGAAGGGCGAGAGTGCTGATAACAGATAGAGATCGGGATCCGCAGGAATGGAGAGAAGCGGGATGGGATGGAGCTATAGGAGGGAGAGAGGTGAGAGAGAGGAAGGTTGTTGGTCGAGAAATTTAAGGGGTTTAAAAGGAGGAGAATTGGGTGAGGAGAGAAGAGAAGAGAGGAGGAGGAGGAGAAAGCGTTGGACGTTGGGGGAAGTAGATGATGTAAAGGCGTAAAGGGGGGGGGGAAGAGGTGGTACTCCGAAGGGGGCAGGACGGGGGCCACGTATAGTATATATATAGACCCCGGGATCGGAACGGACGGGAGCAAAGAAGAAACAGGCAGTGAAAAAGTCAAAAGTGGAAAGCCAAAAAACCAAAAAAGACTAAGAAGCCAGAAAGCCTAGAGGCCGGATCCAGGGTTTCAAAGGGGAAAGGATTAGTTAGGTATAGGATGAAAGACTGGTCGGCTGAGTCAGTAGGGTGAGGCGAACTACCGTAAAGACCTGAGGCTAACGGAGATAGTTCGCTGGGAAGTACATCATCTACCAAGTAACTGCCAGTATACTTACAGTACTACAGTACTACGGAGTACTATTACTACTGAAATGTCCGTAGTCTACCAGTACTCCGTTCAGTACTCCTTCAATACCATCAAAGTCCTGGGGGAGTGACGGAATCAGCCACGGCGTGGAGGCGAGCGGGTCTCTTCCCAGAAGGTTCGATAGGCTCCATTTTTTTCTTTTAATTTCTGGCTTTGATTTTCGGCTTTTATTGCGGTAGGATCGTTAGTAATCATTCACCATTTTCAATCATTCAATTACTATCGGGGAACATTTTAGTCGGGTCATTGTCAATCTCCTTAATAAAATCTCATATTGGCTAACTAATTCAAATTGTTGATTTCTAATTACTGGCAATTGTCTTTTAAATCAGTTCTACGGTGACGCCTCCCCTCTCTGGGGGGTCTCGTCTACCGTGTCTCTACCAAACTTCGGGGTGGCGCCTCACACGTATACTACATCCTCTCCAAGATAGTGGGCTATAGGGTACGCCGGAGGACTCTACTGTAAATGGGGAAACCATATGTAAGAAGCTCCTCTAGTGGACCTACTAGTTCCCTATCTCGCCATCTCATCATCTCACCATCTCGCCATTTCTGACATGCTTAACCCCCCTTTTTGCGCTATCTGCGTCTCTTTCTTGCACGCGACCCGCCAGGGCTGATCGGGTCTAGTGATCGGAATGCGGCCATCGGTCCGTGCGGGTGCTGGGTTGGGCCTGCTGAGTAGCCTGAGTCGGTTATCCTGCGCCTGAAGGGCTCCAGGCTGAGAGGCCCAGCGGTACATCAGTGTAGAGTCATAGTGGATATTGTACAGGAGACTGTACTCCGAAGTGGGACATTGCTGGAGCCCATAACCCACTTTACAGTAGTAGTCTCCTCACTAACGGTGACTAGTGGAGCGGGAGGCGATCGGTTCCCGTGACTCGCTCCTCTCACGTGAAAGGGTTGACTCGGGGCCAGTTCAGTAGTGATAGACCAGACCTGTGAATTGCTGTGGTTTGGAACGAGCTAGCTCGGGCGAAATGTGAAAGAATGGTCATTCTTCCCGAGAATCTAGTATCGTAGATCCCTAATTCCATCGAGGGGAACCCAAATTCCTAACTCCCGGTTCCACCAGTGCCAGCACACCCGCCACCCACGGAATCGATGAATCCTAGTCATCGCCCAGTGGCAAGGCATAAGGTGTTCGTGCCGGAGACTTGGATTTCAAGGGTCAACCCAACGATTGCATATAACAGATAGGGGACATAAGTGCGGTGAGTATATGTTAAGAGCTTGGGCAACCTTACACTAGCCCTTTACTATCGGGCAAATAACCTTGGACCCACGAGCAGTAGTTAATGGAGGGGGAAGCCGGGGTCAAGGAGAAGCTAAGACCCAGGCTAGAATCGTATATCACATCGACCAAGGCCTTGTATACATATACAGCATGGAAGGCAGGTCATGAACTGTCTGTGGTGAGATTGGACGAGTCTACTGGCCCAATGCGCACTTAGCGAAGCACGTCGGATGATCTTCAGAGGACTCTTGCTTCTTGCTCTTCCAGGTCATGTTAGGGCGATGAACCACGTTGGAGATTTGATATATCAAAAAGAAATATTGAATGTCGAAGTGAATAATGACTCCTTGGGTTTCAAGGATATGTACAGAGTACATATGAGCAGAGCAGCTGCTCCGGGCTACCAGACTGATCATACTACCCAATTCCAGACTCTTGATCTTGTGTGCCATTACCCCAAGCATATACCTCGAAGCATACGCAATCCACCACCTAGATATCTCTAGATGTCCACGTCTCCGTCCACGTCTACCAGGTAAGGTCCCTCTTTGAGGACCTGGCAAACTTTAAACCCTCCTCCATTCATCCTACCCACACTCAATCCGGCATCTACAGGTACAATCTAGTAACCACCAAGTACGACCACCTTGCCACCCTATAAAACTACGTGCTTCTCCCTCGCCGTTTCGGGACCAACCCGCATCCTGCACTCTGCACTCTCACCGCTGCAGAACCGGCTAAAGTTCACGGGCGCAGATCACCCGGAATTTCCATTCCAGCCAGCACCTGCTACGTGGTCCGCGGACAAAGAAAGAAGGAGAACGCCGTGGCCATTGACGAGTACAATCTGAATCCCCGCTAAAAAGGTTAATGAAATATGTGTTGGCAGGGTCTTTGGGCAGTCAAGCTTGCCTTTTCATGAAAAATGAGAAAAAAAAAGTAGGTAGTGGTATTGGAAGAATAGAACAAAACGCCAGTTGCCACTGCGCACGCGGCCCGATTTATGCGCCCGAAACCCCCCCCCTTGCCCTGCCGGGGCAACATTGAAGCATGGCAGACAAGACACATGAAAAAAAGGAAATGAAATACTATGGACCGCCAAATTGTGAAATGCCTCGTTATTTCAAACCCCGAGCTCCTTCTCCGCTCCCGCGCCTGGATCTAGGTAGTCCTCGCGCTCGGCAGCCTCATACTCCGCCACAAGATCCATTACTACCGCCCTTGCTTCGTCGAACTCGCCCAATCCATCGGCGAATGGTGCCTCCTTCTTGTACGGCTCCAAGAAGGCATTGCGCTTGCGTAGCCGATCGTATTGTTGGATGACCCGCTTGAACAAGGTGGCCACGGAGGTATGGTTAGCCAACATGAGACCGCTGACCCGATGCGAATGCTGCAGGTACGGCGATTTCTTCGTCAAGGCAACCTGGATACTGGCTGGGCCCCAGGGAATGAAAGAGGCGAGTCGGCGCTCACGGATACGCAGTAGTGATTTGTGCACGTCGGTAGGATCGGCTTCACCTTGGATCATGTTCAGGATACTAATGTAGCAGCTGGATTTACTGGGGGTCATGGAGACCATGCGGTTCTTCGGCTGGAGGAGACGGCGCATCACGTCTAGCACGGTGGTTTTGCGTACTGTCTTGGCTTTTTCGATGCTGTCGCCGGTGAAAGGAGTGTAAGAGGTGAGCAAGAAGTGGCATCGTGGCGTGGGGATGAGCGAGGCAATGATTCCGGCAAGGTCGTTGTGCATGTAGCCTGGGTAGCGGAGTGTAGCCGTGGATGCCGACATCACCGTTGATACCTACAGATGTCAATTTTCAACCAATTGGTGTATACTGTAGGTGATGAACTTACGAGCTGGTTAGTCTGGTCAAAGTTGGTCTTATCATCGAAAGAGTCAGGTCTCAAGTGGAGGCGATCGGCGACAATGCGCGAGAGCGCGCCGTTATCCAATACAACCTGCCAGAAGTCAATCATCATGTATCAATTGGTGCTAGGATGAACACATACCACAGAGTCCGCATCTTGTGTCAATCGTCGCATGGAAAGCAGACTGTTGTAAGGATTGACGACGACGTCTGTTGTTTGCATATCCGGGAAGACGGAGTATGTCTGGATCAGCTTCTTAGGGAAGCGGTCATTCATTCGCTCCAAGAGATAACTTCCCAGGCCGGAGCCTGTACCACCGGCAATGGAGTGTAATAGCATGAAGCCCTGTATCCAAACCAAGGTAAGTTATAACTCGTCGCAAATCCAACCACACGAATAGACTCCGGGGGCATGAGCCATACCTCCAGTGAATCACTACCATCTGCTTCTCGGTCGATCATGTCAAAGATCTCTTCTTGGACCCCTTCTCCAGCTGCGTATCCAGCACCCCAGTTGTTTCCAGCACCGACACCATTTTGTCCGATAAAGAAGTTCTCGGGGTTGTAGATGTTGCGATATGGACCGGATTGAATGGCGTGGAGAACCTGTGCTTAGATTAGTGACCATGTTTTCGCGTATTTGAGATTTCGAGAAGTGAGAGTGCCCCCATAGCTCTGTTAAAGGGGAAATGTCGTACTCTTGGTTCCAAGTCGAGTAGGATCGCGCGGGGAATGTATCGGGTGTCGTCACTCTGCGCGGTAGTCAATCAGTTTCTAACACCGACAAGGACTGCCTTCAGGGTGCTCTTTCGGCAATGAAACTGACTTGGTAGAAGAACACATCCTTGCGATCGCCGCCCTCGGTCGCGAACTCCTCCAGGTTTCCATCTTGGCTGATACCATGCTCCAGGCACAGCTGTTGCCAGAACTGACTACCGACTGCGGGTAGACACTGTCAGCCAGAAACATCCCAATTCGGTTGTACGATCAATTCCGCCGCTATTCAACCCGGAATCTAGGCGATTATGGTGTTGGGGTCGCTGCGCTCAAAGTCCGCGGAGGAGAGCAACATACCGTTGTTGCCGCATTGGCCGGCTTGGATCGTGATGATTTCCCTGCAAAAATCGTTGATATTAGTACGAATAGTTTTAGAATCGCTTTCTCTGGTATATTTGAGCTTGGAAGTACCAACCTAGGCATCGTGGTCAAGTTTGCGCCGTTGAGGGGATTGGAAGTCCACGCGTATCGCGTTGACGCGGGGAACTTTTGGGCTCTGAGCTGCAGCCTTAGGCATCAATTTACGGTTGGGAACAAAACATCAACAATCGCACGCAAATGCATCCAAATTAAAAGACTCGTTCTAATGGTTTGGTTGGCTTCGCTAAGTATATACATTTTTAAATCAACGTCATGCCAATTCATGCCTCATATCATTTTTACCCTGCTTAGCCGGATGGTATCGTCGTCATCTTGTTTCCACGGGGGCGCTTCGGCCATGCTAATAGCCAGATCGACAGTGGTCTGCGAGCTGACGAGCTCCCACGATGACACCATCGATAATCCGGACTCGAAGGCCATCGTTCTCTCCGTAGGCTGCGATGCAACCTTCTCTCACAGCTTGCTCCATGCCAACCATGCCGGCACAGCCCAGACAGACTGCTCCGACAAATGTAGACGAGTTCTTCAGCAGTCTGGTGGTGGCCTCTGAGATTCGACGTCTGACCTCCTCAGGATCAGTATGGTGCAGCTCGAGGGCAGAAAGACCGGTTGTCTCGACTCCTGCGAAGCAAGCAGGGGTTTCTTTGTCCTTGCCAACCAGCATCTCAGTAACGGCGTTGGTGAGTTCTTGCTTCCATCCACTGCCAGTGGTGACGATGCCAAAGGAGTCTTCCACCTGGTCACGGGCGTACATAACGGAAGTAAGATTGAATGCGCTGATCAAGGAGAGGGATGTTGTGACGCTGGATTCAAAAATTCCAGTCACGTAACGGTGGCGTTGGTTGGTGTGTTTCGACTCATACTCTGCGATTGCCCTGCGCAAGATCCCTACGAGAGGGTGGGCAGAGTAGCAGGCGACGAGGAATGCGTCAAAGTCCGGGATGTATTGGGTAGTATCTCGACAGACTAGTGCGGTCTTGGCCGAGTCCACGGAGCTGTTGATGCTGTCGATGGGAGATTCTGGGTGGGCAGGGTCGTATTTGTGAACCTCTCTCGGAGAGGTATAGAAGTGCCACTCCACATCATTGAAGTTGAGGCTTTCCATGATAGGCTTCAAGGCGTCTGTCATCTCTGTAGATACGTTCGGATTGATAACCATGATCTTGAACGGGCGATCGCCCTGTTGCGGAGCCATGATAGTGGCTGTATGTTTTTTTGATACACACAATAGATGCAGCTGAATGATAGTGAGACAATACGAGAGTGATTAGACCTCGAAGAATACGAGATATCCAGGAAAGGTTGTTCAAGAGTTGGATTTGGCAATAATGCGGTCAGGTCCGAGAAAAGGTGGAGCTATCTCGTATCAAACCCGCGGTCCATTCCGCAACCCCTCCCCCGCGCTCAACTATTTGACATCGACATTTCCAACGTCAACTTCAACGCCATCGTCCCTCTGCAAACCGTCACCAAGTCAATCGAAATCGCGTCGCACCTCAAAAATGCCGCTGATCGCACAAAATCCCCTGCCTCGGCTCATCCTCGGCTTGATGACCTTTGGCCCAACCGAGTCTAAGGGTGCCCGCATCACCTCCCTCGACGAATACAACAAGTGCTTGGACTACTTCCAGCAGCAGGGCTTCAATGAAGTCGACACTGCTCGGATCTATGTCGGTGGCGAGCAGGAGGCCTTCACGGCAAAGGCTAACTGGAAGGAGCGCGGCCTGACCCTGGCGACAAAATGGTACCCGCAAGAACCCGGTGCACACAAGCCTGCCGTGTTGCGTGAGAAGCTTGAGCTGTCTCTGAAGGAGTTGAATACCAACCAGGTCGATATATTCTACCTGCACGCGCCTGATCGCTCAGTTCCATTTGCGGAGACTTTGGAGATGGTCAATGAGTTGCACAAGGAGGGCAAGTTTGTCCAGTTTGGTCTGAGCAACTACACTGCCTTTGAGGTCGCGGAGATTGTCACCACCTGCTCTGAGAGGGGCTGGGTGCGGCCTACAATTTTCCAGGCCATGTATAATGCTATCAGTAAGTGATCGCACAGTTCCTGCCTCTCTCATGAGCAGAACTGACAGCCATTGTAGCTCGCAATATCGAGACTGAGCTAGTTCCCGTTTGCCGGCGCTACGGTCTAGACATTGTTATTTACAACCCTCTGGCCGGAGGATTGTTCTCTGGAAAGTACAAGACCAAGGACGTCCCCGCGGAAGGAAGATATAGCGATCATAACGGTACCGGAAACAACTATCGTAACCGATACTTCCGGGACGCCAACTTTGAAGCTCTCAGCCTAATTGAGCCCGTTGTCGAGAAGCATGGCTTGACGCTAATTGAAACAGCCTTGCGATGGGTGCGCCACCACTCGGCCCTGAAGATGGGTGATGGAGGCCGCGACGGCGTTCTGGTTGGAGTGAGCAGCTTCGGTCAGCTGGAGACTAATCTGAGGGACCTACAGAAGGGTCCGCTACCGGAGGAAGTTGTGGAGGTTTTGGATCAGGCCTGGATGGTCGCCAAGCCTTACTCTACCAACTACTGGCATCTGGACCTGAAGTATACTTACGATACCCAGGAAGCCCTGTTCAAGCCCAAGCCCAAGGCATAAATAGTTGTCCTTGGAAGTGTTAATTTGGGAGGCTTTGTCTCTGAGATATGTGTATACCTATATGCGATCTGATAGATGGAGTACATAAGGGAAATGGAATTTCAGCAAATTCGAGTTGGTGATTACTTATTAGTTCAAACATGAAAGAATATCTACATGATCCACGATCACGCTTTCGAGGATACTACACATTGTAGGTCTCTGTCAAGCGGAGCTAGTTTGAGACCGAAAATCGGGAATCTGACCTGCGAGCACCAAGAGCACCTAAGAATTTGAGATGCCTGAGCGTCCATTATCTCTGCTTGAACCTTGGAAACCTCGTTTCGCGTGCTAAATTGTATGGTCATTCGGAAGAGACGCCTGAGACAGACTGGCTGATCGAACGTGGCCCGCTATCCTCAATTGGGGATAGCGGTAAGTGCAAGGGCGCATCACGTGCACCAGCCATCCCCGAAGCGGCATAGAGCCCTGGATGACGAAGGCGTCCATTCCTTGGGGTATCATTGTGCTTCCGCGGTGACCAACCGCTCAATTTTTGATTGTTCAACAGCTTGCGTCGGATTTGTCCCACCCGGAACCTCTCCTTCAGTGAAGCTGACTCTATCGCTTGTCGCCGACGCATTCGCGACCCCTGGACCCTGCTCGAACGACCTCTACGTGGCCACAGCACTATCCGCCCCCAAACAGTCTCGTTGAACGAATGCGCAGCCACGGCACTCGTGTCGAGGATCTAAACTACAGCCGGCGTTGAGCGCTTAGGATCAGACGAACAGAAGCAATAAAACAATAGACTTGAGTTGACCCTTGCTATTATTCCCATACTTCTGGATGAGCGGGAAACTACACCATCGTCACCTCCACTCCACTCCTTATCGGTTATCTTGAGCGGCCAGGTCGATCTACAACGCCACCATCCAAGATCTCTAGCAGTAGAGACGGCCCTCCCCAAATCCATCCCAAAGGCCAAGAGCCGAAGCACGCTGAAACAACGGCATTGTGGCTTCGAATAGCATTGAACTTGCGGAATCGCGGGACAAAACCCCGAGCCCCGGTCGGTACTCCCAGGATTCAGACGACGAGATGGTTGGCAACCGCCCCCCAATGCACCGACCGACCGAGGGACGATCGCAGCAACCGTTACTCAAGGATGACCCCCAAGGGCGCCTTTCTCGATCCAGCTTCGGCCATGACGCGGAAAACCGGCCCATGTTGCACCACGCTCGTCGGCCTACCATTCAGAGTAGAAACTCGGAATACGACGCTGCCCAGGCGACTCGCAAGAAGTATATGATTGCGGGAGGATTCCTGCTGTTGAGTTTGGCTAGTTTTGTCATTCAGACTGAAACTGCTGTATACATTCAGCACGAGCTGCATTGGGATAAACCATATTGCATGCTGTAAGTTTTATAAAGACGAGTCATCTACCCACACCGATACAAGCCCACACTCGAAGCCCACGGATACTCCCCTTTGCCCATCAGCCCATTTGCCCACTGGCCCTGTAAATCGCTTACCGTTCGGTTCTTCCCACATGCAGCTATATCACCCACGGTTCCTGGGCACTGCTCTGGCCTGTCCAGCTTCTCATTCTGCGAATTCAAAAGCGAAAGCTATCATGGGATGCATTCTGGCGCCGCCATGTCTTCCTCATCAAAACCACCGCTCAAATGGTCGAAACGCAAGATGTACACCTATCAACCCGTGAATCACACCGCTCGCCTGTCCCGTACATGTTGAAGACAACCGCCTTTGTGACCACCGCTTTGACGATAGCCGGTGGTTCATGGTACGTCGCCGTTAACATGACGACAGCCAGTGACCTGACAGCTATTTACAACTGCTCCGCCTTTTTCGCCTACGCCTTTTCGATCCCCCTCTTAAAGGAAAAGCTGCGATTTGACAAGGTCTTCTCCGTGTGTGTGGCCATCATCGGCGTCCTCGTCGTCGCTTACGGTGACCGACCCGAGAAGAAGGTCTCCAAGGGAGGTACTACCGGTGCTGAGGACCATGAAGCCCAGAACCGGCTTTTGGGTAACATTGTCATCGGTGTCGGCAGTGTGCTCTACGGTCTGTACGAGGTGCTATACAAACGCTTTGCTTGTCCACCGGAGGGAACCAGTCCCGGCCGTGGCACCATTTTTGCCAATACATTTGGTAGCATGATTGGATGTTTCACACTCACTGTTCTGTGGATTCCTATTCCTATTCTGCACATGCTAGGCTGGGAGACCTTCCGCATCCCCACGGGCGAGGCGGCTTGGATGCTGCTAATCTCCATCTGTGCCAATGCTAGTAAGTATTAATATCCCTGATTGTGTCTTATATATGGAAGAGTAAGGATTGACCATCTCCCTAGCTTTCTCTGGATCCTTCCTGGTCCTAATCTCCCTCACATCCCCTGTTCTATCATCCGTCGCCGCCCTTCTAACAATCTTCCTCGTCGCAATCGTCGACTGGTTCCGCACGGGTCAACCCCTGTCTTTCGCAGCCATCATCGGCGGAATCCTAATCATGGCGGCATTCTTCCTATTAAGCTGGAGCACATACCGTGAAATGCGCGAGGAACGCAAAAAGCATCTTGAGAATGACCAGGTCGAGTCGGAAAGCGATGAATAGATTTTCCGCGTTGTGGGTCGAGTGGTGGTATATTCTGCTTCTTTTCTATCTACATTTTGTTTGGAGTTTAGCGAGTGTTTGGGTCTTAAATTGGAACTTGTACAGCTACCCATTGGGCTTGGGGCTTTTTCAATCGTTCATATCTCGTTTCGGTTGGTTTCCTTCTGTGACGAGTGGCTTTTGTGCTCGATATTGTCGTTGACTGTGGATATTGCATTCGGACTAGATGATAGAGACACGTCGTTCGTCTTTATGAATGAATATGGAAGGATGTATGTCGAGGTATAGAAATATCTCAAGAAGTAGCCGCGCTATACATACACACTCCACCTCTCACCTTTCAAGATTCCATTCTACATCCATACCCCAACTTCTTTATAAGTGACCTAGGCATGATCTTTCCGTATCTCTTGAAGCATATCCTTCGACGCGCGATCTACAGAGGACCTCGAGGATTCAAATTTACAGAATGTTAGCTATTCATCTGAATAATCATAAAAATTACGTCAAACATAAGTATCTCTCAACTCCCACAAGGTTAAACCCTATGCTCATACCCGAAATAGGAATGCAGTGCGACCCAAATCCACGAAAATTCTGCTCACCATCATGTCTTGAATTTAAGACATTCCCAATTCTCCATCCGGAAGATTTCATCTGAGCCGAACTCTGGTCGGCGGGTACGACCGACTTCTTTGGCTCTCCACAAAAATGGTCGTGGGTCTGCGGGCGTGTTCCATGGATGGGAAATCGGCATCCCGGAGATGAGCGATTGGGTCGGTGAAATCAGGGTCCGATGGTGTACTATGTGAAGGTAGAGATATTTTGAGGGTGGTGAACTAGAGCGGATTATGACATCTAAATTATAGAGTAGAGTGTAGATTCCATAATGCTATACAAGAAGAGAGTCATTGCTGTCTGCCTTTCTCAATCGGTGCAGTTCTTTTTGGGTATTTCTCAATGACAAAGACTGCTGTCTATAACAAAGCAGAGAACTTATCGAATATCGGCAAACGACCGGTCCCTATGCAGCCCTGCACCAGGTTATCTCATAGCTCGTCGAGACACTAGACTTGAACTGCTTCACCAATGAGAAATACCAAACCGCTGAGCCAGCCTTGAGAATATGGTTCATAATTGGATAAATAGAACCTACTGCAGGGTCTCAAAGGAGACAATAGTCGGTGTAACTGAAAATGGGAAACTGGGGCAGGAGGTATACTCCCAGTGCTGTAGCACTTCGTACAACGCAGCTTATCCCATATCTCAGGGCCTAGACCATCAGCATTGGGGGCTTCCAAGATATCTCGAGAAGATCTCCTAAATCTGGTATCATAGATCGCTTATAGATCATCGCGTTAACGGGTGTTGTCCCTGCATGTATCAAGGAGCAACAAGGCACTAAGGCACTATTTTCCAATATAAGACTCGTAGTTGGACGTGCGAGTAGACTCCTCGATTACAAAATGACAGAGCTGAGCTGAGCCACTAGTCTATTTCGAATCCGATGTGGCTGGCTGTGGGACTTTGTACTTTGTCCGTTTGTTTGTTGTCGGGTTCTTTGTTGCTGTCTCTTTGTTTTCTTTTTGTCGTGTCGCCTGCGGAGTACTTCGTATAAGCACGGATAAGATGACTGTCGAACCCTAGGATTCTACTGTACTACATCTCTGCCGGGTTATCAGATCACTCAACCGTTACACGTTCAGCATCCGGCAGTTGATCTGAATGAAGTACGTGTACAACTATAGATAGTAGGAGTAACTCCCCGACTATTGAACGGCCGCGCCGGATCTCCCGTTGCCGCCCCATTGGCTCCTTGCCGATCGCCCCCCGCCCAACCTTCCCCCTTTGCGCATCTTTCGCGCAAGTGCAGAAGGCGCAAACCCACATGCAATTTACAGGCACTCCAGTCTCCGTCATTGGCCACATCATCCTGCACTCCTTTCCTGACGCCAGGGGGTCTCAAGATATGTTTCATTAGGTCCTGGCCCCCCTCCTCGAGTCTCGAGACCTCAGCCCCGATCGCCCTCGAGTCTTACATGATATGTCCAACTCCCCCTCCCTCCCTTTTATCTCAAGTGGCGCTAACTTGTCGTTCTCCCTATTTATATCCAATTCTACTGGCGCCAAGCCCCATCGGATGGAGATGTCGCAGGCCTTGGTACCAGTAGTACGACCTGGCAATCTCCCGGGCGATGGGGCTCTCCCACCGACCGTCCCCATCTTGAAATGACTGACACTTGACATACAAATTTGAAGGGCCAGCAAATGTCGGTGCTGCTTACAACAATCAGCCCTAGACCATGCCGGGATTATCTCTCCAGTGTCTCCGGCAAACGGTCTAACATCTCACCCGTGTCACAGTGTTGCCATTCGACTCGAGGCCCCCTGTGACTCGCATACAACCCCCCAGCGTGGCGTCTGTAAGACCCACCAGTAACAAGCGAAATTGCGACGACTGATTGGCCGTGGGCGTTAGACTCATTGGTGCCTGCAGCCCACTTTTTCTCCGGATGCGTGCGCCTGCTCATTGGCGGTTGCCTTCGGACCCCAGGATCCTGAGATGGTCGTACCCAGGTCAACTGTGAGATAAAGTGGGAAGTGGGTTGACAAAAAGTGGTCCGTACAATGCCTGTACGGCCCCATCGGATTGCCAACGAACTACTGTGGTTTTTAGGGGGAGCCTTGGCTGGCTCAAAAAGTCAACACGTCGTCTCCTGGTGGCAACGACAGCCCCAAAGTCATGACGTCCTCTATTGTTCGGCTTTTTTTTCTCTCTTTTTTTCCCTTTATTTTCTCATTGCATCCCCGGACTTCGCCTGCGAACAATGGATGAGATCTGACATTCTACGGAACTCCCTTGTTTTTTGTTTCTCTTCTACTTCGATTTCAGATCTGGGTCGGGCCACTGGGGGGCGTTTCTCCCAGGAAGTCAATAAACCCGACGGGGATGAACCTTCCCAGGGCCTTTTATCCCGTACGTTTGTTAGATTGGCGTTGGGCCGTCCAATCTGAATCCAGGGCGCAGGGATCTTCTTTCCTTCAGCAAGACCAAGATCCTAGGGCACATCATTTTCAGGTGACCCCGATGTCGTAGTGCAGAACGCCGTAGGCCGTAAGTATACGTAGGAAGACTCGGGACTAAGGCTCTGAAGGGACTAGTCGCGAGTCAATAGGGACACTCGGACCAGGAGAGAACGGATCCCCCCTCTGGTTGCTCTGAAGTCTCTCCGTCGTGGTGGTCGACTAGTCTTGCGAACTGTCTCGTATAGAAATCCGGTATCGACACTGTATTATTGCCTGGTAAATTGGTAATCTCCCAATCTCCGGGGCTCCTCTTTGCCCCCTTTTCACTGGTGCTCGGATGGGAACGGGTAAATACCGTACCGTATCCAATTCGTAGCGGCCCCTCCTGGATTGTTGTTCTTCTTCGCTCTTTTCCCTTTCAACCTTCTCTCATCATCCTTTCGCCAACCCTCAACCTTCACGACTCCTCTCTCTTCGCCCTCCCACCTCTTCCTCACTCCTTGGCCCTCGTCGTGGCCGTCCGTTCCTTATTCAACCGTTTTTTGCCGTTTCGACTTGCAATCGACTTTATTCTCCCTCTTCCGACATCACTCGTTGCGTTCTGCCTGGTGCGGAAGATTCCAATGATCCTCGCTCGACGCAATTAAATCGACCTCCAGATTCCTTGAAACTTTCATAGCTAGGAAGTTAAACGGTCTGGGGGTCTACTTTTTGTCCATCTGGATCTTTTCAACCATCGATTTTTTTCTCCAATTTATTCTTGTTCGATTCGTTATTTTATTTTCTCTTCATTCTTCTTGCACAGCATTGATGGCTTCAATTTCCCTCCCCCCGCAGCACCGGTCGGGGTTTTCGCAACATTTCGACTCGCCTCCTTCGCCGAACCCTGATCATAATCGTCGCCTGACAATGCCAGCCCCGTTGCCGAACCCGCCATTTGTGTTTCCTGCTCGCGATCCAGAGGCCCCCGAGCCGCAGCCGGAGACAACCAAGCGTCGAACGCCGCCCGCTCTTCCGGCATTCTCGTTCAATCCCGGTGCAGGTTCATCTTTACAGCCTCCGACAGCCCCCATTCCTCGACCGGGTGGGCACAGACGGCGCCACAGTGAGTTCGTCGGGGGCGATCAACTAGTAGCTCCAGGGGCCGGAGAACCCGCGGATAAACGGGAAGAACCAACAACGCCGACACAGCCCAGTGCTCCCTCTGGACCTCCACCGGGAAGAGGGCCAGGACGACGACACCATGCTCATCGCCGCTCGGCCGCAATCTCCGGAGTCGACCTGAATGCGATCAACAAGGCCCTCACCACTCCAGCGGCGAGTGCTCCCACTACCCCTGGAGACCGGACATTCGACGACAATTCTTCTCGGCCAATTTCCTATTCAGCCACGAGTCTCGGTCGTCCTACACCACCGGCATCGCCTCGGTTTCCCCGGTGCCTCCGGTCCCGCCTATTCCGACTGCGATTCATATCGAGCCCGCCCCAAGCAGTGACAATGGCGATATCGGACGCCCCACCTCAGCAGTGTCGTATGAGTCTTCGCCAAACGCCCATTCAGTCAAGTTTGGCCAGTACGATCAACACGAGCTTCCTGTCCCCGTCGCACGGGCGACGCCGCCCAGTCACAGGTCAAAGCCACGGCCGAAAACTGCCGATGCGTCTTTAGCCTTTGATATATTCCAGAGCAAGGATGTTCCCCAGGTGCCTAGCGTTAAGCGGTCGAAGTCGACGGGTCACTCTCGTTCGAAGAAGAGTAGGTCAACAGGGAATCTGGATGCCACCCTTGCCATCCACGCTAGCGACGATGCCCATTCGACAGATACATCTCGCCCTTCCTACTCGGATGATGGCTCTGAAATGAGTGACACCGATAATGAGACAGATGCTTGTCCTTCTAAAAAGTCACGGTCGAAGCATACGAAGAAGCAGAAGCGTATTCGGTCGTGGGCTGGTGGTATTCTGGCCCGCGGCAAGGGTAAGCGCCATGGCAAAGGAGAGACTGAAGAGAAGCATGAAAAGCATGAAAAGCACGAAAAGCGTGAAAAGCATGACAAGCATGAGAAGAAGGCAAAGCCTGCCGCATTGACTCCGCCAACTCTTACACGCACCAATTCCGAGGTTGGATCGGTACTGGAGGTCGACTTTGATAATGACGACGTCGTTGTTCTTCGCACGCCTACAAATACCGATGCACCCGTTTCCGCTACCGAGCGTGCTAAAGACGAATCACCTATGCCGGCACCTTCTCTGGAAACTTCGTGGAAACCTCGAAGTTTCTATGAGCAGAATGTCCAAGGGCAAGATGATGTTTTGAGTAGTCCGATCATCGACTTGGACGCAGCGCTTGGTCCGTTTAATACTCCCGGTGACAATCGGCAGTCCCGAAACACCCCCAGCAAGTTCTACCTTGCCACTCAGCGCATGTATAGTGGTGGACGACGGGGTGAATTCGTTGGCCCAGAGATGCGATATCATCGTCGTACGGAGAGTGCTCCGGTTATGCCTCCATTTGACCGAAGTGCCCTTAGTGCCATTCGTTTGACCGGCACCTCGGCAATGGAGACTCCTGATGTCTTCTATGAAGAGGACGAGGATGCGTTCCTCGCTGCAAATCAGTCTCCCAGGAACGAACTTGCTTCATCAGCTCCCGTGGAGAGTGCCATTGCTATCCAGTCGTCCTCTTCTGACGAGGACGAGACGTCAGTCAAGAGTGAAGATACTACGGATACGTTGACCAAGGCACCGGAGCCTAGCTCTCCAAAGCCTACAGGTCTTGGAATCCAGGCAGATGAGGAATCTACGATCCAAAAAGAGGCACCGGCCGTGTCTGACGAGCGTGCTGCTGTCGACGCCATGCGAACCACTCGCAATCCGTTTGCAGGCCCGCCCCGAAGCCCCGTGGAAATCTTAAAGTCGGAAGAAAATGTGTCCAAAGTCCTGGGCCCGCCTAGCCCTGACGTCTCTCCACGCTTCCTGGCTATCGACAAGCGACCAGCGACATCACCTCAAGAGCTCATACCGGGAATTCCTCCGTTCTCGCTGTCTGCAGGTGTCTCACCCTCAGATTCCTCCTCCCCATCGCCTGATGCTCCCCGGTTCAACGACCGCACTTTCTCGTCCCACTCTTACCAACATCTTCCATCAGACTATCCTTATGCCTCGGTTGAGGATGTTCCGTCTCTCACGAGCAGCGCATCAACCATGACTGGTACTATGCACCGCTTTTCTGCCACATTCTTCCCCCGTGCTCGCCTATCCACCGATCGAGCTGCATCCTTTTCAGCCGCCGTCAACCGCCGGAGCAGCCAAGCTAATGCGTCCAAGCGCTCTAGCCTGGCAAGCTTGTCCAAACTCGTCGGTGGGCCTCATTCAGAGCGCAGCAAACTTTATCAAGAGGAGAAGCCTCCTGGAGACGCGCCGGAAAAGTCCAAAAAGAAGCGTCATCTCACTCGCTTGATGCATTTTTGGAAGGTGAAGGACAAGGAGAAGCATGCAGAGCCGACCGTGTCATCCAACACGTCCATACAAGAGTAGACCTGCTCTTTGGTTCTGATTTGCATTTACGTTTTCTTTTCATGGCGCAACAATCTCGGCATAGCGATATCCTGACAAGAGTCATCCCGTTCCGTTTCCATCCTCGCATCTCATCCTCTCCCTGCGCTCGCCCATTCGGTTTCCTGGGCTCTCTACTCTATTCCCCCTCTCTCTCTTCTCCTCACTCCCGATCGGTCCTGTACATATTTAGCTTCGGCTGTTTTCTTCCGTGTGGATTTTTTTTTCTATTATCTGTCTGTTTCGGCGGTCATTTTTAAACTTTCTGTGTCTCTTTGCAGACGTTCCTTACGAATTTCTTTTACTCTCGGGATCGCCGTAGCTGGTACCCGAGTACGATATGCTCCCATCTTTCTTGTCTATCGTTTATGTACCTGTGTGAGTCATGCACGGATTGATTATTGACTTTCTCTACGATCGTTGTCCCCTCTGTGGACCTTTCCTTTTTTTTTATCATCTCTTTTTATACATCTTTCCTTCTCTAACCACATTTTCTTGGTTCATGGCGGTTTGCCTGAAATATCATTCTTACCCACCCTCTCCTCCAGGGATGGGCTCTTTTTTTTCTTCTCATCATCTTTCATTTCGTGATTCTATTTCTGTTTGATTGGTGGGGATGTATTGTATCTATTGTTCGATACTCTACCGCTTTGGTGTATGTAGTGGCAATTTGACTTTGTGATAAGCTGATAAGCCAAAAAAAAAAAGCGGTTTCCTCCCACTTTTCCCCACGTTAAGCTGTTCAACCACCACACTCCAGTCCTGAATTGTTTAGTACCTCTCTTTACTATCAATTCCACGTATATAAAGTATTACATACCTCTACGCCATCAAAATGCCAGGCGCACGACAAGGCAACCGTCGCAAGGATAGAGACACCTTCGACAAACCCCAACAACGAACCCGCCAACCAGCCAGACAAGAAAAAGAAAAGCCCACCGAACGAACAACCCTGACCAAACAACCCCCTCAAAAAGAAGAACCAGACTCCGGTCCAATCGACCTCTCAACCACAATCCCAATCCCCCTCCAACAACTCCTCCTCGACGTCTTCAAAACAGCCCTCCTCACCACCTCCGCCGACCCCAACAACCAATCCGAAACCGATGCTGAATCAACCCCGACACCCCTGGACACAAAAACCCTCATCCAGACGATAAAGTCCCACTTGTACCAGCGGGACTTTGACTCGGCGTTTGCAGAGGCTGGGGAGGAATTACTGCGTGCGTATGCGTTGCGGTGGAGTGCTGCGCGGGCGTTGGGGTATGCGGGGATTTTCAAGGCTGTTTTGGGGTGGATGAGAGATGGAGAGGGGGAGGTGTCTTCGTCTAAGAGAGTGGTGGATCAGAATGGGACACGGGTTGTTTGTATTGGGGGTGGTGCTGGGGCGGAGATTGTTGCGCTGGCGGCGGCGTGGAGGGATTTGGGTGGGTATGAGGCTGGTGATGCCGTTGCGGTGCTTGGAGAGGGTGTTAAGGGTGTTTCTTTGGATGAGAAGGTGGCGGATAAGGGGGAAGAGAGCGTTGCTGGACAAGGCGATGGTGAACAGGAAAAGACTGGCTGCGCATCACCCAAGCTCTCCGTTGCAGCGGTTGATATTGCGGATTGGTCCATCGTGATGGACCGGTTGTCCAAGACGATTGCTTCGTCAGATGTCCCGACACAAAAGACCTCGAGATTCCAACCTCCCCTCCTCCCCGGATCTCACGGCCTCGATATATCCTTCAGCCGAACGGATGTCCTGGGTCTCCCGGAGTCCGATCTCCAGAACCTCATCCTGGGCGAGAAAATCACGCCCACACCATCCCTCCTCGTCACCCTCATGTTCACCCTAAACGAACTTTTCACAACAAGCATGCCCAAAACGACCGCCCTCCTGCTACACACGACAGAACTCCTCCCACCGGGAGCAGTCCTCCTTGTCGTCGACAGTCCGGGCAGCTACTCAACCCTGAAACTGGGTAAAGCTAAAGACGGGGCTGCGCAGGAACGACAGTATCCGATGAAGTTCCTGCTGGATCATACGCTGCTTTCTGTTGCGAAGGGGAAATGGGAGCGGGTTTTGACGCAGGATTCTAGGTGGTGGAGGCGCGAGGCGGCGAGGTTGAGGTATGAGGTTGGGGAGGGGGCTGGGTTGGAGGATATGAGGTATCAGGTTCATGTTTATCGGAGGGTGTAGTGGAGGTTGGGTGTGATACTTAAGTAGGGGGATGGTTAGGAGTATATATGGGGTTTGATGATACCCTTTGGATATGTAGATTTGATATTCACTGATATAAACAGGAAGATTTCAGTTGAGCGATTGTGTCGTACAAAATAGATCAGTAGTCGACATTCTATTAAGGAATCTCTACATACTAATGAAGACACGGTTCTAAATCCTTCGGCTAGAATAGCAGAGAGTAGAGGTATTGGTATTGCTACAGATCAATAAAGGCGGACAAACAAATCAAGTCCACCGCCGTAGGACTCACCCACAGTCCCACGGTTTCTCGCTTGCGATTAATTGGTACATTTGGTTTGGTCCAAAAGGGAGATGGGCGGCATCAACTTAGACCGGCCCTTTCTTCTGAATCCATTTCTTCCACTTCATCAACATCCCCCCAGCAAGTTCACTTAACTCCGCAGACCCAACAGGAGGCTAGTGCTCTTCCCACCGTCCTTACCCTCTCCACCAGGCAAGTACGTCACGTTAGGGTTATTGGCCAACGTCTGAGCAATCTCTTTGCTAGCATCGATCTTACGGATCTCAATCAAGCCACTACCAGCCTTAGCAACAGCCTTGCTGATAATGTCAGCAGACTCGGCTTCACCCTCGGCACGGATAACGTTGGCCTGACGCTCCTGCTCGGCGCGCTCGACGATGAATCGTGCCCGCTCGGCGTCTTGCTGGGCGATCTGCTTCTGCTCGACGGCGCGGGTGAATTCCTTGCCGAAGGTCATGTGGGTGATGGAGACGTCTTCGAGGGCGATGTTGAACTGCGATGCGCGCTTGAGGAGGTCGTTGCGGATTCGGTTGGAGACGGCTTCACGTTGGGTGATTAGCTCGGCGGCGTCGAACTGGGCGACGATTGCTTTGAGGACTTCGTTGCCGATGGAGGGGAGGACACGTTCGTCGTAGTCTGTACCGTAGGACTATCCCGGGAGAGAAGGTTGGTTAGATCTCGCTGTTTCTTAAGTATATGAGGTGGTGATGGTTGCTCACCTGGTAGATCTGAGGCAGCTTCGGCACCTCCGGACGGTGCAACACGCGAAGCGTCAGGCTGACCATCTGCAAATCCTTACTTCCAGTGGTGGTGGAGATATTGCGCGGCTTCGTCCGCACATCGTAGACGATAGCTCGCTGCAACCAGGGGATCAAAAAGTGTGTGCCTTCGTTGACGACGGTCTCCTGCACACCCGAGATCCTGTCGAAGATGACGGCGCGAGTTCCACCCCGAACATCGTAGATGGAGGCGTTGAACAAGATAGCACCGGCAGCCACGGGGCCAGCTAGCCGGTAGATGTTATACAAGGCGTTGGCCATGGTGTGGAGGAGGGTTGTGATTGAATGTAGATTGGGGAATACTCCAGAGAGATGAGAGCTCGTTTCGTTTCCATGATGGCGGGCTTTTTGGGGCTGCCTAATTGGGTTTAGTGCGCGGGTGCCAACTTCGCCCGACTTCGTCTTCGTCTTTTCCCTTTCCGCCCTTTAGCAATCCACTTTCAACCTCCCCTCTTCCTCACCTTTTCTCTTTGAGATTCGATTCTGTCACAATGGGTGGTGCTGCTGATGCTAAGAACGGCCAGTAAGTGCTTGCATTGGCTCCCTAACTCCCAAGCTTGGGCGTGGTCGAGGGGGATCGCGTTGGCATGTGTGTCCGGTTGCACCCGCTCGATGGGCCAGCCAGACCATAGCCCATGAGCGATGCCCTCGATCACTTCAATTGCTGGTTGACCATAATCTGCTGCTTTCCCAGTTTACTAACATGTCCTTTCTAGTTTCATTGGCAACTGGGGCGAGTTTGGTACGTGACGAAGCTTCCTTGAATTCCCGAAATGCGCATATCCGAGAGAATCGACCACCGCCTGTCCGACCGAACAACCATCGAACCTACTCGCATGGATTATAACCAGATTGCAATACAACCAGATACTAATGAATTGCACGTTTTCCAGGCTGCCCGACCCCCAGCGCATTGCCACCTACTCGCTCTCTTCTAACCGCCAGCGCCCCTTCGCCGGTGCCTTCCACGCTGCCATCTTCAACAGCTTCCGTCGTTTCCGCCACCAGGTTCTCTACGTCGTTCCTCCCTTCATCGTTGCCTACGCCACCATGAACTGGGCTGTTGAGCGGTAAGTCCGATCTCTCTATGGGAACTGCGCCGGGAATGGCAGACTGGATGGGAAAGGACAAGTACTGATACTGGATATTTATAGCAACGAGTTCCTCAACTCCAAGCCCGGCCGCCTGCTTGAGGGTGGTGGTGGTGAGGAGTAAATGTGGATTTTTTGTCACAAGTTTCCGAGATAATTGAGGAAGGAAGAGATGGGAAGTATACCGGGTTACGCACCGCGATGCGAGCCGAGCAGCTGTATCCTTTGTACAGTAAACTAGAAAGCAATCGATCAATTGGGATTTCATTTGTCTGCCAGGTTGTTTTGTAGTTCTACATATCATTCCTTGTTCACGCATTTCTATATACCTCGAGGTCCAGTCAGCACCAATCGGGGCTCTTCAATTGGCCAGACCAGCCCTTTTCCTCTTCGATCCTCTGTGCTTCTTATTTGCTTCTTAGACCACTCAACCCAGCCCAATTCCAGTTTCCATGACAAACTGTATCTCTCTCCTCTCTCCTTGTTATCGTTGGGTATCCTCTCGGCGCCTCCAGTCTGCTCTTCAGTGGCCCAAAGAGCCCGATGGTCTCCACTTGAACCGCTCCAACTAAAAAATTGCCCAAAACAGCAAAACTACCGCCGCCTTTTTCTTTCTCGCATGCGCGCTCTTCGACTTCTTTCTTCACGCTCTGTCCCCGTCTGTCGTCGCACCTTTACCTTCACTTCTACCGTCAATATGAGCGAGATCACTCACCCCTCTATCAAGGGTAAGCTTCAATTCCCCTTCTTCTCGCTAGCTCCCGCTAGATTTTGCGAAAGTCGCTGGCCAAAAGATTTCCGACCCCGCCATCCTTCAACGTCATCCCACTTTTCTTGACCCCTCCATCCCACCTTTTCACCATCAAAACTGGAATCGACTACAATTACCACCAGCACCACCTCTTGAACAATTCTTCTCCGTCAATGGCATCACTAACTCTTTAATCTCCCAGATGGCTGGTTCTCCGAGCAGTCCCGCATGTGGCCCGGTCAGGCCATGACCCTCAAGGTCAACCAGGTTCTGCACCACGAGAAGTCCAAGTACCAGGACGTCCTCGTCTTCGAGAGCAGCGACTACGGCACCGTCCTGGTCCTGGATAACGCTATCCAGTGCACCGAGCGTGATGAGTTCTCCTACCAGGAGATGATCACCCACCTCGCCATGAACTCCCACCCCAACCCCAAGAAGGTCCTGGTTATCGGTGGCGGCGACGGCGGTGTCCTCCGTGAGGTTGTCAAGCACGAGTGCGTCGAGGAGGCTACCCTCTGCGACATTGACGAGGCCGTCATCCGCGTCTCCAAGAAGTACCTGCCCGGCATGAGCATTGGCTTCTCCCACCCCAAGTCTCGCGAGTACGTCGGTGACGGCTTCGAGTTCCTCAAGAACCACAAGAACGAGTTCGATGTTATCATCACCGACTCCTCTGACCCCGATGGTCCCGCCGAGGTCCTCTTCCAGAAGCCCTACTTCGAGCTTCTCAACGATGCCCTCACGGAGGGCGGTGTCATCACCACCCAGGGTTAGTCACCTTCCCCCCCCCCCCCCCCCCCCCCCCAAGTCTCTGTTCATGTCCCTAACATCCTCCAGGCGAGAACCTCTGGCTCCACCTCGACCTCATCGCCAACCTGAAGAAGGCCTGCAGCGAGGTCTTCCCCGTTGTCGAGTACGCCTACACCACCATCCCCACCTATCCCTCCGGCCAGATCGGCTTCATGGTCTGCTGCAAGGACGCCAAGCGCAACCTTCGCGAGCCCGTCCGCGCCTGGACCCGCGAGGAGGAGGACAAGCTTTGCCGCTACTACAGCCAGGATATCCACCGCGCCAGCTTCGTCCTGCCCAACTTTGCCCGCAAGGTTCTGGATAACTAAGTGGATGAGTTGGTAGAAGTAAAATTTATTGTTGTTCTTTTTTGGGAGTGATCTAATTATGAACTGAGTAAAAGATGTAGTATCTTATCAATGGAACTCATTCTGGATCATGGATTCTTTTCCCAATTTTTTGGCAGTGACACTTGATTGAGAGTAAAGTTTTGGAGTTGCACTCTCGGCTTTCCTTAAGCGACCTCTTTTCGAATTTAGAGAGGGGAAATTGATAGTTTTCAGGGTTGGATCTTGTCAACGGGCTAATTTACTAGTGGTAGCTCCTGTATTTATACGTATGTCGGGATGTATGCCTGCTCTGCGACTCGGCGAGCTGACTCCATTTCACGCAGACTAAATATTCGAATTTCGCAGAACCATACGCAAATTCCTCTAAGTGTCAGACAATATGTCAGCATATCTTGCCTCGTCTTCTTCTCAATCTCATGAGCGATCCTCTCGGTTCTGCTTGTCGTCGATGATCATCTTATAAGGCCCGATGCCCGAGTACATGGCTAATATCAAATGCAACCTATACCCTCGCAGAAAACAGAACCAACTCCATCATATCATAGCACATGCCTGCATGCACTGGAATACACTCTTGTCTCTTGAATATAGCTTCCGCCAGAATGACCATCTCCCTCAATCAAACAAAAGACCCGCCATCGAAAGAGCCCCAACCCCTTCAACACCCGACTTACTTTCCTCCCCATGAGCCCATCTCTTCATCCTTTCAATTTCATCAAGTTCCCCCTTCTGCACAAGTACATCCGCCAAGTTTTTCACGGTCTGCAGCGTTGCCGGATGCGTTGGCCCAAGTAATTTTTCTTGCATCTTCAATGCCCGCCGATACGCTGCTTCTGCTTCATCCAACTCGCCCTGATCGCTGTATATACGGGCCAGATTGCTGAGACTAACTTGGATGTCGTAGCCCTCTTCCGCACCGAGGAATCTTTCTTCACCGGCTAGCACGGTTTTGAGCGTTTGCTTTGCTAGATCATGCTCGCCTTGTCGGTATTGAAGGACCGCTAGGTTATTCAGGGTCATGATTGTGTGGGGATTTTCTGGGCCGAGGGAGGTTGTCCGCCAGTGTAGAACCTTTTCACATGTTTCTTTGGCGCTGTCTAGGTCTCCCTGGCATTGTCGTAGCATGGAGAGAATGTTCAGACTGACAAATGTGTCTGGATGGTCTTCCCCTAGGACCTCCTCTCTGCCTTTTAGAGCTCGTAGTGCATTCTCTTCCGCGGCGGCAAGCTCGTTTAGCTCGAGTAGGGTGATCGTTAAATCACTGACACTCTCCAATGTGTCTGGATGCAGGTCGCCGAGAGACTTTTCTCGCCCGGCAACGGCCTTTTGAAGCATCGATCTCGCAGATGCGAGCTCTCCCAGGTGAAGTAGTGTCTCGCCAAGTGTTTGGGCACTATCCAGTGTCAGGGGATGATCGGCGGGCAACAGATTCTCCCTAATATCCAATGATTTCAGGCATTTCTCATATGCCTCCCCGTACTTTCCATTCGTCAAATCGTACAGAGCAGCGAAATCCAAGAGCTTGGCACACTCAAGCAAATCCGCTGCCGTGGAAAAGGTGTAGGAGAAGACTAATTGCGCATGCGGCGTCAAAGCCTCCAAAACCGGCCAGTTCTCATAAAGATAGCTATCTCGCCCGGGAAACTTGACAGAAAGCACTCTCAGTGCTTCCGCCTGCCAATGCCGAAGCATACCCGTGAGCTCTAGCCACTTTTTCGTAGAAAGCGCTACGAGTCTGTGCATTCTCACGGCGGCATCTTTGTCCTTTTCAGCGCTGATCAGGGAAAATGCTTGTAGAGCACCTAATGCCGTCCGGAATCCAACTTCTGTTTCCCCTTCTTTGCGAAGAAGCATCCGCGGTGCTCGGTGGTGATCCAATACCGCCATCAGAGAAAGGATCTGTGCTGCTCGTGCTTTTTCTCGAGATATTTGGTCAAAGGATAGTTTCCAGGTTCGTATCACCGAGTTTTCTGTATCCAAGTCTCGACGTAGATCTTCGAGATCTTCACTCAAGAGATCTTTTAGATCTTCCTCTCCCGTAGCTAACAATTCGAGGTACTCGGAGACTGTCAGACAATTCTCGCTAATGAACGCTGCAGCCTGCGTAATGGCCAGTGGTAAATAGGCAAGTTCTTCGACAAGTTTTATAGCATCGTCGTCAGACCATTCATCTTCGGGTATCCTCCCTCGTAAGAGATCAAGTGAATCCGCCGCATTCATCGGTAGAATTTCAATCGGTTTCTCTCGACCAGACAGCCGTTCACCAGCCCGTTTATCTCGCGTAGTGAAAATAATATACCCCGTCGAGCTCTGCGGGAGATAGCGCACCAACGGTTTCGAGTTCTTCCGGTCTTGAGCGTTATTAGAAAGTTTGTTTCCAAAGAAAACTGTAGCGTCGTCTGCGTTGTCCACGATCATGAGCCATTCGCCATTCCGCTCGTCGCTGAGCCACTCGTGGACCAGCTCCAGAATGTCGACTTTGTGACTGTCCCATCCTGGAAGAGCGAGTCTTCTTGCGATTTCTTGGTAGCCCTGTTCGAATCTGACCGGGCTGCCTGCATATATCCAGAAAACGTGTGCGTCGGGATGTTCTTCTCTGAACCGGTAACAGTATTCGATGGCGATTTGCGATTTGCTAGATTTTCAACCAAGAAAAATGTCAGTCGCTATGTAAAGCAAATATGTGATTTGACTTGGGATGAAATGGAGCTGCAAAGTCGCATGCTCTGTAAAAATGGAACCATAAATCGAGGCTATTCACATACCCAACACCGCCAAGTCCCGCGAGTGCAAGTCGACGTGATTTCTCGAATTTAGATCTTATATTTTCCATAATCGACTGACGCTCTAGGAACTTCGGATCCCGTTGGAACGGAACCATAAATACAGGCGCTGAAGGTAGCTGAGACCAGACCGAGTCCGATCGCGGCTTATAATCATACTCTGCCGGCCCGGGCGTGTACGCTGGCGGAGATGAAATGACAACATTAACCATCTGCTGATGCAACCCACCAGTATCCTGCTTTTCGATCCGGGCCATCGAGTGGTACATTCCGGAGTGTACGAGGAGATCGAAATTAGTTTTGAGCACTTGATCAATCTTTTCCACCTCGGATTCTTTGATAACTCCAATAAAGGCCCTTTTGCCGCGACTCCACGAGGAATCGGCGCTTCGGGGCAGCGCCTTGACGAAAAGTTCTTCGAGGTGTTGGACTTGGGAGAGACAGCTTCGCAGAACTGGTAGCATCACGGCTTGCGAGGTTTCGTCTACTTCCCCCGCTTCGATCTGTAGTCGAATCTTCTTCACGAGATCTAGCATTAATGGTAGGCGAGTGCGGATATCCTGGTATACTTGCGGTCCGTTGGAGACTTCATCTTGTAATTTGTGGAGTTGGTTTAGCGCCCTGCTGCCAAAGTCGACGAACTGGACGATGGCGGACACGAGTCCGATGACAGCGAGTGCTTCTGCCATCAATAAGAGGAGTGGTACCAGAACTTGTGGATATCAGAGATTCCTAGGTGGGAAAGAAGGGACTGGTGCAAGCAGAATGCACTGTGAAAATGAGGAGACGACAAGGGGAGGGGAATTGGTCTAGTCTGGTGGGGGTTGGGGGCGAGATTAGATGAGCATAACTTGTTTGTCCATGCTTTAATCTTTTCGGTCTAAATACCGAGAAAAGATTACATGCTGACAGTCGACTTATTACTGCTAACTGGCTAGTGGATTCTCATAGCGCTTGTTGCACGGGTCATTCCATGCTTGATTTCCAGAACCAGGGCTTCCTTTTGTGCTTTATGGGAGTTATCTTTTATGCTTCGAATATTCCAACTTATGGAGCGCTCGAGTAGACCCCGAGACCTGGTAGCCAGCACGCTGCAGGGATCCGAATCAGCTCAGCCCCTACTATTCCAGTAGAGTCACACGGTCAAGGTCGTTGTCTCGTGTTTGGTGATTTTGTGCAATCCCCTAGGTGGCCTATCACCGTCCTAGCTACCCGTTGACATCAGCCTCACGAAGTACATCATTGAACCAATACACCAAGCTCTTCCATGAGTTTCCTTTCTTCATGGAAGTTTTCACTTAATATATGAGTTCGTAATTATTCTAGAATCGTTTATCCACCACGCTTCCACATCTAGTTAGCATCCGCCGATGGAGACAGCTAGAAAAGGAAATACAGATTGCCCACACTTGTCATCTAGTGCGATAGAAGATCAGGAATAATGGCAGCGAGATCCGATAACACCCAAAACCGACAAGCGGGCGTTTTCCACGTGGAATTCGCGCATGCGGAAATTGGAATAACCTAGTAGAGGAAAGGAAAACCGCGTCAACATTAGGGGTTATCCGGTCATACCGTCTTTAGAACCAAGGCCTGTATCTGACTGATAAATACATCCAATGAGAAAATTTCTATCAAAACCCTACACCTAACCATGCAGTAGTAACTGCAGTCGCTCATAAAACTAGTAACATGATTGTGCTATTGATAGGATCAGAAGGATTCCGAGGCGGTTAAGGGTGGAGCCGCGGGGAGACGGGAGGGTCATACCGCAGTTGGAGTGTATTTGAAGCCATCTTCGTGTTGGGGAGGGGTCAATCCGATTACTTATCAGCGGGGCAGTTCCACTGTATCCTTAGCTGAAAAGCCATGTCATCACTGAAATTTGTGGAATTAATCAATTAGTTTGTCAAGACAAGGGGTCCGTATGAAATTTGAGCGGATATAAATAGCGGAGGCTACAGGTGCTTCTTTCATCGGCGAAGCCACCGAAGCAACTGTAGGACTCGGTATGGGAAAGGTTTATGTCAAATGATGATTGATTGAACGATCGATCCTTGAATGGAAGAAAGCATGGGGCTGGTAATAATCACGAGAAAGGCCCGATAGTAAACAAAGGAAAATAAATTACCCCACTTAGTGCTATGTATGTTCTTGAGAAGAGTTTCACAAACCTGAGCCTAGCTTTTTCTTAGCCCCTGTGCAAGTATACCTGATCAAATTAATCATGAGCAGGACTATATTAAAGCTGATTCACGGATACCAATTTTGAGTATCATAGGAAAGACAACTTGATTTATAGTACAAGTTACAGCTTGCTGCTTATGTATGATTTTGTTATCGATCGCAAGTGGAACCAACTCGAATACTGCGGCCCGGTAATAATACAGGAGAAGTTAGGAAATGTTTCAAGGCAAAAAAGCAAAACGGACAAGTCGCCAATAGTCCATTCAAATTCGGACTAAACCCGTATTACTGTATCTAGTGTAGCCTAGCACCAACCCCAGCCAACGTATGATCTAAGTCGAAGAGTGTATTCCTACTAGAGGGGCGGTCTTGAAAGCGGTGAGATTTCATCTTTCTGTTGTCGCAGCCCACCCGAGAGCACTCTCAGTGGATCTGATCTGATTGCATATTTCGCGAGAGTATCATTGCCGTACCGCCGTAGTGAAACACAATGGAGGCAAAAGCCCATTCAAAAGAGAGCTATACTAAGCCTGGGCAAATTTCATGGATGGAGCAGGACCTTGCCGATTGCTCTCGCGACTTTCGGCCACTATCGCAAGAACAAGATGCGGGGAGGATTCTCGATAGGTTACCCCAAGCGAAAGAGGGAAAGGCCCTTCACGTGGGAGTGATTGGAGCGGGGTTTGCTGGATTGAGGTGTGCTGAGATCTTGCTTGATAATGGTGTCCAAGTTACGGTTTTGGAAGCTCGGAATCGGCTTGGTGGTCGTGTAAGTCGGGCTCTGAACTTGGGACATGGAATTAGAGCACTACTGATGATGCATATACAGGTTCACCAAGTAGATTTGCTTGGCCATGCTGTTGATATGTATGTGAAGTTATCTTTTCTCTATCAAACTCAAGTGTGCTGTTTGTGAATCGAATTGTTCCATTCTGGGAGACTTGAACTTGGGCTTGAACTTATGCTAAACTCTCTTCAAGGGGACCAAACTGGATACACGGAACCCTCAACAACCCAATCTTAAATCTGGCAAAGCAAACGGAAACAGCCCTGTCCGCAGTCGAAGACTCGGCGTGCATCTTCGATCAAAACGGGGAAGTTATTAGCAACGACAAAGCCACGGAGCTCCTAGATCTAGTCTGGGAGATCATCAGAGATGCCTTCAAGTATAGCAACGAGGATTGCGCGAATATATCACCGGAGAGAAGTTTGAAAGATTTCTTCACGGATCAAGTCAGCGAGAAAGGGTTATCTGAAGAGGATCAGATGTTACTTTTACAGATGGCGGAGATGTGGGGGGGCTTTTATAGGGGATCCATTGGAGAGGCAGAGTTTGAAGTACTTTTGGCTTGAAGAGTGTCTTGATGGAGGTGAGCAAACCCATCGTGGTCAGTCAGCAGTCGCTGACGAGATTAAACAGACAATCTTTACGTTGCAAGCAGCCACGCAAAAATCCTATACAAAGTAGCCGACGCGGCTCTTAAACACGCACAAATCCTCTTTCGCACCAAAGTCGTCAACATCGAGAACACGGAAACTCGAGCAGAAGACGATCGAAAAGTCCGCGTAACATCATCCGAGAATCAAACCTGGGAGTTCGACGATGTAGTCGTTACAATACCCCTGGGAGCGTTGAAATGTGGAACTCCAAAGTTCAATCCACCACTTTCTCCAGCAATCACCAGTGCCATCCAAAATACATCATACAGCCGACTGGAGAAAGTATACATTACTTTTCCAAACGCATTCTGGGAACCCCTAGATTCAGACACACCAAACACATCACAATCCACAACATCCCCCTTCCAATCCTTCGCCAACTTCCTAAACCCAACCTATTCACCCACGTCAAACCCCTCATCCTGGAGTCTGGAGGTAAACTCGCTCTCCAACCCCTCCACATTCGGCTCTCACGCCCAACCAACCCTCCTATTCGGAATCTACGGACCCTGTGCTACACACATAACAGCCCTCATAAAGGGTCTATCACCGTCCTCAGCCGAATACTTCAGCGTGATCGATGACTTTTTCCGACCCTACTACGCCCTCTTACCAAAATACGACGCGACAAAGCCGGAATGTCGACCACTCGCTGTTCTTGCGACGAATTGGCAGAATGATGAGTTTGCTGGGTTTGGATCTTATATGAATTTTAAGAATAGTCTGGAGCCTAACGATGGAGAGGGGACGGAGTCGAGGCTGGATGATGATATTAGAGCTTTGAGGAAGGGTATGCCCGAGAGGGGGATTTGGTTGGCTGGTGATCATACGGCGCCGTTTGTTGCGTTGGGCACTTTGACGGGGGCTTATTGGAGTGGGGAGTTGGTGGGGATGAGGATTTTGAAGGAGTATGGGATGAGTTTGAGTAAAGGGGGAAATAGTAAAGAGGCTGGAGACGCTTAGACATGATTGTGAAGGTAGAATGGGATAAAGAGTAAATGAAGCATAACTTTGACGGATGAAGATCTGCTTTGTCTTAGTAGAGTAACAGCAATTCTATCTGTCAAAGGTAGAGTATTTTTTCGAATTCAGTTTGACCGTTCACTCTTGATCCTCGGAAAATAAATCTAAAATACGCTAATCCTAATCCTGTTTAGGGTCACCGCTGTGCTTTTAGCTTTAAACCCACCTAGCTACGTTTAAAAATGTCATATACATTGAACCAATCTGGAACGATGCCACAATCCCTCTCCTCGCTCCCTCCTGAAATCCTTTGCGAGGTCTGTCAACATCTTCCCCTATCAGACCTAGCAAGTCTCATTCGCTCATCAACATTCTTGGCTCGAATCGTGACCCGGCCTTTATACGATAGCCTCCTCTTGCATTCTCGCGCACCAAAAGCCAGCGTTAGCATTGCAAAGCTACAGTCGCAACTCATTCTCGATTACTTTGATGCCAGATCAGACAAACTACTCGCTGTACGGGCTGCCAGGGGCCAGTCTATCCTCCACTATATTGCAGCGGCTGGGAACGAAGCCCTACTGAATATTCTCCTGGCAAAGGGTGCTGATGTCTCCCCGAGAGATCAAAACGGCGAGACACCTCTGCATACAGCCCTAGCGAAGGGGAAAGAGGCAATAGCCGCGAAACTCATTGATGCTGGCGCGGATGTCCTGAGTCTCGCCAGAGGCAGACCCATCCTGTCTTACGTACATGCAGATACCTCACAAGCCGTCGTCGAAAAGTTGATATCGGCTATTCAGGCTGCTGGAGGGGATATCTCTTATTGTCCACCTGATGGACACACGGCATTGCATCATGCAAGTCGCCGGGGATACGAGAGTTTAGTTGGTATTCTTCTCGCCAACGGGGCAGATGTATTTGCTACCAATACATATGGCCATCCGCCCTTAATTGTGGCTTTTCAACGCATCGGGGTTAGCAAGATGCTCCTCGACGCAATGAAATCGGATCCCCGCGGCTACGACATCAACGAGCCAATTCCTTCTCTGAAAAAGATCACCAGAGCCTGGGTTCCAGAGAAGGCATCATTATTCTATGATAATGGAGATACAATCCTGCACGCCGCAGTCAGGACATGGAGGGCAGGCACAGTACAGCTACTCCTCGATTTTGGAGCCAATCCATTAGCACAAAATAACCCCGGCTATAGAGAGCCTCAGACCCCGTTTGATATCGCCGTTCTGGGCCGGTGTCCGGAGCTAGTCACTCTGATTGCGGGGATGCGCGACGCACCGGCATTCTGGACATCGAACGGATATATTCAGCAAGGATTTGAGACCTGTATCCGCGAGGCTTATCTTGGCACAGTCCGCATGCTTTGTGACCTTTATAAAGAGGGAAAGGTTGACCTTGACCTCACTGCAGCTGCGGACAAAATGTTAGAGACGTGCACGTATTATGGAAATCATGTGCCGGACCAGGATGTGAATGATACCATCACACATGTTATCTCTGCAGGGGCTAATATCAATGCGCAAGATGCGAAAGGACGAACTCTCCTACATCTACTCTGCGATTTTGGTGATGGCGAAGACCGCGACGACGCTAAGATCAGATTGATGAAATATCTCTTAGATCACGATGCTGATTGGCGGATCCGAGATGATCAAGGAAACACTGTTCTCCATGCTGCTGCGAAAGAACAGGGGTCTGAATCTGTTATTCGGCATATACTCGGAACAATCTCAGCAACGGATAGGGCCGTAGTAGGCTCAGGCAATGAAGACGGAAATACGCTGCTTCATTGTTATGCGGGTTCGTTCGCTACCGCTGACACTGAATGCACACCAACTATCAAATTTTTAGTTGACTCCGGCTGTGACTTGAATGCGGTTAATAGCAAGGGGCAAAGCTTTGCTCATATTGCCATAACACGATGGGTATCGATAGATGCGATCAAGGTCTTCTCCGAGCTCGGGGGAGATCTGTCTTGCAAGGACCATGAAGGCAGGCCACCTATTCATTACGCTGTGACAGTGCCCGACATAGAGGAGCGAGATCGAGAGAGGATTATCAGGTATTTGGTTGAGGAGGAGGTCGATCTTCATCAGGGTTGTAGGGAATGTGATCCTCGAATCCTAGGGTTCTAGAGGGAAAGATCTCGCAAACCACTCAGTCGTCTATTTGATCGCATACTACTACTTAGTGCTCCTACTACGGATACTGAAGAAAAATATGACCAAGAAATCGCTCTATATCATTCCTAAATAGGTCTAAAGGCTATTAACCCTTAACTAAAAAAAAATTCGAACAGTCCCAAAAGAAAACATTTTAACCTAGCCAGTCATTAAAAGCCCAATGCTTACAGAATTTGCTGGAAAGCACGGTTAATAGGCGAGCGGACGGGGAAGCCCTTGTAGAACTCGATGGTGGCAACGGCACGCTTGGCAATGCCCTCGGGAGTGAACTCGAACTTGGCATAGACCTGCTTGTAAGGGCCGGAGGCACCGAAGCGGTTGAGACCGAACTGCTCGTGGGCGTAGCGCTCCCAGCCCATGGTGGAGCAAGCCTCGACGGAGAGAACGGGGATACCGTCGGGAAGGACCTGGAGGCGGTACTCCTTGTCCTGGGCGTCGAAGACCTCGAAGCAAGGAACGGAGACAACACGGGCCTTGATGCCCTGGGCCTCGAGGGTCTTGACGGCGTCGATACAGATGCCGACTTCGGAACCGGTGGAGATCAGGGTGACCTGGGCCTCGGGGTTCTCGATGGCGACGTAACCACCCTTGATGGCCTTCTCGATGGAGGAGTTCTCCAGCTGGGGCAGGTTCTGGCGGGTCAGGGCCAGGATGGAGGGGGTGTGCCTGGAGGTCAGGGCAGAGTAGTAGGCAGCGCTAGTCTCGTTGCCGTCAGCGGGGCGCCAGACCATGCAGTTGGGCAGAGCGCGGAAGTGAGCCAGGGTCTCGATAGGCTGGTGAGTAGGACCATCCTCACCCAGACCGATGGAGTCGTGGGTAGCGATGTGAATAGCACGGACGCGGGACAGGGCCGACAGACGGACGGCACCGGCAGCGTACGAGACGAAGTTGAGGAAAGTACCGCCAGCGGGGATGACGGTACCGTAGGCAGCGAGACCGTTCATGACGGCAGCCATGGCGTGCTCACGGACACCGTAGCGGAGGTAGCGGCCGGACCACTCACCAATGCCGTACTCGGGGGGCTGGAAGTCGACAGCGTTCTTCCAGCGGGTGTTGTTGGAGCCAGTCAGATCGGCGGAACCGGACAGCAGCTCGGGGATGACACTGTGAATCTTCTCCAGGACGGCCTCGGACAGCTTACGGGAGGCAACGGCGGGGTCGGCGGAGGTGTAGGTGGGGAGGCTCTTCTCCCAGCCCTCGGGCAGCTTGCCGGAAAGACGGCGGGCGAGGTCAGCACCCTCGGTGGGATACTCCTGCTGGTACTTCTGGAAGAGGGCGTTCCACTCCTGCTCCTTGGCAGCACCCTCGGCGGCGTGCTGGTTGTACAGGTCGTAAACGGACTGGGGAACGGCGAAGCTCTCCTCGGGGTTGAAGCCGAACAGCTTCTTGACGTGCTGAGCATCGTCGGCCTTGAGGGGGTTACCGTGGACACCGCCGGTACCGGCGAGCTTGGAACCGAAACCAATGGTGGTGGTCAACTTGATGACGGAGGGCTTATCCTTGACCTGCTGGCACTTGCGGATAGCATCCTCGATGGCCTGGAGGTCGTTGTCACCGTCCTTGACCCACTCGGTGTGCCAGCCGTAGGACTCGAAGCGCTTCATGACGTCCTCGGTGAAGGCGCACTTGGTGTCACCGTCTAGAAGAGAGACAAGGGTTAGCATTGCCCAATGCTAGGTTTAGTTTGGCACCTTCTTACCAATGGAGATGTGGTTGTCGTCGTAGATGGCAATCAGGTTGCCGAGCTTCAAGTGACCGGCCATAGAGGCAGCCTCGGAGGCAATACCCTCCATGGCACAGCCATCACCGAAGAAGGTGTAGGTGTAGTTGTTGAACAGCTCAAAGCCGGGCTTGTTGAAGACACCACCGGAGTGGGCCTGGGCAATGGCGAGACCGACGGCGTTGGAGAAACCCTGACCCAGAGGACCAGTGGTGACCTCAATACCGGGGGTGTCGTGAGCCTCGGGGTGACCGGGGGTGATGCTGTCGAGTTGCTGCGTGGGGAACATGTCAGAATGAGGGGTTGGAGCGTTTTACGTGGCACTAAGGCACGAATGGAGGAGGCCAATGCTCCGAGATAGTACTTACACGGAAGTTCTTCAGGTCGTCAATGGTGAGGGCATAGCCGAAAAGGTGCAGCAGCGCGTACTGGAGCATGCAGCCGTGGCCGTTACTGTTGAATCATGACGTGTTAGGCGCGGGGATCTTTTTTTTTGTAGGCGCTCGGGGAGCGCTCCGAAATAGCGGAGAGCCCTCTTTGGTGGGAGAATTTCCAGGGAGATCCAATTGGGTACGTACGAGAGAACGAAACGATCACGGTTGGCCCAGTCAGGGTTCTTGGGGTTGAAGTTCATGAACTTGTTGAACAGAACGTGGGCCACAGGGGCCATGCCCATGGGGGCACCGGGGTGGCCCGAGTTGGCCTTGGAGGTGGCATCAACCTAAATACGGGGTCAGTTATGATCAGATTGAGGTGTGTCTATTGCAAGGCAACTGGTTTTTGATGCTATTGGAGAGGCCGGCCTCTCCAATTGCATTCCAATCACTCGTTCGGTAACAGCGGGGGAATGAGACGAGCAGAGACATACCGCGAGAACACGGATGGTGTTGATCGCCAACTGGTCCAGATCAGTGTAACCCATGATGGCAGATTCTAGAGGAGAGATTAGTGGGAAGAAAGTAAGAGAGTAGTCGAGGAGAGACTCACTATGAAGATGATTATGACAATGAAAAGAGAAAGGGAGAGAGAAGAAGCGGGAAGAAGAGGAGGAGGGGAAGTGTATTTGTTGGTGGGGGGAACTGGGCCGATGATGTCCTGGTGGGGCAACTCAACCCTCTTGCTTCTTCCAGTCCGGTGGTACATACTTTCCAGGAAAGTATTATTCCTTATGACTGTACTTTGATCAGCCCCCAATAATCATTGCTATTCTCTGCATCATCCGAGACTCTCGGACATATCCAATCGTAGTAACTATATTGTACACACGCCAATTGAAGACCAAAATAAACCAACCACCAGCTAAAAAGCATCATTGGGGAAAACCATCGGGCTGACTCAGCGAGGGGCAGTCGAGTTAACTAAGTACATTACTACTACATAATAAAGTACATAGTAAAGTAGTGTACCTATTACTCGTATTATTCCACAGCCTCTAGATCCGCCCAATTGACTAACCATCACGGAGTACTGTCATCCTAGGATAATCATCATCTCATTATCCGTGATGGTCCCGGTGGGAAATATAACCCAGACGCAGTTGCCGGCCACTTCCTCACAGGAGCTCCGTACACCGGGAGCCGCCCGGAGGACCCTGCTCCGATCTGACCACCAAATTAGCCGATATTCCACGTTGAAAAAGACTTAGTTAACTACTGACTACGGTATTATTCACATTCTACTATCAGATGAAATTATTCTAATTCCATCTCCGCGGCAGTACGGAGTATAGATAAAATGGTCACTTGACCAACGGAAAAATTTCAGCTAACATACGGAACTGCGGGTAACCCGCTTCCAGTATACATCCAACCCTAGTACAATGGTAATGCCAACTCGATGGGGTCTGCAGGAGTAGTCTCATCCGATGCAAGGCCGATGTCCACGGGAACATGGAAAATTTCAAGAGCATCCGCATTTCCCCAAAAAGCACAACGTGTTGGGAACATCCCGGTGTACCTGATGGGAAGACCGTCGCCGCGGCTGAGTCATCCTGATCCGAGCATCCTGGGATCATTAAACTGGGAGTTTAGCCAAATAAACATGCATTTGACTATTGGATACAATTGATTTCCTGTAGATTTAAGGCTGAGTATTACCCTGCATCTATGAACTTTAACATCTCTGAATCCCCGAAGCAATTGGCCCGAGTAGTATACTTCGCACGGTGGATCGACTTTGTGTGTACCTAAATCAACTTTTCAAGACTTTCTTCTGGTCCAGCAATTGCATGCAAAATGTCCAACATTATTATTCAAAGCGAACAAGCAACTCCAAGAATCTTCAACAAATCCATCAAACTCAGCCATCGAGTGGATCTAGAACGTGGGGGTCAGCATCGGGGTTTGAAAGTGCCCTATCCGGAAAATAGTATCCTTGACGGGCCTGGTTTTTCCGGCACTTGCCTCCACTGAGCCATTCCAATGTTGCCATCAGAGGTTTTAGACTATCACGCAAGCCTTTAAACTGACATAACTGCGTGATAGTGTCGGCGAACTTGAATATCGATTTGTAGATCTATACCTGGATGGTGAGGTCATGTGACTATCCACATTAATTACACATCTCAGGCATTTATTTTTTTTAACTAAGATTATCTGGCAGAAAATGGCTGGAGTCCATAGTGCATGCTAAATATGAGTACTCCACTATACCAAGTCTATGATCAGCAATGCCTGCTTCTTTGTGACTTCCTGCCGCGCTGTACTTCCGCCTCCTCGTGCTTGACATATATACAGATACTTTCGATTGCCCTCGATTCCAAATGATGCTTCAATACCATAAAGGCAGAGTATCAGGCGGTAGATCTCTAATTCGAGACGGATCATATCCACTACTGTCAAATGGATGCCGTGTCTGGCTTGAACTTCTTACTTCCCCTCCTCAACACTTGCCAGCTCTAGGCCCCTTCATGATCCCCTCGTCTCGAAAATTCGAGGGCTGACAGATCAATTCTACCACGCCGGGCTTCAGTCTATATCCTCCTTATCTGAGGCTCTTCCCGTTGCATACCCAGGAATTTCTACCAGTCTAACTGAGTAATCTGATCCAACCTCGACACATTCACCATGGCATTCCGTCCAGGCAGCCCCTTCGAACTCCCCAATGGCCGCCTAATCCGTGGTCCACACCGACTCGGTGTCTGTGGCATCTGCGCTGTGGATTACGACTTCATATATGAAGATGAAGATCGTGAAGAGGAAAGTGATGGCCCAGACTACGAAGTTGATCGAAAAAGGCGCGAGAGCGCTTGCGCAAGCTTGGCTTCATACCCTTCGACCAGGATCCCCTTCAAATAGAGTTTGTAGCTCCGCCTGCGTTTGCTGGATTCGCTTTTACTAGGCCCAATGTACCCCAGTCCAACTCAGCCGTGCCCAGCTTGTCTGATGGGGATGGCACGTTCAACTATGAGAGGATTCGGCCTCGGATCAATTTCACAGGACGCGTCATTCCTAAGAAGTTTGTCCCTCCAACCCCAACAGATAGGCCAGAGGCCCTGTTTCCACTTTCGGGTGCAACGCCCTCGCCATTCGGCCTGTCGCACGGCGCCCAAATTAATTCGATCCAATGAAAAGCGCCAATTCCTCATCTACATGGATGGCGCATGCTCAGAGAACGGTGGACTGACCGCGAGAGGGGGTTGGTCTGTCGTCTACAAGCGTTGTTCGAGATTTCCCGAGGCTGGCCGCGTTAGTTTCGCACTTGAAGAAAAAGGCCCTACTGGCAAAATACACCAGCACACAAGCAATCGAGCTGAGCTGCGAGCCGTTATCGCTGCGTTGCGGTATCGAAGCTGGAAAGGAGAAGGCTTCAAAAGCCTGGTTATCGCGACTGATTCTGAGTACGTGGCCAATGGTGCAACGCAATGGGTAAAGTCATGGAGACGAAATGGCTGGAAAATGAGGAACGGGGCCGCCGTTAAGAACCAAGACCTTTGGAAGTTCATGCTTGGTGAGATTGAAATGTATGAGGAGAAGGGTTTGCGGGTGCAATTTTGGCGGATTCCAAGACAATGGAACGACGAAACGGATCTGTATGCTAAAAGGGATGTCAAGAAACCCCCGCATCGGAATTACGAAGATATTCACGGGGTTTTAACTTGAAAAACAGACAAGCATTATACCAAGACACTTCTTCACTTCTAGGGAAAATGAAGGAAATATAACAATGACTGTGGTAGACCTGCTATTGCATGTCTTCTTTTACAAATCCATATTTCCGGCCACCCTGTGTATCAAGTGAGAATTACTCTCGGTCCGCATGATAGCCCTAGAAAAGGCTTATTTAACATTCAATCACATCCTTCTACTGCTGAATGCTTTCCCTGGTTGTGATCCTCTAGAAGTCCACTCACATTTATGGAAACTCTACGAGAATATCAGTCTACCCTTTGGATTCGATTTCACATTTTACACGAAATCTAAACATATATATTCACTTTCATCTATCAGGCATTACTCCAGCAGCGCAGCACAGTATACCACCTGCCCTCGCACATTCTAGTCAATCTGCAAGCTAAGAGTATAGCAGCCAAATAGGAGTCACATATCTCTCACAGAGCAAAATCACACACTATTCCCTTCCCTGCTAGCCATCCATACTCTGATTAAGCTTCTTCACACCTTCACCCCCAATCCCATCAACCCACCCATCCTTCCGACGACAATAAATCTCCATCCCTAACTCCCCACACCTCTCCCGATCTTCATCATCCAAAGTCCCCGACTTCACCGCCACCTCCTCCTCATCATCGTCAGATCGCGACGTAAACGGCGTACCGCAATCAGCGCAGAACTCGCGATACACTACTCCGCCTTTGTTACTGCCATCTAGGTACAGCTTTGGGGAGCCCTTGGTGTACTCGAAGCTGGATTGGGCAACGACGATGTTCGCAGAGAAGCCGGAGCCTGTGTAGCGTTTGCAGTTGTTGCAGTGACAGAGAATTATCTGATGTATTTTGTTAGATGAGGTATTTTGGCGATAAGGGAGGATTTAGAGAGAAATGTTTACCTTGGGCAACGGCTCGGGAGTGGGCAGAGTAATGCGGTATGCTATTTTTTTTGCATAGGCATGCGCCGGTCAAGTAACTTGGAGCCATGATGGACTATTGGAGTCGTTGTCGGGTCTTGTCTTGGATTAAATATTGTTGTAAGAGGAGAAGAGGATTTATTGCCAGGTCATTCAATTGACAAGCTCAAGATGGAGCCCCGCCAAATCGGACCTAAAGAGGTTTAGTGGATGCTTTAATTAGGGCTTCTTTCCAGGGGGGCTGTGTTATCTCGGGCTCCATATCCATTCCGTTGCTCGTATCATTATTCAAAGCAGATAGCACCGCCTTTCTACGACGTTGTGTTCATGAGTAAAATTGAAGTTGAAAAATCCTCAAGATTGAGGAGTGTTGTAGCCGTTGAAGTGCATTGCTGTTACTACAGTTCTAATCAACGTGCTGGGCACTCAGTTTCATAGAACACGAGACCAATGATATAGGATAAAGAAAACCGTTCAATAATGTACAAGCACCTAATTCGAACACAATAAAGCTCTGAAGATTCATATACGCCTAATCAAAATACCACCACAACCCAAACCACTCCTTTCAACAAGTCTCCTTTAAGCCTCAGCTCGGGTCTCCGCGGCACCTGTCCCTGTAGCCCCAGTCTCCGGTACAGTAGGGACATCATCCTCCAACACGCCAGTCGAGTTCGGCACATGAGCCGAAGCTCCCTCTCCCTTATCAAACGAGCCGCGAATAACCGCAGGATCAGCTGGGAACTCAAACTTGGAGCTTTTCCACGGCTTCACCTTCATCAGATACATAGTATCAATTTCCTCAAGCGTACGTCCCTGACCCTCGATAACAGCAAAGTAAACCAGACCCGCTGCAAGGAACAAACAGCCCGCAAAAACATAACCGAACCGGAAGTCGATAGCACTAACAATAAATGGCGTGAAGAATGCCAGCAGGAAGTTCCAGAGCCAGTTGGATGCGGTAGCAAGCGACATACCACGCGCACGGTACTGCGAGGGATACAACTCGGCAATAATTGTCCACACCATGGGACCCCAAGTACTTGCGAAGCCGAGAATGAAGAGGCAAGCAAATACCACCATGGCCACGCCGGCAGACTTTGTGTTTTCGGGATTCTCACGATCAAGAGAGAAGTGGCCCACCGAGGCGAAAATCATGAAGCAGACAAACATCCACAATGCACCGACAATAAGCGAGCGACGACGACCGTAGTGTTCAATCAGGTATAGACCCAGGAATGTGGTGCCGAAATTGACACCACCCAGGATCATCTGGGTCACGTAACTGTTTTGAATCCCGGCGCCTTTGAAGACGGTTGTGCCGTAGTAGAAGAAGTAGTTTGCACCGGTCAGCTGCTGCAGAGCTTGGAGGGCGACGCCGACGGCGACACGGTATTTCATCGTTGGAGCGCGGAACATTTGTACCCAAGTGACTTCGCCGTTGCGAACTTCTTCTTCGTACTTTTGCTTGATCTCGTCGAATTCGATGATAAGGACGCGATGGTTACGAGGGACACCGTAGATCTTTGATAGGGTGTCAATTGCCTTGTCCACTTTGCCATGACGGTAGTCGTAGCGGGGACTTTCGGGGAACATTGCCATTCCCACTCCCAAGATGACAGCCCAGAGATAGGTGATTCCCATGGGGATACGCCATGATGAAGTGTCGGTGTTAGCTTCGGTTCCGAAGTTGATACAATTGGCGACGAAGATACCCAGAGTAATGAACAACTGGTAAGTACTAGGAGAAGTTTAGTATGAAACTAATTAATAGCCTGTTTGGTTATCTCACCTGATCAATGATCCTCGAATATGTCTTGGTCCAGACTCGGCCTGGTACATGGGCACAAGCAAGGACAAAGCACCGACGCCGAGACCTGCAGTCCAACGGCCCAAAGCGACCTGATACCATTTGCCTGATGGTGAAGAAATCTGTACAGTGATACCAGCACAGACGATCACGCACCAACCACTAATCGACCATTTGCGTCCCACGCGATCCGCGATGAAGGCTGCGACCAATGCACCCATCAAAGTACCGATTGACAACTACGACGCTCGTTGGTTAGTACTTGGCTTCCTTTTGCCAGAGCAGGACGTGTACCACTTACCAGACCGACGATAAGACCCGATCGCACGTTGCTGAAGTAATAGGTCCCATCAGATCCTAGCTGACCATAGCGTTGCAAAAAATTTTCCATTTCCAAGAAACCCGATATCTGACCAGTGTCGTATCCGAACAGGAAGCCACCCATGGAGACAAACACACCCATCAAAGTAGAGCGCCAGGTCAACAGCGGGATAGGTGTATCAACGACATCATGGGCAGCTTTCTCACGTTCTGCCGTGGAAATCGATTCTCTAGGCACGTCGGTGTCGCCGTATACATCCTCCGTCCGTTTCTGAAAAGGGTTCTTGAAGCCCATGCTGAATTGGTGCAGGCGATTGCGATGTTGACTAGTCCAAGTGATTCCAATCTAATCGATTAAGCATTTGCCAGGGTCTTTGTGTAGGTTCCTAGATCCCTAGAGAGAGAAAAAAACCGCGGACGTCGTCTCTTTTATACAGTCCCCCATACGTCATTACTCCAGACCCCGAAGCAAAAGCCAAGTATAAGCAAACGCAAAACCATGTGGTTGCGTGGTTTGGGGTCCCCAAGAAAACCCGCGTGTCGATCCATACAAACTGACGCAAAGAGACGATGATGACTCGTTCATTTCACACGGAACCGAACAATTACCTTTGACGGCCAACAATCACCACCGTGGTCGAGCAGGCGGCAATGTACAAAAGCAGGAAATCTGGGGAAGTGGAGATTGACTTCTGCCAATCTGATTGAACAATTCATGCGATCCGGGCGTGGCCGCCCATCTTTTTACCATGACCCAGACAGCATGGCCAAAAGTGATCTCAGTGGCGTGCATGATGAGGCTATCCGGTTGACTCCGTTTGTTAGAGTGGCGAAGTCACCTGTCCAAAACGCTATCTGTCTGAAGATTTGCCAGTGATGAAAGTGGTGGCCGCTACGAAAGCTTGAGCTTGGCATCTGGCGATTTCGTTGGTCGTTTCGGCCGGAATGTGAAGGTATCCACTCTTATTGGGTTTGCTGCGATTCAAGTCGCGGGGAAGTTTCATCCCGAGCATTTTCCAGCCGGTTGGCCTTCGGCAGGCCGAGAACATGTCTAGAATTAGCTGGATATAAAGGCACACTCGCATTTCATGACCAATCTAGTAGTCAGATAGACTTAAGGTGGTCTGAGGTTTCGGACAAGCCGTTGGTCCTAATGAGTTGCCTGGATTCACTCCGAGCTCTCCCGAGTCCTACCGAACTATAGCCATGTTAGCAGTGGCTGATGGTTCTTCGATGGGACCATTTTGTTCAAGGTTGACAATTTCAGCGACGGAGCGGAAGCTACTTGAGCACGCATTTCATGCAGAGCACGGATTAGACAAGAAATATCAATCAGCATTCCAACAGCTGGAAAGGTCATGTACTGTAGATTTGCATCCCAAATAAAAGCGAATGTCATGTCATATATCCAAATCAAGGTCCCAAATATCCAACCCCAATTCCACTAGTCTCGGCAAAGAAGGAAAGAAAACGCCCCCAGGTATCATCATATGTAATCACAATCATCAACAAACACCAACTGCCCGAAATCAACAAGCAAATAATGGGAAAAAAAATAATAATCAAGGGAATCTCTCAAACGGCCAGCCGTCGGTCCCAGCCGTTGATAAGGCCAAACTCGTCAATCTCATCCTTGCCAGGCATAGCGAGTCCTTGGAATGGGTCGAGAAGGCTCATATCATCAGGGTGCACCGAGGCATCAGCCAGGGAGGTGAAAGTGTCCTCGTTGCTACCCATGCTCTCGCCGGAGTAGCTTGGTACGCTTTGCGTGGTGTGTTCGTTTGTCAGAGGGTAGTCACCACTGCTGGCAGACCATGCTTCTGGTGACAAATCATGCAGGTCAGTCGATAGCGGAGCGGGAATGCTCAGTGTCGCATCATGGGACTTTCGACCGTACTCGGCTGTGATTGAGGCGAATGGGCCGGGGTCCTCGCCACATTCACTGCCACCATAGATGCCGGTGAATATATTGGAGTAGCCGCGATCCATGTCACTCAGGACGTACTCCCAATCGGCCATTGTGATGGCGCCAGTGGTGGCGTCAGAAGGTGTGGAACACGACAGGGCCCGCGGGTGGTCGTATCCCATGGATGAAGAAAATTGTCGCAAGTCAGATCCAAGATCAAGAGAAGAGTGTGTTCTATCCGTGGGGTATGGCGCGGTAGCGGTCTGATCAGGTTGGGACGGAGGAAGACTTGTCCAGCTAGGAGACCGGAGAGATTGAGAGTAAAGTTGGGGCGAGGAGCCAGAAACAGTGTTTCGACGAGATTGCGAGCCCTGTGCAACAGATTGGTCCTTGTTGGCACTGTTGGTGAGTCGAGCCTTCAGGGACTGTAGGTGTTTCTTTGGAGACCGGAGGGGCTTGTGGGTCGGCGCCCCCATCTCATGGGACTGCTTGACAGCGGTCACGGGCTTACGATCATTCATGTCCAACGAGACCAAGGTGCTGGCAAGCGTCCTGAATTCGGTGGCTGCAGATGACGATTCCGGTTGGAGCTGCTCGAGAACAGCACAGAGTAGCTTCTGACTCTCTTTTGCCAACTTGCTGTCGCGCTTCAAGCCCATAGATTGCCACAAAAGGCCTAGACCAGAGAAGAACACCAGCTCTCTGCGGTTGATGCTGACAGAAAGGCACAATCGGCGCTCATCTAGCAACTCAAGAATCTGGATAATGTGCTTCGCAGAATCAGAGATGGCCAGGACAGATGGAGAGCGAATATGCTCTTCAGCGAAGCACACAGCTGGGCGATGGATCAACGATCGAATGAAATAGTAGACAAGAGACAGCAGGGGAGACCGGCTACTCGTAACATTGGTGCTAGGCTTATCTTGGCTGAACTCGAGGCGGAGGTGGGGAGGCAAGCCATGAAGCCATTCATCAAGCTGTCCGGCGACCGAACGTAGTTTAGCGACATGGACATCGTATCCAGCCTTTAAGGGATAAAGGTCCTCCAAGGCCTTGTTCAGGATACGCGAAGCACCAAAGAGTGCAAGAGCGCTCGAGATACGGGTAGATTCACCCGGGAGCGTTGGCAAAAAGCCGGACTCGGTGACATTTTCATCGTCAATATCGACGGGGTACTCGATCTCAATATCGCTTTCGCGGATGAGAACAGGCATGCCAGTCAGAGCAGAGCAGAAGCGGTCCACAGTGTATTGACACCAGAAGACTTTCTTGCGGGTCTCAGCTTCCAGTGGGTTGCAGGCCAATTCCGCTGAGTTCTGCTGCAGTTCCAGCTGGTGACAAATGTCCACCGCAACGGCACGGTAGCGTAGCATACTGCGATAATCGCCCTTGGTCATGCAGTAAAGCTGGGCCAGAATAAAGCACTGCAAGCCTACGATAGAGGTTTCGTTGGTAAACGAATCGAGCGAGGCAGTCCAGTTCTGCTCAAAGAAAGCAGGATCTTGGTTGGTTCGCGACTATCTGATGGATTAGCACTTTGCGTATGCCAATAAAGGGGATCCTATTACTCACGCTGGATGAAAGGGCAGCGATTCCAAAAATCAAGTTTAACTGAGCCATAACATGAACATCAAGTTTCATGGAGTCCGAGCCGTTCAAGTATTCTCCATAAGCTTTTAGAATGGTCGGTCGGTGTACTACTGGGTACAGTGGCGCCCATTCCTGGAAGAAGATATTGATGAGTTGATCCGACACCAAGCGTGGCGGAGTTTTGATGGCCTGGTTAGGAGATCCATGAGAAAGAGGCGGAGATAGTTTCGTGAGGGCATCGACAGAAAGATTGGATGCAGATTTTCCTTGGCTGGCAAGGGAATTATTAAAGGCATCTAAAACCAAGTTAGATCTCCCATTCTATGCGAGGGCGTGAGAATAAAAAAAGCGCTAAACCTACTAGCAAAACCCTGGATGGTCGAAAAGGCAGCATAGGGATTTTGTGACGCTTTCTTCTGGATGTGGAATTTCTCAACATGAATCAATCCTTCTCCAGAGTCCGAGGTGGGAGATTTGGTCGACCCGGTCGTAGACGGGGATCGGATTGACGCGGCTCGTTGGGATGGCGAGGAAAAAGAGTGTATCCGTGATAAAACGTCGATCTTTTCGTCCTTTTCGTCCAGTAGATCCTTCAGGTCCTTCACCTCCCCCTCCAAGGTGCGCACACGTTCCTCCAGCGATTCAGTGTATCCACGGGGGAACGCACGTCGGCTCAACTTGTCGCTCGTTTTACACTCGAATCCAACGTTGGCACACTGTGTACAGCACGGGCGAATGCCATCGCAGCGAATCTTCTTGCTTCTGCATCGGTCGCAGGCCTGGGCGATCCGGCTTTGGGTGCCGCCGACCTTGATCACTTTCATCGGTAGAATACCAGGCATTTTGGCGGGACGGGCGGGCGCATCGGGCGCCGCGGCTTCACGAGGATTGTATAGTCGTCCGAGGAAGTCGAGTTAAACGCAAAAATGCATATAGTTTCGTCCAGCGTGGATATCGAAAAGAAGACAGCAGTTGTCTGGATAGCGAACGGGGAGAAGGTAAATTGCAGGAGAGAGGGGAAGAGAAGGATGGCAGGCGTGTCCATGCTGACTCAGGCAGGTGGAGACTGCTGACCCGTTCGTCCACCAATCACATGTCGCTGGTTGAGTGTACCGTCATGTATCGCCGCAAAGGTTAATTTGGCTCCCCTTTTTCTTTTCGGCTACTCGCTAGACCCCCGTGGGGTGCGATCTGGGAATCGGGTTTTTTGAATATGTTCTTATTTTATGGTCTCCATGCTGGAGCACCTTATGATCGGTCTTGATTCCTCTCTATGCGCCGCCATTACCCCCAGTTCTAGACGATGTCGTTGAGGATCGTTGGATCCTCCCGAGGTCCCCGGACTCCACACTCCCCGGTCCTTGGCTGTACCGAATGTACCGCCCGTATACAACCTGGACATGGGCAAATTATGACAGTGCACACACTATTGGCACAACCTGTGAGACGAGTTTGAGTGGCGAATCAAACGCCTGCTCAGCCCAACCACTACAAGAACTCTGTTTTCAAACCCGCAAAAGTCATAATGTGATCATGAAATACTGGGGTACTGGTTACTCGGGTCGCCTTTCCAAGGGTCTTTCAAAATTTTCGGAAGTTGCAACAGCTACGACATCCGAAATCTGCTCGACTCTTTGCCTTTGCAAGACGGCTTGACCTGGGACTACCGCCAATAGTGTCCATAGAGCATTCCGAACATCACTACCAGTCAATACTCTAGTTGACGATCGACCTTGGTAGCACCGCGGATCAGGGTCAAGCAAGGCAATAGTCTCTTCAAAGAGACTACTCAAAAAGGGGAATAGACGGCGGCCATAGTGACGAAATTCCGGGTGTCTCAAACATCCGCTCCCCCGCAAGTGTCGTCTTACCGTTAGGTCCTGTGCTGACTCCGATATTCGGCGCAAAATCCTCGTTTAACTTCGACATATCCCGTTCAATTGCATGATCCCTGTCTTTGTGAACTCTACTCGGGTTGTTCAGGGTCATAATCACTTGTGCATAATAACCACTATTTGACTATACAAGATACTATCAAAAGCAATCGATCATACGGTACGTGGGTTCGAGGCGTGGCCGCCCCAAGCGTTCACGCATGGGGGATCAACCATGCGGAGCCGCTCGACCGACCAATCACTATAGATCGATTTGACCGCCTGGTGCCACAATCAAGGTCCCACACATCCTTGAAAAATCTTTTTTTCTTGGGGGGTTGTGGCTTTTTTCGAGGAATTTCGACTGCGAGACTTTCCCGAGAGAACGCCGAATCTGCCATGAACCACGGATTTGATCACGATCAGACTCCACCTCGCACACCCGATGCAGCCGGGTCGTCCGGGGCATTGGGAACCGATCTACGGGGCTCCACGGGGCCATGATGCAGGGTCAAAATAGTACGGCAGGTTCGGATGATTCATGCGTGCGTGGGCAATTTGACTTTGCGGGGTTTTCACTGGCTTGAGATCATCTCTTTCCGAATCTGTTGATAGAAAGTGCCGAAAACACGCCTAAAGCTATTGCCTTGGGACTTAATTCCTGGCTTGGCCCATGAATCTTCATGTCTGGCGCTTCGCAAGTATCCAGGTATGAAGGAGGAGGATCCAGTTTTAGCATCCTTTTAGCCATGGAAATACGACAAGAATCAGCGAGAGACGAAGTTATCGTGCCGAGGATGATCGGACGAAATCTTTGAAGCATGCATATTGATTGCAAACGGTAATCGAAACAGCTAGCTCCAGGTTTTATGAAAAGTCTTCCACCTCCTCTGTTTGGGATTGCTTGGTGAGGTAGGCTAGTACAGTTTCCGATTCCAACAGCTTGGTTCTCTAAGCCGAGAGGGTTAGCGCCGATCCATCAACGTTGTATAAAGAATAACGGACCTGCTCGATGAGACTTTCAATAGCTCTTTGCAACAGAGCCCCTTCAAGTTTCCGTAAGCGAGAGACCAAGCCCAAGACTTCAGGTCTGAAAAGCGTCTTGAAAAGATCCTCGTTCCCACGGAGGTTTTCCAGTATTTGCTCTATCTGATGAAGCTGCGAAATTTGAGTTTCCGCTCGTTCAAGGACCAGCACTACAGCTCGCAACTTGAAGATTTCCCATGACGGATCGGCTGCCAGAAGTCCTTGAAGCTGATCAGGGGACTGAACCTTTTCGCCTTTCCAGGTTGCTTCGAGTTCTTTTGTCCCATCGGTCCTTTGAGCGACGCCAATATATAGACCGTCTTCTTCGTTCACGCTTGCCCACCATACAAGTGGGCTGTCCCAGCTGATATTCGATGATGCCGCCGACGCACCTTGGTCTGAGCCGTGTTCTGTAGAGAGCTTAAGTCCAGGGGTGCTTCGGCAGAACATATTCTTAGCAACTCCTAGGGGGTCATCATCAGGAAGAGACAAATCCAAGACGACTTGCTTCGCTTCGGACTGATCCTCGTCCAGAAAACCATATGAGAACAGGATTTCAGAGGCAGATTTTTCATCGCCGTACCTAGCGTATGAAGCATCAGCATTGCCAGTATCCTTCGAGTTGGAATGGTAAAACTCACGAAATAGTCACCTCATCACCCGGCTGTAGACTCTGGCCCCAACGCAACTGGAGAATAGCATTTCCATCCGAATCAACATCATAAAGTGCTTTCGCGTCCGGACCTGCCACATGATTCGCCATATCAATGCAGGGGACCATCGAATGTCCACACCCTGGCAAATCAACCATTCGAGACCGATAAGCAGCATCAAGATATCGCCAGTCGTCCATAGACAACATTTTGGATTCTTTATTCCACCAACATACTTGACACCAGTTAATGCCTTCTGTAGAGTGACGGAAATGCTCAAATTCCCGCTCTAGAGATGCGGCTTTTTCTCCAACTGCGATCTCCAGCGACGTTCCCCTCAGCAGTTCCAGCTCCTCGGAAGAGTAGAAAGTGGGCAAGGAAAATGATGAAGGAAGAAACTTGACGTAATCTGTCCATGGGCTCGATACACCGATATGCAAAGGCACGTCTGGACTTGAATGCGATATCTGGAAAAGAATGTATATCATGATCGAGCCCCTCGCTGTCTGGGTTTTGTCAGTTCTTTTCTCACCCGTCTAGGTCATTCCCAAGGTCTATGGGCACATACCGTGCCGAATCCACCAACTGCCTCCAATACCTGGCGCAATTTCTCATCGGACTTGGCATAGCCATGCACAGCTTCTAGCGATAGGACTAGATCGGATGGCACTCGCAGGAGGATCTCCGGCTGTGTATCACTTTCCTTGCTGGTCTTGGCTTCTGTTGCGACGATGGCATTGCCCTTGTCTGTGTCATTTTCAACCGAGCCAACCTTTTGAAATGCAACTCCACTCGCAGTCACTCCATTGAGATGTAGCCAGGCTGGGAGGGAGTCTGTCGGATAATATTCCCGCTCCATGGTGTTGCGGGATTGGAGTCGAAACAAAATGAATTGTGCAATATATGGTTCCCGAGTTGATGATTCTTGATAGCTGTTGCTCGCACAATAGGCGATATCAGTTGAGTGAGTCTGATAGCTGGCTGTATGTTCAAATGGCCCTCGAATCGTGGACTTTAGACCTAGAGCATGAATGACATTTAGAGTGGATGCCGAAGCTCCCTTTCCATCTTGCCTCTGGCGGAGAGCTTAACAGCCAATCAGAAGGCTTCATCACTGATGAGATAAGCTATGTGTCCCTGCCTTAATGCCTTAGGCTCCTACTCTCGTTCTGCTGTTCAATTGTTAGTTTAATTATTGCGTTATTGTCTTCCTGTCCGTCTAATTTGTAATAAGACAAGTATATTCGGTGCTCTCTTGTTAAGCTTTATCAGAAACCGTGGGATTGATGCAATTACCGTCTGGCTCGGTATGTTGGTATTGCGGCACCCAGACGTCATATCATGCAGATACTTGAATTTCAACGTTGTATTAATCATAGTGATAAGAATGATTTTTCGGAAGATGCCATTTGTTTCACTTTTACTATATTCGTGACACTGCAAATACCTGTTACAGCCCATCATGCCTGGAAGTCACCTCGTTTCATTGAGGATACCAAGTACCCTCGTCGCACATTCCTCCCGAGCATCTATCTTGCCGGTACAATCAATCATATCACCAGGAGCTATCTACATTCCTCGAGGTGCTCGGTGCCAATCCGTTACAAAGCCATGGAAAGGTTCACAAACCGAAGAGCATAGCATCCCGCGTGCTAAGCGAGGCGATACTAAGGACCCGTCCGCTTCTGCCGTTGCGTCCGGTTTGGAAGAAAGAGATGTGAATGAAAGTATCGCAGATGATACCAAGTCGCAAGGCACAACTCAAAGGGGTGGTCGTAAAGAGGAGAGGAAGGCCAAAAAGGACCATCCAGCGGCTCCGGAGCCAATACTTGGGATGAATGATGAACGGGGAGGGGTATGAAAGGTCTTCTGTCCTGCGTCGATGTGCTGCTAACTATACGATAATAGAAGGGCCACTGATCGCACACGACTCGTACCTGGTCATCATACTATTGGCGTCATTCTCTACTCTTTGTGAAAACATGGATATTGGTTGTACTTCGTGTCTCATTGGTGCAGGCGGTATCGATTGTTTAATGCCATTCCACTTTGATTCTGTACATGATGGATTCGTCTATGCTTTACCGACCGACCTTGAATGATAGGATCTAGATTGAAAGCACAATTAGTATTTTAGTTCAAAGGAATTTAAAGCAAATCTGACTCACATCGTGTTTACCGACGGCAACAATATCTTCTTCGGACACTCGAGTACCTCCGACTCCTTCAATGTAGGAGATTGGCACATCACCCATGACTTTTCGGGCCACATCACCCACTGTGCTATTCCTGCGAGGAGTCAGTACACAGTTGAGGATAGCAAACTATTTTACTTACTTCTTGACCAGGACACAATCACGGAATACCGCGCTTCCAGACCCCGAGTTGAAGGTCTGCACGTTCCGTACTGGGAAGACGGGTACCAGACCCAGAAGCTCTGCCGCTCGAGAAAGACACTGAACCACGCCAGTAGATCCAAATCGATACAGAACCATGTCCTTCAAGTTCTCGACACGACTATCAGACCGCCACCGGTTAGTAAGTGAACGTAGGTTTCGAAATTCTTCGTAAAACCTACCTCTTCAACTTTTCATCCATCTCCTTAAGGCCACCACCCTCCGGATCACCCATTTCGATCAAATCTTCGCGAGCATCCACGAACTCGCTACCCTCGACGTACTTGATGTACCCCTGCTTGGCCAGTCGCCGAAGGAAGACCTCTGAGATAGCGGAGCAAAGGACGATGGAATGAGGATCTTGCATTTTGGCAATTTTGCTGATATTCTATACAATTGTGATTAGTACAGTTGGAGCATTTTCCTGAGGGGTTCACATACCTTGTCCGCATCGGGGTGATCAATCTTGTTCAGGGCGTATACAGTGGGAAACTTTTCATCAATGAAGGCCTTGACCACAGTCTCGACCGTTTCATCTGACCATGCCTCGAGAGGCTCTTTCAGGGCAAGACGATCTAGACACCGTGCAACGATAGTTGATGTACTTCCGTATCCAGAGAACTGGCCTTGTAATGTGTCGACTGGGTTCGCTTTCGTTGCGACATGCCTCCGTTTGATAGATCCCCTGAGATGGCTTGTCAGAATCTTTCCCCCCATGGTCTTCAGTATTTAGATCCTACCATTTCTCCATCAAATTACCCAACACCCATCGCACAATTTCTGAATGCAGCCATTCAATGTCCACGGACGGATCGTATCCTCGAGTAGCTTTTCCTTCGGCATCCGTAGTTCCACTGACATCCACCACATGAATCAGGGCATCGGCATGTCGTAGGTCATCCAAGAACTTATTGCCCAGTCCTCGGCCTTGATGCGCTCCTGGCACAAGTCCTGCCACATCCAGTAGTTCAATGGGAACCGAGCGGCGCCCTTCCGTGCAACCACCGTAGTTCGGCTGGCACCGATCTGAAACGTTATGTCGCTGGCATGGGCAGTCAATCTGGAGGTATCCGATGGCTCGTTGAGGGTCAATGGTTGTGAAGCTATGGTGTGTTACTCGTTAGCGTCAAGGTTGATAAGGCGGGGGACGATCGTCGCAAGTGAAGGAAGCGGCTGCGCATACGGGAAATTGCCTATTTAAACATTGACGATTAGCCTCAGAGATTGGGATATCAGACTCAACACCTCCTTACCAACTTTGGACGAAGCGTCGGTCAAACTGTTCAAGGTCGTGGACTTTCCACTTGACGGCTGTGCCCCTCACACGGTCAGCGGGGTCGCAATATAGGGGCAGGGAAGCACGCACCTTGCCCACCAGCCCAATCAATGGATCGCGAGGCATTTTGCACGATTGCACTCACTATAAGACCCAAAATGACAGCTCACAAGGTACCCTGGTCTCTCCAAGTGTGCCCTGACTGGCGGACTGCGATAAGAAACATTTTCTGCCATTCTCGGGGAGAGGGCGGTGTGCATTATCGGGTTTGCGGCGACAAAAGCACGTGTGCCACAGCCGTCTTGGAAGATTCTGGGCCGAAGGCTAAGCCTACTCGGGATATATTTGAGCTTTTGAATTAAGCGATGTTAGACTGGTCTATTTCCCAATTATAAAAAGAATTACATTTCCTGCAGTGAGGCCTTAATATGTGAGACCTTAGTATGTGAGACCTTAGTATGTGAGACGCAATTTGATCGGGTCTACACGTGATCATTCCAAGGTGCAAGGAACGAGATTTGCAGTAGACTCTCTACAAGATTAACATGAAAGAATTCTTATATTTGTTCGAATCCTATACTTCGTTTTAGGCACTGGCGGTAAGGCACTCACTCCATCGGAAATTACTGATCGATTATCTGTGATCCGAATGACATCTAAGTCTATCATTCCCTCTAGACTCAATAATAATACAACTTTGCTCTAGAACTATATCGCGTAGGGTAAATTATAGTGGAGCTATGACATATGCTTAGGAATTATCTCCTCTTTTCCATCCGGCGAGACGCTGATCAGGGACGTACAACCATCAAATCGCGGATAACTTACCATCCAATCGTCGGTCGTTTTTCGGTGTAGTATGACGATATCCGGACCGGAGTATGGATATAGTTCTAGTCACCCTAGTATTGATCGCATCAGTGCAACCCTTGACAGCGATAACGAATTCAATTCTCGGCGATGGAGTAAGCTTGTCCTGCTAGATTCAGTGGAGAAATTTTGGAGACATAATATTCCAAGTCTTGGTGGCCAGCGATGTCGTCATGCCAGCGGCAAACGTCACTCCCCATGATGTCGCGTGCCAAACAAAGGCCATCTATAAGAGACTGTCATAATCTCTAAATTGCCATCAGATTTCTAACGACCACAACTCAAGTATACCTTGAATATTCAACTTCTTCAACTTTTGTCAAAACACCTACAAAATCTTCAAAATGTCCGACCAGAACTTCCACACTACTCGCCAGGACCTGCGTAAGGCAGAGTCTCGCATCGCTCAACATGGTGGTAACAACCCTTCCGACTCCAAGCTCTCTCAGATGAAGGTGAGTCATTCTCAAATCTTATAAGCTCAATGGAACATAATGCTAATCAAGAATTCCAAATCCAGTCCATGGTCGATCAGAACACCGACAAGTCCAAGCAGATCGACCAGGCCAAGGCCAACCTGCCTCTCCCCGACCAGCCCCCGTCGCCAGTGACTGGAATTCCTCCGACCAGCGAACCGTCAATGTCGGCTCTGGTGGTATTGAGGGCCCTATCTCTGGTGACAACGACACCGCCCTTCGTGGGCCCGCCACTGCAGGTAGCAGTGCCCGTGTTGATGGTGCCGAACTCCACAAGCCCACAGCACCCCTGAGCAATGTTGGCCGTCAACGTGTCGAGGGTCTGGAGAGCTTGCCCGCGGATGCTACTACTCGTTAAATGAGGCTTTTTTGGACAACGGTATTCAAGAATTTTGTATCATAGCTATTTTCACGGAGTCACGAGCGAATGAATTCATTCCAAATTGAAATGATCCAACTGCGGTTTAAAACATGTAAGAACTAATAGATTGTAAGATATTGTAATCACTAGTATTCTATTCTTGCCGCGTAGTTAGTGGTAAGAACATGAAGTAAAATCTTGGGTTAACAACAACTAACTGAAGTTTATATATCGCCGAACCTCGACGAGTAAGTAGCGTATACTTGTCACCATGAATGGTCCTACCAATAAATAATTCAAATATTTCAATAAATCCAAACTCAAGGGGAACAAACTGTCCCTTATTCAACATGGCGTTGAAAAGGACGATTCAATGCTTGGGTTTCCCAATTCGGAAGTATGGGTTGTTTGCATGGTTTGTCTCTGCCCAGGCTCGTGCTTGACGTCAAAAGACCGGTTTCCTCGCCATCCTGCCCAGTTTCCTTACAGAACATTAGGAGAGTGGACGATCTCGGTGTTCATGATGTGATATGCAATGTGGGGTCTAGGTATCCCATCAGCTACTAGATGCCCGGTTCCAGAAACCATGTATCAAAAGCAAAAGGACAATCGAAAATGCAGCGGCTCCACTGCCCCTTGTCTGGAATCTCCAGTCCGCCACCGAGACTGTCTGTCTCGCTGCCGCTTGACGTGACTGCAGCTTCGAGATGAAGGTCATAGAACACCTGTGAAGGCTGGTTGCTATCGTAAGTGTGACATCACTTTGCCTGGATACTGTGATTACTGTAGATTGTTTGCCCAGGATGTTGCTTGCTTCGTGGCTATCGAATCACTCTGAGTGCCTGTTATATAATTTTGCCATCGCATTTGCCAATCCAGTATTCGTCAACTACTCGTTCAAACAAATTCTCCAAACATTTCTCATATCTTCAAATCTTCAATCTTGTATTCCACACAGTTAAGCTATCATCACCATGGATATTCAAGGCACTCGTATCGCTCCTGGCGCTCGCAGCACCAAGGTCACCACCGACCCTCGTGCCCAGCAGCAGCCCATCATCGAGCCCTCTGGCCCCGTCACCAACGACTCCCTCGCTGCCGAGTCCATTCACACCGGCGGTGCCTTCTCTGCAAACCGAGGCGCCGAGCCCATGGGCGTCTCCGGCAACCAGTCCACTCTAAAGAACACCGATACCTCAGCCGCAAAGACCCTCTCCTCTGCCTCCGTTGGCAGCGTCCGTGGAGACAACCAACGCCAGGAGAAGTACCCCGAGGCCCTCGGCGGCCAGGGTAACTTCCCGGGCGCTCACATTACCGGCTACGCTGGCGGTTCGACCGCCGCCAAGCAGCAGATGGGCATGCACACCGGTGAATACGCTGCCTCTCAGCACTTGCCGAGCAAGGCCGCCGCTAGCGGTAGCAGCCAATACAACAATGGCCAGGCGCCTTACTACGTCAAGGACGTGACCGACGGCTCCCAGGGTCAGAAGTCCAAGGGCAAGAACCTGCACCAGGGTGGCTCCAGGCCTGATGATAGCAAGAACGCAAGCTTCACCTCTGAGATTGGTTCTGAGATGGACCCTGGTCGTGCTGCGGAGGTCAAGTTCCAGAGCCGAGTGGCTGAGAGTGGCGCAAGTGCTGGTGGTCCCCGTCAGAAGGGTGTTGATGATCAAAACCTCTACCGGACCTTGGAGTCTGATCAGCGTGCCTAAATTTGACTTTCGTGTTGATTGTCTTCGAGCGAGCAATTGTTCTTTCTTGGTCCGGGCCACCACAATCATGACCATTGATGAGTGAATGGTTTAATATCATGTACAATAGATCTTGATGAAATGTCAAAAGCTATAAAAAGGATGTCCATTGTACTAATCGTTGTATATTCGAGTTGCTATTCGTAACTCAAAATTCCATGACCTGAACGAGTTATTCAGAAAGCCTGACCAAGTTCAAAAGATGCGGTAATCATCCACATCAGGCTCTGAGTCCGATCCAGACTCCGAGTTGAAGTCGCTCATCAACGACTCATTATCCCCGTAGCTTTCTGGCCTTTCAGGTCCAGAAACAGCAAGCACGCCCAACTGGATTTTCCCATCTTCGCACGTCCCCGACAAAGCATCACTCGCTATATTATCGCTTTCGATTGCAGGCCTCGCAGCTCGCCTTTTCTGCCACATGTAATTCCCAAGTTCGACCAATGCAATCGTCAAAATCGCAATCCACACCAAGGCAAGGAGAAGCACGACGGTTGTAAAGATCCCAGGGAGCGGGAATCGAGGAAGACATTTTGGTGCGAACTTCAAGAATGGGAACGAGATTCGGTAGGAGAGGAAGGAAATGTAGTGATTGGGTGAGATTTGCAAGGTCGATGCCGTGTATGATTCGTTTTCTTGATCGTTGAAGTATTCCCCGTAGTCGTTTAGTCTTTGGGAGACGATGTCTGGAGTGTCTGCTGTAGCATGGTCGTGGCCGTGAGATAAATGGTCTGATGTTTGCGCGACTGGCACGAGGACGGACACGATCGTTTCGTCTGAAGAGGGATCTCGTTTAGAGAGATGTTCTGATATACTTCGTTTGGGGTGTATATTGTCATGATATGTTTCAATCTGCGTCGGTGGCTGTATTCTGTTGATCAGTACAATGGAAAATCTCGATTGTTTTCTTCAAAACTCCTCCATACCCGTCGAGCTTCCAAATTTGCGAGGCCCTCAGTTCTATCCCTTTGCCCAGTTCGAACAGGTTGAGGTGTCACCGGGTTCACAATAGCAAGGATAAGGCCCACTAGGACCCAATGAGGCGGATACTTGGCCATTGCTATACTGTAATTCAAATAATTTCCGACAATTATCGTGGAATCTTCATGCAATTGAAAGTATGGCGCGCATACTATGTACCGCCATATGCACGTAATCAAATTAAAAGTCGACATCCCAGGGAGAACAACAATCTTTTATATCATTTCGCAAGATGCGCAGACAGGGATGACCGAAAACGACCCGCAAGGGCCCTCAGAAGCCCGTCGCTCAGGGCTGCCAAAAGATGCCGCGTACGACCTACCACAAGGCTGTTCCTGGGAGGGGCAATGAGACCTTTCAATCCAGGAGGGCCAGCCTTGAATATCCAAGATGATTGGTGTGTGCATTGTACTCGTCGGGTTCTGGTATGCGGTTAACCCCCTTGATTGACTATTGAAGAAACGTAGACGATCGATCAGAGGGATCGTCGTGGAAGGGAAACGCCACTGGGCTGATAGTTCGGGGTTGATGCAAGGCCGATCGGCTAGAATACTGGCTTGGATGCTGTTGTTGGTAGCATCTACCTGCAGTAGGATTTCGAACATCTTGCAAGGAAGCATTTCTTGCTGTCCCACTACACTGCTATTATTCTTTACAATGAATCATGGGCAAGTGGTTCTTCTAGTCGGGTGTCGCCGTGTAACCATTACAGTGCCTCGACATTCGGCCAGACGTCGAGTTACCTTCGATTTTTGTATGGCAACCTGTGTGACTGAAGCCCTTTGGATTATTGTGGAATAGAATCGGGTTCTAGGTAGCATTCAATTCACAGGCGATTGATGTACGAGCGACGCTTGAGGCCACACTCCATGTGCTATCTGCCCTGCCGAATCCACAATAATACAGTAGTCGCATAGAAGGCCCACTTAGCTCGACATTAACAAAGAAAACGAATAGCGAGGGGCATGATCAAAACATGCTTGGATGCATGGGGTGAATTCTCATTGGAAGTCTTCCTGCCTTTTTTTCATACACCGTCAAGAAAACGCCGAACTGCAGTATAGCAAAATATGGAAATAAAAAAGAAAACCCAAAGGCCGGACCCCCAAAGACATGCACGGTCCTATCAGACAAGAACAAAACCCTGTACAATAAGAGAACCCACCAGTAATCACGAACGTGGGGAAGAAAGCAAAGCGTGGTAAAAATGGACAGGCTAAGCAGCGTCTTTAAACGTTAACGCTCTTTCCCTCCTTCTCCGCGAGCTTGGCCAACTCCTCGAAGACCTTGCCGAAGTCCTCACCATCGGCATCCTCGTCGAGCTTCTTGTTCTTGCCGGACTTGGGGGTGACCATAACAACACTGGTGGGGCGCTTGGTGGCAGCAGAGGCACCGAGCTCAGCGCGGGAGGTCACAAAGACGTAGGGAATGCCGTGGTCCTCGCACAGAACGGGAATGTGAGAGATAACGTCCATGGGGGAGATGTCGGCAGCGAGAATGACAACGCCGGAGGGGATGTCGACCTTGGCGTTGGCGGCGGGGACAGGAGACTTGCGGAGGGCCTTGACGACTTCCTTGACACCGCGCTTGAGGGACTTGTTGACGGCAGCTATGCGGAAATGGAATGTTAGCTATATATTCAGATTGAAAAAAAAAAGTTGTGCACTGGACTTGCGCCGGTGCGATTGGGATCACATCGAGACAACATAACGATTGTCCTGGCCCATACGAGTCCAATGAAAGCACATAACGGACGACGCAAGTCACGGAGAGAGAGATAATGGTTCAGCTTACCCTTCTTCACGCTCTTGAGCACCTTCTTGGCCTGCTTGTCCTCGACCAGAGGGTTGGCGAAGGGAACGACAGCGCCGACGGGGCGGTCGATAGCCATGGCATCGACCTCAATCTCAGCGGCACCGGCAGCAGCAGCCTGGTCCAAGCCCTCCAGGACCTGGGAGGTGATCTCCTTCTCTACCGCATCGGCGAGAGCGGTCTTGTCCTTCTTATCCTTCTTGTCCTTCTTGGACTTGGAAATACCGTCCTTTTCGGCACGCTTCTCCTTCTTCTCAGCGCGCTTCTTGTCCTTCTCGACCTTGTCCTTGCCCATTTTGTCGGATGTGAATTGAAGACGGGGGGCGAGAGAGAGTTGAGTGGGTTGAATGGGGTGGTGTGTGTCAAGAGAAATCCGCCTCGAAATAATTTCTTAAAATTTTGACGCTAGTCCCGATGCAGAAGCTCTGGGTTGCTGACTAAGGCCCAAACATTCAAAGCCGCCAAACGCCTGGGTACAACTTGAATGAGCTCTTTTCACGTCGCGTCCTATCTTCTGTTGCCTGAAGGGACGACAGTTGCGGTCTTTAAGAATCGAAGCTCGTCAATTCGGCGGGGCTCGATGGGCTCATTGCTCCTTGCGACCACCGGAACGTGACCCGCCAACACCTCTCACTTCTCAGCCGACATGGAGAACAGCCCAACAAAGCGACCAGCATCCCAGCTAATTGCTGGGTTTGCATCGCCTTCAGCGCCGGCCAGCTCGAGGAGTATTATGCAACAGTCTGTTTTATCTGTTAGACCTCAGCAATCAACTCACGGTGCGAACTTCCTTCCTATCCCCTCCGCGGGTCCGCGACGAAAGATAAAGGCATGTTTTCGGAGCTAACCATTGATCGCTATTTCCAGATGCCGAGAAAGATGAATTACGAGTGCAAGTCAGTACGCTCACATACGAGCTCGCAAACCTCAAGCAGGAGCGGGAGATGGAGGCTATCCGGTACGAGAAGGAGACCAGAAGCCTCCAATTAAAGGCTGATGCGGATTTTCGAAAAGCGCAGGTGAGTCCACGTATCTGCATACAGAGATTCCACGGCTAACTCACTTTGCGACAGGCCGCCGAGTCCGCCAGCCTCCGCGCCAGTACGAAGACCGAAGCATTAGTAAAGGAGTTGAAAGAAACCCAGGAGCAATCACTCAGTGACAAAACGGGATTTGAGCGCAAGATCCGAGACTTGCAGGATGAAAATTCCAACATTCAGGAAGAGCTCAACGATACGCAAGCTCAATTGTCCGACCAAGAGCGCCAATTCAAGTACCAAATTCACGAACTCGAAACGGTCCGCGCCTCGCTTCAGAAAACCATAGAAGAGCTTCAGCACGATTTACAAGAGGCACGCAACACCCAGCAAGCCACCCAAGAAAAGCTGTCTGAACGTGAGGCTGAAGTGGCGGATCTGGAAGCACAAAATATTCAGTTGAAGGCTGACGGCAGCGATGCGGAGGCATTGACTATCCTAAAGCGGGAGCTGTCTGATCAGGTCACCCACATCCGCGAGCTGGAAACTGCGAACCGGGATCAGACCATAGAACTACGACATCTGCGTAAGGTGCAGAAGAACGTCGAAGTGGTCGAGGAGCAGAAGAAATCGCTCGAAAATCAGTTGCAGTTGATGAGCGGGCTTGAGGCAGAACTTGGTACCGTGCAAATTCAGAAACAGGTTCTGGAGGACGAGCGACAGTCGTGGGCCAGTCTCTTGCAAGAAAACGACCAGCCCATGGAATTTGATTCTCCGGAGGCTGTGGTCAGGGCTCTTGTCGAAGAGCGGATTGAGAAAGCCACACTGATCGACCAACTCGGAACTGTTAATGCGCAATTCTTGGAGAAAGACGAAGTAATCAGCAGTCTTGAGAAAGAGAAGACTCAACTTCGCCAAGAGTTGGAGAAACTCCGCACTGCAGGAAGCATTTCTGCGGGTGCATTGGCACCAGCCGCGGCAGAGGCTCGTGTTCGCTCCAGATTGGAGAGACAGCGTGCCCTCGCTGTGAAGGAGGTTGAATACCTACGAGCACAGCTCAAGACTTTTGACACGGAAGAGGAGACCATGAACACGGAACAAACTTATGACGAGCAAAAGTCGGCACAAATCGCAAAGTTGGAACAGCTGGTTGACGAGTACCGGAACGATCTTCAAAAGGCGCATGACGAGCTTTCCAAGCAGGAGGTGCCTCCGCAACAGGAGGACGCTCATGCGCGGGGAACGAAGCGTCCCCTTTCGCCCGCCGATAGTGAGGCTGAAAATGAGCGACTCGCAGTCCTGACCCGCAAGAACAGGAAGTTGCAAGAGTCTCTCTCGAAGTCACAGCAGGCCACGACCCTGGCCAAACGAGAGCTTGATGCTGCTAAATCACAGATCAAGTCCTTGAAGGCCAAATCCCACACACGGATTTTGGAACTGCGTGAGAATCCAACTGCAGAAGCGGAGAAGATTAAGATGGTCACATTGAACACGCTGCGCTCCGAGAACCAGGCTCTTCTGGCCCAGCTCCGCAGTGAACACGCCGGCGTCAAAGTGGTGCCTATCAGCACACTCGACAACCTCAATCTCGAGATGCAGGAAATGGAGCGAACCGTGGCAGACAAGGAGAAGCGCATGCGCCGGTTCAAGGAAATCTTCACAGCCAAGTCCTCCGAGTTCCGCGAAGCTGTTGCCTCGTTGCTGGGATACAAGCTTGACTTCCTCCCCAATGGCCGTGTCCGTGTCACGTCGATGTTCCACCTTTCTGCCGCATACCGCCATGGCGACAGCGACGCTCCCTCTGATGCTCGCGGGCCTGGAAGCATGGGTAATGGCGAGGAAAACTCCATCGTTTTTGATGGTGAGAATGGCACGATGAAGATCTCCGGTGGGCCGAATAGTCTCTTCGCACTTGAGATCAAGCCTCTCATCAAGTTCTGGGTTGAAGAGAGAAAGGACATTCCTTGCTTCCTGGCAGCGATGACGCTTGACTTTTATGATAAGACAACCCGAGCTGCCAGAATATAACGGCCTCTTCTTTCTTGTCTCCAGCTGTGGCCAATCGATTGGTATTTTTAACTTCCTTGGGCTTATTGTTCCCTGTATGATTCCCCGGCACGACGGATTTGCGTGCTATGCTTTAACCCTTTTATGAATTTCCGGGTGCCTTTTCATGTATTCGATATGGAAGAATTGCATGCTATATTACATTATCGGAAGTGTATCCGTCTTGCTCGATCAATCGGTCCCGTAGATGAGGTGTAATCTATGTTCAATGACACCAATGTGGGTGGAAACGGAGGTCTGTCCATCTCGATCTGACTCGGCGTGGAACCGAACCTTATACCACATAGAAGCCTCCACCCTCATACTGGTGCAGTTAGGGTGGGTGATATATATCCACGGCCTAGCCAGCTACAGTGGACCTCCGGGCTTACCCATCCTTACCTATTCTGTCCCATGAACGTCTGCTTTAATTTACTGCCCACAAACCAGATAATACAGTGGTCGATAATGGATTCTTACTTTAGATCTCACAGCAAAAGAAACCGTTTGCAAACTCAAGCCCGGCCTGGAGTCACACCAGGTCTTACGGAACATAAATACTCAGATTCAAATGCCTAACTACAAACCTAAAAACAACGAAAGGGGAAAAGGAAAGAGGAAAGAGAAAGAATAGGCGCTATTTGCAAAAGTTGGGGGGGGGGGGATCAAGAAATGAAAGAGGGAAAGAGCAAAGTCAACCAACCACTGGCAGCCTCTCGTAGCATGCTAGTGGGTACTCACTCACACAGACGAACCAAAGCACGCTTCAGACAAGGGTATATACGTAATAAGACCATTGGCTTGTCATGCAAAAGCCCATCTAAGCAGAGACGTACTTTCCGGCGACTAACTTGCGAGCCGTCGGAACTTCCTCCCAAGGGAGGGGGGTAGCAGGCTTGCCCTCATCCGCGAAAGGATCAATTTCCTTCGGACCAGCGTGCGCAGGAGCACGACTGATACCCAGCCTGGAGCCAGTCTCGGTAGTATGCAGCTCAAATCTGGCCTCAACGGCACCCTTACGGGGCCCGGGAGTCGCTGTAGCGAAACGCACGAGGAACTTGCCGTCCTCGCCGCCAGAACCTGGGGCCTTGACCTCCAGCTCAGGGATCTTCCAGATCACGGTGGAAGTCTTGCGACGGAAAGTCGCACCGGAGTTGGGGTACATCACAGCGCTGGTAGCGTGGGCGACCGAGTCGCGCGGCTCCTTGGTGACCTCGTCTTCGGCGGCAATATCCAGACCGACGGTGAGGATCACATTCTTAAGGGTGATTGAGCCGGTAGCCGAGGTGAAGGAGGGGTTGAGAGAGTAGAATATAATTGCGCTTGCTTGGTTTTCTTGCAGATTCCAGGCTGGCTTGAAAATGACCGGGCAGTAGGCCGAGGGGTTGGTTGGGTCGAGGTGTACCTGATACTTGAAGGCGACGGTTGGCATGGGCCGCGAGATGCTGCCCAGCTGGATATCGTACTCGCCACGCTTCTCGTCTGCACCGTCCTTAGTGGCTTCGTGGACAAAGTGTGGGTTGGCGGCAACCTTCTCCAGGACAGGGAAGTTGTCGAGACGAATGCGCAGGTTGTCTGCAGGAGCACCCGGCGCAGGGTTGTGTGAAAGGGCAAGCTCTCCCACAACGGAGGACTTGGTCACGTTGCCCTCTGAGAACCATGCACTGACGGTTTCAATGATGGATGCATTCAGACCAGGCTCATGAAGCTCAGGATGAATGCTAGGCCCAGGGCCATGCATAGTGTGCCCTGACCGAACCGATGTAGTATCTGACATGGCATGGTCTTCCGTCGCAGTGCTGGGGGACGGGGCATGCCTGATAGGAGATGATGGGCCGTATAGATCAGATGCCGCCGATGTGGCGGCCATATCGGTGCCAGGGTTGGGGACAAAGACGGTGTTTCGAACGTCACGACGGCCTCGAATAGTGCCTGCATTCCGTCTGATACCTGGCTGCGGGGCGCGCTATATCACATTCTTTAGTCAGTCTTGGTGTCGACCAGAGGTGTACTATAAGAACTCACCATCCGAAGGGTGTTGGCCATATCATCCATGGCCTTCTTAGCTTGGCTCTCATCTTCGAAGATCGGCTGGTCACGAATCGTCAAGTTCATTCCAGAGTCCTCCAATCTGCGTTTCACTATGTTAGAAGTGGTCTATGTTTGATCAGAAGGGGTCGCATACCCTGCTGCCTCTCTCTGAGCACGTGTAATTTCATCTACAGTTGAAGGTCGCTCAGTGAAGCCTTCAGAATCAACATGGCCCTGTGAAGATGATCAGTGGACCGTGTCAGACTATTTCGAGATATCAAACAATGTCATGCGTACCGGAGTGGTGCCATTGCTGACGATGGCAGCTGAAGCCTCTGCCAAGGTTCCATTTGCAGTAGATGGTTCCTGTTCAGCGATTGGCGCAGGAGTAATGGCATCAGTGGTATTGTGATCGTGTGATACGCTGGGGTTCCGCAAGGATGATTCCTCAGTCAAAGACGTTCCAGGTCGATCCGCAGTTGATGGCGGAGATTCAGGAATTTGCATCTCCCTTGAAGAGTCGGATCTCTTGAAGGGTGCGAATGGGCTACGATGCTTCTTCTCTGCCTTTCGGTCAAAGCTTCCGGCTGTCGGTCCAATCACGCTCTTCCGTCGGTTCATCACTGTCCCGAGTCGCCTCAAACCACCCAATGGTGTATGTCGAGGAACCGGCTCTGGGGCTAGAAGCGAAGGCAATGATGTCAGCATGTGGGTTTCTAGGGATCAGCTATGTTTTGTTATGGACTCACCTGGCGGTGTTTGCACGGCAGCAGCTGGAGCTGGAGCTGGAGTCTCCGATCTCTCCGATCGCTGGCTAGCTGCATCATCCTGAATATGCGGTGGAGGTGCAAGCGGTGCAGCAGCTAGAGGAGGTGTGGCCGAAGCTGGAACGGTAGGGGGAATCTCCGCTTGAGAGTTCTGTCGCCGCGACGTCACAGGTGACAAAGGTGTTCGGTTGCCAGCCATTTTGGCAGCAAAGGTCTTGATCTCATCCGCCGTCTCCACATTAAGGAGAACGTTCAGACAGCTCTCAGCGGCTTGCCGGCAGCGCTCGACTTGGTCCACTTCGTGGGTCTCCAGCTGGGTCAGGACATCGCGGAGGTGATTGAGGCGACCTTCATCCGCAGCCTGTAGTTGCTCATAGACAAAGGGAGCACGCGACTCCCATTGTTGATTCATCTCTTCCGCGGCAGTGATGGCGCTGGAAAGGCTACTTGCGCCCTTGGCGCCCTTGCCCTTCGCCTTGTCGACTTTCTTTTGCGCAGCATCGATATTTTTGGCAAGGCCCGCCAGGTTGCTCTGAATTCCTGGCATTGACTGCATATCCCGATTCTTGTTGCTATATTCTCTCAGGGGCCGCTCTACGTCCTCTTCGATCTTGGTCGCAAGTGTCTCGTGCGACACGGCGAGGGCCTCGGTGGCATTAATGATGCGCTGCCAGGGGATTTGGAAAATGCTGTATAACCATTAGAATCGCAGAAATTCCATCGTACAAGGCCTATTTAGCCCTGGATCCATGTTCCGACTCACCCAAGTGCGGCGCCATTGTCCAATTGTGGCCGACTGGCTAGCTTCCGCAAGCTCTGGGCATAGGCTTCTTCGACGCGACGGCGCTCCTGTGACCATAATATCAACAATCAGCCCCGACGATCTAGGGAATGTGGTTATAGTGTTTTGTGGGGGAGATTCCGGGGTAGCGGAGGACAGGTCATCGTACCTGCAGGAAGTCCGCAATATCCGCATTGATCTTGTTGATGAGTCGGATGCGATCGTTTAGGATGGTCGAAGCTTGACTGGGGTGTAGAGTAGCCTAGAAGGATAGAAAAGCGCCCACGGTCAGTATACAGCTGATCTCGCTCCAGGGTAGCAGAGCGCAGAGTGTCAGTCCATCATACCAGCAAGGCCGGGTACTCCTGCCGTGAGAGTTCCATGGTTTCAGATTTGACAGTTGTCAGTGCAGCGCACCGAGCGCATAATCAGTAAGGACACAGCGCCCAAGAGATTGACGATACAGATCAACCACTCGGTCGGGGGAAGATCAATGATTGCGGGTTTGGTCCGAATGCTGGAGTGCGATCACCGAGGACGGCCATGGGGATGGAATGACGATGGCCGGGAACGCGGTGTGACGGGTCTTGGCAGAGATTATCCAATGAGAACGAGATACCTCCGTTTTATTGGTTACAAGGGCCGTTTCAGGGTCACATGACATCATCGTCATCTGTCTGGGCCAGCCCGCAGAGCTTCAATTCAGAGCTCCACAGGCCCGCCATGGATTGGAGGGGCGATTTGGGCTTTACGGACCGATTAAGGGCCATTCAGTCTCTGTCAGTCTTTCAGGTGTTGATCCAACCTGATTGACACTAATATTGTTACATAGCACTACGGTTTATCAGCACAGTTCGTCAACCACAGCCTTTGCCGAAGCTCAAGCAGAGGCGAGGAGATGTGAGACTGAAGCCTATGATCAGGCCAACTCCAAGGTCAGTCGCTGGTCTGCTAGTCTTGCAGATTTTCCACAGTTTTGAAGAGCAGAAAAATTGATTCCATGCTAGGAGGAGTATGACCGACTGTGTCAACAAGCGATCGATACTGCCGAGGCCAAATTTGCGGCACCGGTCAACAACGACTCGAAGCAAGTGCAAGATATCTCCCACGGGGAATACCAAGACCTAGCTGGCTCATCAGAGTCGTCAGTAGGGGAAACCTTTGGACAGTATACCTCTTGCTTCCATCATTTCGACGGGCTGCACTCCACGATCTACAAATCCACGGCCAAGGACGGTGCGGTGCGTGCCGTGAAGATCACCATTCCGCATTTGATGACAGCACCTCACGATGTCCAACGTGAAGCACGGCTGCTACGTGAGGCAGCCAGTCCTAATGTGATTCCTCTAGTTGAGATGTTCAACTTAGACGGGGGTAGATTGGCTCTGGTCTTCCCATTCCTGCGATACGACTTTGCGCAATTGCTCCAGCGAGACATGGTCACTGCCGCACAGACACGGTCTATCTTGCGTGACATGTTTCAGGCCCTTGAACACATTCATAAACTGGGGATCATCCATCGAGACATCAAGCCTTCCAATATTTTGATGAGTTCACCCGATGGGCCAGCCTATTTGGCAGACTTTGGGATTTCATGGAAAGAGGAAGATCCAGGGTCCGAGCTCAGTGATCAGAAAATCACCGACGTGGGAACCACTAGCTACCGAGCTCCCGAGGTTTTGTTCGGATACAAGGCATACGGAACAGCTCTCGACCTTTGGGCCGCTGGTTGTGTGGTAGCGGAAGCTATTACCGTGGGACATGGCGAGCTGTTTGATTCAGGACCCGTGGGAAGTGACCTCTCACTCATCCACTCCATCTTTAGCACTCTGGGAACTCCAGATGAGCATATATGGCCGGTAAGATATCTGACGGTGGAAAGGGAAGGTCCCTAATGTCCGAGACTAATTGGAAGTACAGGACGTCCAAGTCCTGCCGGACTGGGGCAAGGTCGAATTCTACACCGTTCCGGCACAATCCTGGGAAGATATCCTGCCAGCGGTCTCCTCCAATGGCCGTGATTTGGCCCGCCGCTTACTCCGCTACCAGAGCAGCGAGCGACTTTCTGCCGACAAGGTAAGTGACTGCGAAGAGATTGTCATGCTGGGTCGGACTCTAATGATGGCAGGCACTCCGACATCCGTATTTCTCCACCGTTTAATCTCACGAGCCGGACGGTTGCCACACGACGGTGGGCTTCAGCCACACGGTCCAGGGTGTGGCCCGTACCTACAGGAATTGGGAGCCGTGTGTGTGTCATCTCGGGAAGGAGTGGCAGTGTCAACACGGTCTTTGCCAAGAATGCAACGATGGGGGAGGCGCAATATATTCTCAGGGACATGATGGTGACATCGAGCCTTTAATGATGTACAGGGCGTTATGTACATACAGGACTCCGTACGGAGCATATTGTGGAAAGCGAAGTGGAATTCGTATCCCAATCCCCATTGGGAGATCCCAAGGAGATCATAACCACACCAATAACCAACAAGTAATAAACCTACCTAAGAATAGCAGTCAATCGTCATTCGACGGCTCTCATTGGTTGTCTGCCGGGGAAACGGTCATTTATTTCTGAGCGCGAGTAATCAATTAGAATGCAATGACGAACGAGGGAGCATGAACCACCATTTCCAGGACCCGAAAGATGTCCGGGTGGCCCGGAAATTGCGACAGAAGGCCATTGGGCAATGAGAGTCGAGGGCTGAAAGACGTGAAACAGCCAGACAGAAAAAGGATGGAGTCTGTGCCCCTCGTTGCAGGGTTGTTAGCGAAGAGCCACTCTTTGGGGGCCACTCGAGCCGGCGCTAAGTCTTTGCAGCCTGGTGTGTGTGCCTTGATAGAATTGATGATGAGATGGTTGTTGTTGAATGAGGGAAAGAAAGGAAGAGAGTCTTCTATGGAAAGACCAAACCTGAAAACCTCAAAATTCAGGACACTTGTTTGCTGTTTGCTGTTTGCACTTTGGTCCGTGGTTTTTGCGATCGGACCATCCGCCATCTCGACCACCTCGTATTGCCGTCATTTCGCGTTTGCGCATAACCAGGAACCGTACGATATCAGCCAATCATAGACTGCATCACTTCATGATCACTACCCAACTTGGCTAGCGTGACGCCTCCCTTACCGAGTAAGACTGGGTCAGGGTCCCCTCCCCAGTAAACATCTCATTTCACCCTCCCCTCGTGGGGAGTCCCGGAACCCTTTCCTTACCTCCCACAGGACGTCTGGTTATGCCTGTTCTTGAACTTTGAGGCTTCGGTTTCTCTTCTTCCTTCTCACCCGCGACACTCTTTTTCACACCCTCTACGACCTGGAAGTCGTTGTCCTTTCCTTTCTTTCCCCCCCCCCAACCCCGACTGGTTATCGGCGGCCCTCGATATCTCTAGTCGTCCATTCTTTCTATCCACATTCCACAGCGCGCAAGTGTGGACTGTGAACCGACGCGATTCTCCGATTCCTTCCCCAGACTCGCGTTGGAATCCGGGTCCGGACCCAACCGACCTTGTTCTCTTTTTAGGAGCGATTATCGCTTCACGACTATCACTTTTTGAATCCCCTCCCGTCACCATCTCGAGAAAGCGTAACGATCGCTCAACATGGTGCACGGGCATGCACTCTACCATATGCAGCACCGCCCTCTGGAGGCGCGGGCTATCGACGAGATAATCGCCAATCATGATTCCTCTTTGGTGGAGCGCGACAATGTCGTTATCGTCTATAAAACACTCTCGGCGGACTTTGATGGTGCCATTGGAGGCTATGTGACGGAGGGTCAAACTACCACTACGTCTGCCACGAGCACTAAGACCAACAACGTCGGTGTCGGCCCAGCTGTAGGCGTTACGAAGACGACCACTGCAGAGACAACAAAAGCGACAGCGGCCACCACCAAGGAGACCGCCAAGGAGACCACAGCCGATACGACTACGACTGAAAAGACCAAGGCAGAGGCTACCAAGACCACCGAGAAAACGTCAGCAACAAATACGTCAGCCGACACAACCCAGGCGCCATCTTCCTTTGTCACTTCGGCCTCGCAAACTACCGCAGATAGCAGCCAGGATGTGAACCGTCTTGCAGCGACCTCAACCGCATCGGCCACCAACTCTGGCGCCTCTTCGTCAGCTACGACAGCCGCAGCTTCATCAGGGATGTCTGGTGGTGCCAAGGCCGGTGTCGCAATTGGAGTTATCCTCGGCATCGGTGTCATTGCAGCCCTGATCTTCTTCTTGGTCCGGAAGAGGAAGCGCAACCAGGAGCCGGTTGAGATTCAGAATGAGAAGGAGGCCTTCTCTCTCCCGCCTCCTCCTCCTCCCATGAAGCCCTCCACTCCCTCAACGCCTCCTCAGCTTAGCGTGCGTCCAATTACTCAGTTTGCGCCTGATCTGAGCAGCAATGGGGGCTTCAACCCAGCGACTGCCGTTGCAGCCGGTGCAATTGGCGCTGCTGGAGCTGGCGCGGCTGGTGCAGCCGTGGCTTCTCGTAATCTCACTGGTAACTCACCGCCTCCTACTCCGCCCAAGTCTAGTTCCAGCGCCCAGAACCCGTTCAGCGATCCTGTCAATCCCTTCAACCCTCCCACACCCGTGGTTGAAGAGGCTGCGGCTGCCGTCCCCTCTGATGCTGCTATTGCGGCAACTGCCGCTGGCGCTAGTGCTGCTGCCGCTGGTGTTGTTGCTGCCGCGGCTGTCGCGTCCCATGGATCTGATAATGAACCGTCTAGCCGCCCTGCCTCGCAAGAGTCGGGTGCGGGAGTGCCTCCTAGCTCTTCGCCTAACCGTGTTAGTGCTGATGGGGAGTCTGTTTCATCCGAGGTTCTCGCTGCCGCTGGTGCAGCAGCAGTTGGCGCTGGAGTTGGTGCTGCTGTCGCTGCCGGTGCTGCCGGTGCTGGAGCTGCTCCTGGACCGAACAACGTTCATCGTGTGCAAATGGACTTCCATCCTTCAGCGGATGACGAATTGGAACTCCGCTCTGGCGCTCTGGTCCGGATGCTTCATGAGTATGACGATGGATGGGTAAGTGCCAAGTTTGCAGTAACCTCAAAGTGATATAAGTACTAATCTTGTTTCCAGGCCCTGTGCGTTCGCCTGGATCGTTCGCAGCAAGGAGTTGCTCCGCGCTCCTGCTTGTCTGCGCGTCCTGTGAAGCCTCGCCCACGTCCACCTCCTGGAGCTGGCCCCGGCCCCGGCCCTGTTCCTCGTGGGCCGCCCCCACCGATGGGCCCTAACGGACGCATGTCAGGCCCGCCTCCCCCCGGCCGCTTCTACCCCCAGGGTGCCCGGCCCGGTTCCCCTGCTGGTGGCCCTTACCAGGGCCCGCCCCGAGCCCCCTACCCCGGCCGTTCAATGTCTCCCGCGGCTGCTTTCCCTCCCGTGCCTCGTTCAATGTCCCCAGGCCCTCGCTCCATGTCGCCTGGCCCCCGCTCGATGTCACCCGGTCCGCGATCAATGTCTCCCGGCCCCGGTGCTCGGCCAGGCCCTGGCCCACGTTCCATGAGCCCAGGTCCTTATGGTCCTGGAGGTATGCAGCGGCCGGTGATGCCCGTCAACCAACGGCAGCGCAGTAATAGCGCAGGCAACATCTCTCCGCCCACCGTTGGCGGCGTTGCTCCCCCCAAGTCCAGCCCGCTAGTTGCAGCCGAGGCCCCAGGTCCAGCTCCCACAAGTGATTTGCCCGCCCTTCCACCTTCGGCACCTACCTCACCAACGGGGTCTCAGATCAACCGAAAGCCCGTCCCCACACAGGACGCTTGATCTGCATACATAACGCGAATATACCCTGAACCGTATCTTGTCAATGTGTCCCGCTGGACGGAAACGAGCCTGCCTGTCTGGAGCAACTCAATCCTCGATCTCTACGTCCGTGACGAATAACCCATCTGTCTGTCCTTTTACATACCTAAGATCTTTGCTTTGCTTGCATGCATCTGTCTTTGAAATATCCCCCACCAACCTTTCATGCATCAAGATGCTATCACTCGTGTCAGTCTGGCTCCCGGTGTTCCCGGAATGTCCCTAGTCCAAAACCGAAGCTTCTCCTGATCTGCTGCAGTTGCTTGTTCCCTTTCCTGTTCTTCATTTCCCCTTCTCTTTTCCTCTGCTTCTTTGAATTATTTTATTTCTTCTATGATGGGAAGCTAATAGCTTCCTGTCTGATTATCATTCTTCCGGACTGATGGATATTGACTCTGAATATGTGTGAATCGGTAAATGAGTTGGATACCCTGAACACCCTGTACCTTTTTTTTTCCCTCCGTAATAGCGGTGAACTTTATGTGATTTCGTATTTAGATATCTAAATTTATTATTCCACATTATGACTTTTTTGCTCAATTTATAAGACTGATTGATCTAGTTTTGTTGACATAGCCCGAATGATGATGTTGGTAGCCCGAGGCCTCTAATATAGAATGCAGATGCAAAGCATGAACCGCAAAATCCCAAGTCAAAGATCACAAGTCATCTATAAAATGCAGAAAACGCAGAACCCGAAATTTTATTGAACCCGAAATGCATCTCCCCCTCATACATCCCCTATAGATGGGGAACCCGACCACTTGCAAGAAGAAGATTCACAATACTCATAATACCTTCACCCAGAATAAGACCAGACGCCAAAACAACGACAGTCGAAGAAGCTGCATCAGCCTTGGCAGCCGCCTCTGCCGCAGAGGGTGTATCGCCCTGTCCAGACTGCAGCGCAGATGGCGCGTCCGCAGCAGAGGAATTAATTCCATCCGCGATATCGCTGGAAGGAGGCTGACGAGTGGGGGGCGAGTGCTTCCGTGCCCACCACCACGCAATAATGCCACCTATCGCCCTGGCCAGTGTAAAAGATGGGACGTTGAAGATACCAACTGCCACGGCGATACCGCCGGGAATCCAATTTCTCCAGGCTGGGGGTTGGCCGTTCTGTGCGAAAGAAGGAGATGCAGCTATGATTCGCACCGCGGTGAGGAGGACCCATATAAGGCCTGCGATGACGGATGCTTGCCATGCCATGTCTGGTAGGCCCTCGCCCGTAACAAGGCGAGCGGTGAAGATCCAGACGTATGCGGTAGGTGTCTGGAACATCTCTCCGGGGATTTCATAGACGTTGACGTACATCTTGTAGACGGCTGTCGAAAGCACGGCACCGACGAGACTCCCGATGATTTGGCCGTAGAATTGTGCCTTGGGGCTCGCGCCGAGGAGATGGCCCGTCTTGAGATCCTGCATCATGTCTCCGGCTTGTAGGGCACCAGATTCGGATACGGCACCGGCGAGGAGGTTCGTGACCAGGGCCGTCCGTCGGGAGAAGTGTGAGGCTGGCGTTGCCAGGGAGAAAAGTAGTTGGGTGAGCTTGCTGATACCCGATACTGGGTTGAGATCAGTCTCGCCAAGAGCACGCACGCCCATGATGGAGAGGAGGACTGCAAGAAGGGTAGCCAGGCTAGACAGCCAAGGGGAGATTATATCACCGAAGACATAATGCATACAGACAACATTCAAGATCAGTGTCAAAGGAAGCAGGATCACCACCATCCGAGTGGAAATAAGCTGGGAAGGAGGCGCATCTTCGTCTTCATCTTTAGCTGTCGTGACCTGTACATGAACACCGTCCAAGTTTTCGTGGGCGATTTCATGGTTTCCAGAATCCAATGCAGAGTAATTGATATAAGAGTGCTCGTGTGACCCTGATCGCTCCAGTCGTACTGCAATCCACTGGCCAGCACGAGTTGATCGCAGTATAGCAATCCACCTCGGAGCCCGGCTGACAATAGGCTTGATGACAAGCCATCCGAGGCTGACGAGTGAATCTGCAAGCATGATAGCTAGAGAAATCCATACTATCCATGCTTTACTCCCATCATCCCAGCTATCCACGGGTCCGGGCGCCCAGCCACGAGCCCTGGCCAGTGGCGAAAGGATTCCCCATCCCAGCACTGCTCCAAAGAGCATGTGCATGCAGGTCGATGGTCCCATAATAATTCCCTGGCCGATATACGCGGGTGATGGATTGAGAGTCCATAGCCAATTATGGGCAAGTCCCAACCCGAACAAGGGAATATCCCGAACCAGGGGAACGAAGTAGGAGAAAAGGGTCTGCATTTGTTAGTCATGGTTGATTTCTAATTGGGTGGGAGAGAAGGGCTCACATAAATACCAGAGACCACAAAGGCCCCGATCAAAAGACGCATCTTTGATCGCCAATCCTTCTCATCCACGGACTGGTCTTCGGTGTCTGCATCTTTTACCAGGAGACCTTGCTGCTCATCTCCTTGGGGCTGACGGCCGTTGTAATTACCCTGAGCTAGTCCACTCGAGCGACCCTGGCCATCCAAGGGTGTCTTCTCGTCTTTTCCTGCGCCGTGTAGGACCCGCAGCATCAGCGCAGAAGCAGTCCCACTGGGGAATCGCAACTTTTCGCGCACAATCACTTCTTTCCGCAACGGTACAGCAAAGACGACACCGAACAAACAGACTCCAAGACTCCAGACCACCAATTTCCAGAAGCCCAATTTAAGCGGGCCGCCTTCGCCTTCACCACCATCTCCCTTCGGTCCGTCCTCGCCATCCTTCAACAAGAACTCCAAGGCAGGAATCACACCAACGAATCCGCAGCCCAAAGGCATAGTTCCCACCGCTCCCGCCACCGTCTGAATGAGGACGTTCTCAATCGGAGTAAACGGGAAGGACAAGTACTTGGTCAAGACCTTGAAGACCGAGAACCCAATCAATGCCGACGGCATGGCCATTGTGCTAATCCATCCTGTCTGGAGACCAAAGTAGGTATTGGAGAAGGTGATCAGGGCGCCGATAATGAGACCGACAATCAACGAGCGGGGAGTGAAGCTCTGGGCGGACGTAGTTTGCGCTCGTCTAGGGCTCGCCGTGGCGACATCGTCACTTGTGTTAGCGACCTGGCCGGGCGAGGATGGCCTATCCACGGCCTCCAGCCGTGGTGAAGAGGCATCGCCTGCCATATTGAGTGTCTGGTAATTCATCGGTCCAACGATGCGTCATGGAGAAGCGAGCTTCCACTCGAAGTGACGATGATTGATAAGCGGGCTCGGGAAGCTGGGGTGACTGATAAGATCACCTGACCTCTCCAGGTGTTCATAGATATCAATGCATGATGTTGTTGATGGAGCATTACAGAGACCTACTTGAGTACCCGATTTATAAATTAGGATGTTTGCAAATTTTAGTATGTGTATCATTCAAACTAAGTTTTCTGTTGATATCTGGTCTTGTTAAGTGAGTAACTAAAGTCCCAGATAAGAAATATCTAGTTCAAGAGCACCGATGTCATGTGATTTGTTACGTCCATTTCTACATAGTGTACGGAGACTAAACCCAATGAGGTAATACTAGATCGTTAGTGCCTTGACGCAGGTGAGACGATCCACTTTCGAGAGTATTCAGGGAAGTAATATGGGCTGGCAGGTACATCCTGTAACCCCCCTAATTCTCGGCGCCCAGGGTCCAGCTTTGTAGGCATCCTCGATATCGATTTAAATACGATGAATGTCCCACGATTTAGGGGCATTGGCCCCCAACAAATCGATAACTTTCGTCTCTTTCCACAAACCACACTGCGACAACATGGCTACAACCAACAGGGTCCAGCCGCGAAAGCGAGACAAGAGCGACCAGACCACCATCACCAAGCTGCCTGACAACACCAATGAATCAGTAATTGATTTTTCAAAGGAGCATATCATTGGTGGCTGGCGGCAAGGCATGGATCCTCGAGTCGATTATTCGGGTCATTTCGAGTTTGGCGGTTCTCTCGGGTGCCTGGGACTAATGATAGGCTTCCCTCTCTTGATGTGGTACATGTGGATCGGTGCTACCTACTACGATGGAAAGCTTCCTCTTCCTGAAGACGGTCAATCATGGCTTGATTTTGGTAGGCACTTGGTGTATCTGGTATACACGGGTGCATTCCCCCATCTCCGAGCATGGCGGATTTACTGGACCTACTTCATCTTCGAGGCTGCGTGCTACGTGCTCTTGCCGGGGTTCACCTGCTATGGTAAACCCCTCCTTCACCTGGGTGGGAAACAATTAAAGTACCACTGCTCCGCCTATGCTAGCTTCTACCTCACTATTGTGGTGATGGCCGTCCTGCATGGCTCTGGGTTGTTCCCGATATACACTTTCTTGGACGAATTTGGCCCATTGATGTCCGTGGCTATCATTTCCGGCTTCCTCGCCAGCTTTATGACTTATGTCTCTGCTTTTGCTCGTGGTGCCCAGCACCGGATCACCGGTTATCCTATCTATGACTTTTTCATGGGAGCTGAACTGAACCCTCGTCTGTTCGGTATCCTCGACTTTAAAATGTTCTATGAAGTCCGAATCCCATGGTTTATGATGTTCGGTCTAAGCTGTGCTGCAGCAACTCGCCAGTATGAACAGTATGGATATGTTTCTGGAGAGGTACTGTTCCTTGTCATGGCCCATTACACTTATGCCAACGCTTGCTCCAAGGCGGAGCATCTGATTACAACAACCTGGGACATGTATCAAGAGAAACTCGGATTCATGCTGACGTTCTGGAATATGGCGGGCGTTCCCATGTCATATTGTCACTGCACTTTGTACCTGGCAAACCACCACCCCTCCACATATGCTTGGAATAAGTACGCGCTCGCTGCACTATTCGTGTCCTATCTCTTCGTATACTGGGTCTGGGACTCGGCCAACAGCCAGAAGAATGTCTTCCGCATGATGGAACGTGGTACCTGGGTGAAGCGTCATACCTTCCCCCAGCTGCCCTGGCAGGAGCTTCACAATCCGAAGACGATTGTGAGTGAGAATGGCGACACGATTCTCGCAGATGGATGGTATGGACTGGCGCGCAAGGTCCACTATTCCTGCGATATGTTCTTTGCGATCTCGTGGGGCCTGATCACCGGTTTCAACAGCCCATTTCCGTGGTTCTACCCGGTGTTTTTCAGTGTCATGATTGCCCACCGAGCTATGCGGGATATTCATAAATGCAGGACCAAGTACGGTGATGCATGGAAGCAGTATGAGAAACAGGTCCCTTATCTTTTCATTCCAGTAAGAATACCCAACGATTCGTAGTCGATGAAGTGGCCGAACTAACCTCTCTTTAGTACGTGATATGAACTATGAACATATGATCAAGCGTGAGCGCTGTAGAGGGAAGGGACAGCATCTCGGAAGAAATACCAGGTGTCCAATGGCGTGGCCTCCCCGGCCCAGGCGGGGGACACAAAAAGGTGCGAAGCGTAGCGCTACATCGTACGTTAGATATGCTAAGATTGAATTAATACAGTTATCTGTATTAGATATTTCTTTTGTATGCATAAAATAAATAGTCGTGGCTAACTAATGTTTGTAATATCGCTCTCTTCTGTGTGTCTTCGTTTAGATCAGAGGCCGCCGTCATTCGTACCCACCGCATCAAAATGGAGTGAACCAGCTTTTTTGGGATGATGCGATTGATACACAGGGCTCTGCTCTCTTAGGCGCTGCCTCAAGCCTACAGTATCAATTATGTACAAACAAAAAGAGAAAATAAAATAAAAAATAAGAATATTAAACAACCAGTTTCGCTTAACCCTGGACAGAGCCATACTTTGTTTCGATAATGGTGTCATAGAGAGCAGCAGAGGCGAAGGGCACCAGGCCCAAGGCGACGACAGGAAGTGCGTGACGACGCATGATAAATTTGATCACAGAGAACAGAGAAAGAGGTTGACGGTCCGTAAAAAAGAAGTTCCTGGTTCATCGAGGAAGCCTGACATTTGCCTTAGATATACCTATCCCTTCGCTTTCTCATCTTATGCCGAGGACCACGTTGAAGATACCAACCGCGCTGTGTTAACGCGTCCATCGTAAGCGTTCCCCCCCCAATCCGCTCAAATTCCATATTTTCTTGTTCCACTGTCGATCCTCGTTTGAGAAATTGAGAAGTTAACCATCCTGCTTGGCAGATTAAGGGCAGGTGTGATTAAGAAGAAACTAGGGTTTCGGGGCTATTATGCACGACCCGGGATCGACAGGACTCGGAGATTAATACTTGAGAACTCTAGGTATGTATCATTTGAAAGCATTGATTTTGCACGATATCGCTATTGATGCTACCTGCAGCCTTGGCGTATCTTTGAGAGCCCTGATGAAGCGGGGGAGACGGGTGCAAAACGCTCAAGATTTCTTTCTGAGCCTCGGCCGACATTCCCCAAACGGGCAGTTCCAGGGACTTTAAGCATTGGTGCCCCACAATCTAACCCACTACAGTATGGAGCTGGGACCTGACGCGTCACTGCGCCTGACGTTGCCTATAGTTTGAAATGGATATGACCAGATCATGGATGAAATCATCCCGTGCCTGGGATAAACTAGGAGGATGCTCAATTGACTTCAACTGTTCCATTGGCCCCACACCTTTGCATTGGGTCTTGATAGCTGTAGGACGATCATGATGACCGACACTTTGCTTAGAATCGAGGTGTCTGTGGTATACAACGCAATACTTAAGCCGGAGAATAAGAAATGTTTAGGGAAAATAAGACATTGAGATCATATCAGTTGACCATGGCATCGACCTGAGGCGATGTTTTGCCTCTCAGTAAGCTCTCTGCTGGTGTGATTTTCTCTTCCTATGCTCTCTCCCTGGGCTCATAGATTTGGAAAGGCATGGAGGAATTCCAACAGCCTGCCTCCAGGAAATCACCAGTTATGTTCTTCACAACGGTCTTATTACCAAATTCAAGGATAAGCCCTCCTTGTGGCGCGTTTGCGTCAAAAGCTGGCCAGCCAACAGTGGAACTGACTGTTGCCGAGTCCTTCAGGAATGCCAAAATATAATCTTGCATGGCTTCAGACGTGGAGACCTCAAGGTCGGAGATTTGTCCTACATCCGTCATGTAGGTCCCAAAAATCATCAAGAGGTCTGACCAGTGGAATGCTCCGAGATAGTAGACGGGGCTAATATTGGAGAAGTTGCCCGCCCACTCGTATCGATAGGTCATGAGATCTAAGCTCGCCCTTAATATGGAGTCATCATAAGCCGTGCAGATCCATTCACTCTCGGACTCATTGACCTGGTCCTGGTCTGTTGAGGACATTTCTCTTGAAGCGTCTGATCGGATTGCTGGTCCACGTGCAACTTGGCCGGAGATGTAGCGCTCAGTCTCGTTTGAAAAGATATACCTCTCATCCGCTGTATGTAAGTTAGTCTTGGTATGATCAAACTCGTTCGGAAAGAGGAATCTGGCAAGACGGACGAATGTAATTACTAAAAGCAATAGAGGGCGTAGCATTGTAGCGATTGATGTACTCCTCTATTTGGACCCAGGAAACTTGACGCATGCATTCGAGTTCAGCGTCGACATCATCGCCATAATTACATCCGAGACCCTTGGCAACGATATCAAAGTCTTCATAAACATCGCTCGTCTCTGTTAAATTGATCGTAACTGAGGGCGGCTGGGATATGATGCCGAATTTTGCCGCAAGGGGGTCGTCCGGAAATGCCAATGTGTAAAGGTGGGTGAGGGCAGCACCTTGAGACTGTCCCCAAAGCTACCCAAGAAATGTCAGACACGTCAAAGCCACTTTTCACTCTAGACTTACCATGATATTGGCGGGGTCTCCTCCAAAAGCGTTGATATTCTGCGATACCCATTCCACTGCGGCTCGTACATCTAGCAGAGTAAGGGAAGTCTCATTCAAGGCTTTAGACTTGGGATCTAGAGTATGTCATCAGTCATATATTTGGAAGACTCTTGCAGGGACTGGACCAGTGAAGGAATTCCGTCTTACTTCCGAATATATTCAGCCTATAATTGATAGTCACCACAATGTGTTCCTGGGAGCGTGACACCCAGTGAGACGGTAATTGGGATGGAACTTCGATTCCTCCAGTCACCCCACCACCACCAGTAACAAACAGGGCAACCGGTAATTTCGACGTCTTATTAGCGTATGAGGGTGTCCAAATAGCTAACGAAAGGCAGTCTTCAGCAGAAGACCAGGCCACCGCTCCTTCGTTATCTGACTCCCCAATGTTAAGTAGTAGACTTGTCGGCTCGAACTCGGACCATATGCCATCATTCGAGGAAACATATTGCGGGCAAGCTAGTGGGCCCATGGATCAGACTTATTGTACCACCAAACCACAAAAACGGGCATAATCAGCTTACCCGGCCCGAAGCGCGTTGAGTCAATCTTTCTAGAGGACTTCGGCAGACTTTGTGGAGGCAGCCATCTTAGATCCCCAACAGGAGGCTGATTATGCTTAATTAGCTGCTACTAGTTCTTTTCATGTCAGTGGCAGTTAGAGAGGACCCTGAAGCTCACCTGGGCAAAAGGGACACGCAGAAATTGCCGGACATCGGGATAGGTATCATTTAGCATACCAATGAACGTTCCTGTCTGGGTCTCTACGGTAAGATTAGACCAATTTGAGAGTGTACGAGCTGACTCCCAAGTCAGATTGGCATAATATGGAGGGCCGCTGACGACTAGAGAGGCCAGTCCAAGCAATCCAAATATAGTGAGCTGAACCATGATGTGAACGGTATGTGTACAATGAGATGAGACGAGGCATGAAATAGAAGTCCGGCCTCTTTCACGTACCAACGTCTTATTTATACTATTGAAAAACTTCCATGCGGCTGTCTGAACATTGCAGCGGGTAAAGAAAAAGCAGTGAACAAGGTAAATTCCCCACAAAACGTCAGGGCAATCGGGAAGCAGGCCACCCACTATCAGGATCTCATTCATCATTTTTTGATGTATATCAAGCGGGGGTTTGTGGGGAACACTCCTACAAGGATGCAAACAAGAAACCCCCGCGGCATCACCCGCATCTGAGAGCATGACGTAGGATTTACTGGTGCATACGAGCCACAGAACGATACACTGCTTTTTATTGCCCAAGGATAATCGTATTTTCAGAATAGAAATAAAGGCAAGTAGAGAGGAAGCATTGTGAGATTCGGACATGTGTAGGAGTCTAAGCTATACTAAGGCTTGGGGGTTCTAAATAGATCTTGATCATGTAACTTGCCAGATTGGCGAACGCTTTTCTCCCTGAAAAACGAGCCAACGAATGATAATGCAATACTCATCGTAATCCAAAGAACTCGACCCTGATGTATCTCAACGCATCGATATCTAGTAAACAGGCATGTCCCACGCATTCAGATCCCAGTGCCAAGTGTTGATAGAGGCCTGGTCATATACGCATTCAAACTTGGCGCCGTTCTTAGTCCATAAAGGACGAAGTGGCCACGCGCAGAGCTCCCACTTCTTACCCTCCTCTGAGCCCTGCAAAACAGTGGCAGGGAGAGTAGTCGGTGTAGAGCCTTTCTCAACCCAGTCAATGAGTACTTGAAGTGTTGTTTGTGGGAACGGGCCGTTTGTCTGATCAGTGCTCGGCGCGCAGTGGCCAGCGCCGGGAATCAGATACAAGCGATACCACTCGTTGAGTTGCGCGGCACCGGCAGTATAGGACAAATCGGGATACATAACACTGCGAACAGATTCCCAATAACGCACTGATGATGCGGCGGGAACACTGAAGTCAGACTCTCCGTGGACATGAAGAATCTTTCCACCTGCGCCGTGGTATACCGAAAGATCCGGCCAGGTTGTCTGGAGAACACTGTCATATCTCTGCCATCCCTCGTATATCCATGCCTTTAGGGTATCCTCGGTGACACCATCGAGTGACAGCGATTCGCTATCAATCAGCTCTAGGAAGCGATCCACCCAATCCCCACCGATTCCACTAACACTCAACTCCCAGGAGTCTGTTTCCGAGTTGTAGGTCGTTCCAGCATCGGACCAAGTTGCGGATGGCTGATATGAAAGATAAACTTGCCGCCCTTGGCTGTCTTTCATACCGTCAATAATTGCCTTAGCAAGCTCCACACCTTTAGCTGTAACCTTTCCACTCTGGGCTGGCGTGGAGGAGGCTTGTCTCTTCTTATAACCGGAGCTAGTCTCAGCAGCACAGTAGTAGGACTCTCCAATGGCCTTATCAAGATTGTAGTGTAGCTTGCAGAGGTCCGTTCGGGAAACAACGCCGTCAGTTAAGCCATCCAATGGATCACACGCAGCAATCGTCAAATTGAGAATTTTCTCCAGCTCGCAAGGAGGAGGGTAGTAATCGAGGTTCTTCATTGCCATATCAGACCAGAGATGCTGAACCTGCTGATGCGCATATCGGAACGCGGGAGCCCCGACGACGGCGCCATCCCAGTCATCGTATCGCTGAATCTGACTCCATCCTTCACGGCCACCTTCTGAGCAGGCCTGGTAGTAGGTATAAAGCTTCTCACTATCTGCCATGCCAAAGAAGTTTCGAGTGAACTGCTTCCCAATGACCGACATCTCATGATGAGCCTTGTATCCGAACATGTACATGGCTTCGTAGTCGATGGTCCCATTGGCCGCGAGGAAAGCGTCATCCTCATCTAATTCAAAGCTTCCAAATCCACCATCTGTGGCACCAGAAACGGCTCCATACATGACTCCTCCAGGCAAGGAGCTATTGCCACTGTTGATGGCCATGCCACCACCGCCAGTAGAAAGATAACGGTTCTCAAACTTATCTGGGGCTGGGAGCCAGAACATCAATAGAACTTGATCATCAGTCAAGCCATTATGAGAGTAGGCAAGCTGAACGGCGCAGAAGTCGAAAGTAGAAGACTCGAAAAAGTCACCAGCAGCCGAAGAATAATTCTTCGTGGCACTCACGACGACCGAGCTGGAGTCGATGGTGATTCCGGTGAGAGCATCTAGAGGAAGGGCAGCCGTCACGTAGGCAGATGTACAGACATCGTCAAGAGTAGCAGCATGTACAATGGCGGCTGAAGCCGCAACTGACCATGCCCAAGCCGAGAGTAACATCCTCCAAGACTTAGTGGTCAGGAGTAATGAAAGGGAAAGAGAGTTATGAGAATCAGGTTTCGATTGACGGTTTGAGTCAAGGAAATAATTTGAAAGGGGGATGCTCTCGATATTTATAGCTGAATTGCTACCTCCATGCCTCGCTTGGAAAAGCAACTTTGTACTCATATGAGCTCCATCAATCCCTCATTATGGTTGAAAAATATGCTCTCAATCATCTACTCTGTATACCTTCTAAGATTAGTCCCCTTAAGCTAACCGTTTCGAGCTTGTGGCGCTGTAAGTTGGGAGTTTGTGATCATTTGGGTAAATCTTTTCCCATATGCAACCTGCTATGAAATCGGGCACCCTTCTGTCCGGGAGCATTGTAGATAAACTATCTGAGCGAAATCTTTCATCCTGTGGTACAAGATACTCGATTCGGTACCCAAACACTTGCCCACGCGTTCTCGTTATCATCCAAGTACGGCCTTGAGACTGACATCGCAGTATTACGAGAACTGTAGGTCCTTGTACCTGAAGAACAATAATTGACCGTCGGCAAACTACTTAGATAAAAGGACCTTAGCCTATGGGGTAGGGTAGATGCCCTTATGGTTCAATGCATAACTATACGCGGATTCCTACTCTCGGCCTCGTTTTCCCCACGGGGAAAGACCCGAATCATTGTTGTGGGGCTCTAGGTTTCAACCCACAAACTTGTGGGTCTTCCTGGTGATATTGCTATGTACTCAATAGTCTTCATGTGGGAAATTAGATTTGAATTGATTATTCGTCGTACGTAAACGCCTGAAGCTTCCAAAGCCACCGTCGGTTCTGACTTTCACTGCGCCTGACACCACCAGCAATGCTTTCAAGACCACAGAATACATCAAAGTTACTACCCTCTTATGAAACATGATTTCGCAAATCGGCTGGATTCGGCACGTAATTATTGAAGATTATCCTTTGACACATGCGTATCCAAGTATAGCGTCACAAAAGCTATATGATGGAGAAAGGGCGAACCAGTATCGTAATACATGTTTATCGACAGGGGGGAAGCTACTTTGAATTAACACTCCGAGCAGAGGATTGTACTAATGGTGATACAGCGTAGATTACAGCAGTTGATTTAGTTACTATATAAGAAGAATAATTCAATGTTATACAGGGGCCAGTAAGGGTAGGCGTCAACACTACAGGCTACGAGTGTTGGCTGGGTCCATTATTCTGTTGAAAATTGAATTCAGGTGGTTTGATTTCCGCTAAAGACAGTCTAAAGGATTATCAGCCAATTTGCGGTAGTCAGATCTTGAGCTGACCGGATACATCTCACTGACAGTTTAGTGGCTGGGACGGAGAGGGGGAGTCGGGACTACGAGATACATGCGGTGCATTGACCGTCAAGATTCGGTCTTCCCTAGATCAAATACGTAATCTCATCTCCGCACTATAGTCGCTAAATTCTTCTTTAAAGGAAATCCGAGGGACAGATATGCCTTTAGTGGAGAAATCAAGCCTTCGAGGCTTGAAGGAAGAAAATGAACCTAGAAGCCTACGCGAAGATGCTGTGCTCCCCCCACATTTTATCCCAGACAATCGAAATTGAAATTGAATTTACCCCGGATTATTGTAATTGTAACCGAACATTTCGTTTCCCGACATTTTCTTCGCAGGCTGGATTTCCATTCGTCCAACACTTGTAATTTCAAGAGTATGATCCTATTGTTTTCATAACAAATAATGGTTCAACTAGCTACCAAGACCATCGCCATAATACAGTAAAGCCCTCTAGTTTTCCAGATAACACATCCGGCCCAAGACTCAATGAGAAGAAGAGTTGTTTTTAGATTGGGAAAGCTTTTCTCTGTGGGTTTGATACAATGGTATTTCGAAGATCTGAATCTAGAGACCCGAGAAACAGTGTCAGGAGACATGCAGGTGCTTTGACTTACTCTCCTGTGAAAGATGTTACTAAAAGTCGGTTCAATCATTATTATAGATGTTTTGGGTATGATCGCTTGGTATATCATTCATCTCTTGGCTGATGGGATGACGCTGAGGTTTTGTCAGGGCTTCAAACTCATGAGACCCTAGATACTATGTACCTCGGAGTCGGGACCTCTGTAGTGGAGTGCTTAGATTCGAGTATATTTCTATTTGCATAGGAGTTAGATAATATATTATCGGTAGGTATTACTAGCTAAAATATGCAAGGATTGAGGCATTCAATTCGCTATATAATGGCAACAATGTAACTCCTCCCCCGGATTCTCCCAGAAGGGTCTCATAACGACCCACATCGGAGTACAACACGAATCCCGCTAGAGCCTCAAGGTAGCGGGTTAGAGTAGTTTCCGTGACTCATAAGATGTTTGTCGCAACCCCGCCAACAATTAGCCGTCGCCAAGCGAAAATCAATTCAATCCTCCAAATCTTCTCTACCGCGGCAAATTCCAGCCCTAGTCGATCTTGAACATTAAGCCCCAGGAGTCTCAGTGGATCAGTATCACTTTCAAGTCCATTACATTCGCGCACTTCAACATGGACTCCGGTCCAGTAATCCACACCGAGCTGGTCACATCAACGGACCTCCTCTCACAGCCATGGCTGCCAGATCTCACCCGCATGATCAACGCAAGCTATATGGTCAGCCACACCGACAAAATAAAGTATCTGGACAATAAAGTCCGACTTCGGACCGACAGTGAACTTTCCGAAGAACTGGGCGCAGATGGTTTCACGGCCGTGGCGTTTGCCTCTGGAGACGCAGACGAAAAGGTCCAAGTCATCGGCACCGCAAGCGTGAAGCCCTGGAAAGATGATGGACTCTGGAACCCCCTCGACCACGATGATACCAGCCATGATCCTACGACGGAGAAGCTGAACAGTGAAATGGAGCAGATTGTCCGAGACCATGCTTGTCCGGGGGACTACGAGCTTGCCGTGGTGGCGCTTCCGCCAGATCCCCGTTACCGCGGGAAGGGCATTGCCGGACGGTTGGTGAAGGCGTGTGAAGATGAGATTCTACGACGTCGGAGACAGGAAGGTGATCATGAAAGGCCTGTGCGGGTCATGATCCGAGTCTCGAAAGAAAACGCTGGAGACTATTGGCTCAAGCAGGGATTCAAGACTGTGGGGAGCCGGAGGTGTCCCAAGGGTTTCTGGGATTCCCTCGAGGAATTCACCATGTGGGCCATGATCCGTGAGCTTCATCCTCAGTAGGTGATGGTCATTGTTGAATCAAACCAATGGTTATTTCAATGGACGTACATATGGGCAATAGTGTATAGAGCGAGGTCAGGGTTTGGTTAATAACGGTGGGGCTATGCAAGTCTAGTCATTGAACTCGAGCATGTTCAAAGAGAAGCAAATAGACTACTGATAAAGTTAAATAAAGATATAAACTTGTTTTATAGTCCGGTAGTGGCGGCGCCAGGTTTACTGGGCAGCAAGGGTTGCCGACTGCTTTGAAAGTACTCCGTAGAGGATTTTATAAATAAATACAGTAATCATGGATCTAAATTGACGAATAGACTCATTGTAAAGCAGGCTCTTTGCTTGGATGATCCCTTTGGAATTACGGCCAAGATGCAGACCATCACAGAGTATGTCCAATGCGACGTTGGTAGATCCAAGATGTGTCCCTGCAGGGATACACCGGTCTCTAGGGCTGTTGATAAGTCACCCTTCAATCATCATCCTTCAGCCCATTCCAGGACCAACAGACCCTACTTGAGTCAAGCTACTCTATGGTTTTCTATCCGATCGTCGCATTCCAGCCCTTCTGCAGCCCACCTCGCCAATGTCCCAGGACTCGGTGCATCGGTCATGAGTATCTCAAGACTCCCGCATTCCACACACTCGCGATCCTGTATTCCTACATGACAGCGGTCATGTTTACTGGACTGGATGATCAGCGCGTGTCGCTATTCTCAAGAGGCCCTATTTAAATACCACTAGACGCGCACTATGAGCTGGGCAAGTCGATGCACTCCTTTTCGACAATCCGACGAGACTCCTTTCGACAACCAGTTTCACGACAACCACACGCCTGCAGGAATATAAATTGACCTCCCAGAAAAGATGTACTTCTCTAAGGTGAGCGGGCGACACAGAATTGACTACACGCGATTCGCGCTTCCACGATGAAAAGAGATCCGCTGGCTAAACGCGATACAGACCCTTGCCTCGGCGGCGCTGCTCGTCCTGCCTGCCTATGCAGCTTTCCCCGTGGCCAGCGTTGAGTTTCAATCCTGGGAGTCCTGTCCCGTCGGTGCTCCAGCTCTTGGTGAGCCCAAGTTTAAGGCTGCTGTGACCGCGACCCCCGCGACTTGCGACAAGACCACCGTCAACCGCGATTGGAGCATCGACAACTACGCCTTCAAGGTGTACCTCGACACCAAGGACGCCCTTCTGTGCTCCGGTGTGACCATCTGGAACAACGATGATTGCTCCGGCGAGCCCGTATCCTTCCTGCCCTTCGACGGCGAGCCCGTTGTTCAGGGTCAGTGCCTGCCCGATATCCTCGATCCTGGCTACGTCTCCTTCCGACTCGACTGCTTTGGCTTCCCCGGTGGTCCTGGTGGCCCCGGTGGTGCTGGTTCCTCTGCTGGCCCTGAGATCTCTGATGGTCCTGAGAGCTCCGATGGTCCTGCCGACTATTAAATGATGCGTCGAGGCCGCACGGTCGGGCCTATGAAATATGACATGAGAGTGGCCGTGTACTATTAGTATTTGGTGCTGGAGAAAGATATGATTTTTTTTCTCACATCCACTGTTTTCAAATTATCATGTATCTCAGTTATAATCCACGACAAATATCACTGGTGTCCAAAAGGTTGCATTATTTTTGTCCTGATAGATCTCATCGATTGTCTAATTGTTGGTGATGATGATGATAAGATGGTCTCGTAGTTAAATTTACCCGCTTAAACACACTTTCCACCCGCCCCTCCATTATTTTTCTCAGCCCACACCTTTTTCCTCAGCTTTCCAACATCGGCGCCACATCTTGCATCTCCACTTCCTCGGCATTTCATGCATGACCGTTATTCTGTATTGATTCATCACCTTTAATCTCCCCCCCCCCCAGGTCTCCACGCGGCGATCATGGCGGGCCGACCGGATAAGTCCCGTCGGATGATCCCTTGGCTGTACGACCTCGTTCTGTGGCTCTTCACCTGCGCGCTGGACCTCTTTTTCCGCGAGATCTACCCTCGTGGAGCATGGAGAATCCCCGAAAGAGGCCCCGTGCTGATTGTCGCCGCCCCTCATGCCAATCAATTCGTCGACTCGGCGATTTTGATGCATCTGCTGAAGTCGCAGGCTAAGCGACGCGTGTCCTTCCTTATCGCACAGAAATCGATGAATGAGCCCTATATCGGGGCTTTGGCATCATGCATGGGCGCTCTCCCCGTAGTCCGATCGATGGATCTGACCAAGCCGGGCAAGGGTACCATCTACCAACCCGATCCCGAGAGCGATCCAGCCCTCATTCATGGCATCGATACGGATTTTACGCAACCTGAATTCACAGGTGGCTCGCTCACGATCAAAGGCAACAATGCACCCGAGACTGCTTCAATTGACGAAATCCTCGGACCGACTACCCTTCGGCTCAAGAAGCCGTTCACCTCTCGACTTCCGGATGATCCGGGCCGTAAAGGCACGAGATTCAAGGTTGCTCCCCACGTTGATCAGAGCCAAATGTTTGATGCCGTCTACAAGGAGCTGTCCTCGGGAGGCTGCATTGGTATTTTCCCCGAGGGCGGCAGCCACGATCGATCCAATTTGTTGCCTTTGAAAGCAGGCGCTGCCTTGATGTCACTCGGTGCTTTAGCTCGTGATCCCGAATGTGGATTATCCATTATCCCCTGTGGCATGAACTACTTCCATGCCCACAAATTCCGCTCTCGTGGTGTGATTGAATTTGGCCGGCCCATCCATGTGCACCCTGATCAGGTTGCAGCCTTTAAAGCTGGCGGCACCAGTAAACGTAATGCCGTTGGTTCTCTGCTTGAGACGATCTATGAGGGCCTCGAATCTGTCACGCAGATCAGCCCGGATCATGAGACTCTAATCCTAGTGCAATCCACCAGGAAGCTCTACAACCCCATCAGCAAGAAAATCCCGCTTCCACTGGTGATCGAATTCAACCGAAGACTCCTGAAAGGCTACACCAAGCACCAGGACGATCCCAGAGTCAAAAATCTCAAAAAGATGGTGAATGAGTATAACCGACGCCTGGAATCGCTTGGTATCCGGGATCACCAGGTCGAATGGGGCAATATCGAGGAGAAGCCATGGTGGCTCACTCTGATCACCTTGTTCTACCGCCTGACCAAGCTTATCGTTCTCAGTTTTGGTGTGTTGCCTGGAGTACTCCTCTTCTGGCCTGTCTTTGTCACGACCAAGGTCATCTCGGAAAAGAAACGGCGCAAGGCACTTGCAGCTTCAGTGGTCAAGCTTCAAGGACACGATGTCGTCGGCACTTGGAAAATTCTCGTCGCCATGGGGCTGGCACCCACTCTCTACGTGTACTATACTATCATTGTGACGGCCTGGCTTCGCTATAACCGCAACGATGGTTACTACACTAATTCTGTTCCTTGGTGGATGGTGGCAAGAACATACGTCCCCGATTTCGTTCCATTGTGGATTTTCGCCGTGTGCTTCTACGCCCACATGGGTTTCGTCAGCTATGCGGCACTTCGATTTGGCGAGGTTGGCATGGACATCATCAAGTCTCTACCCCCTCTCCTGGTCGCCTTGAGCCCGCTATCCTCTTCTTCCCTGATTGACCTGAGACAACACCGAGAGGCCCTGTCCGAGCGAGTCACTCAGACGATTAATGACCTTGGTTTCGGTATCATGCCGGACGTCGATGCCGAGATTCCTACGGACTCGTACAAACTCGACGCTTATCAATCTTATCTCAAGAGCATGCCGCCCAGTGAGCCCTCTAGTCGGGAACGCAGCCGCAGTCGGTCTAATGGCCCTGGTGGTGCTCCTTCGTTGAAGGCTCTTAGCTCGATCAACTCGGAAGGAGATCTAGCGGAGATTGATCGGAAGATCCAGACCAATCTGAAGGGGAGAGGTAGGCGGTCCAATACCTTGACCACTTTTGAGACCGGCGAGTCGATCCTTAAGTATAAGCCTCTTACTACTGCGGATGATGAAAAGAAGAAGCAGAAGTGATTCACCTCTTCACTTTGAAGCTTTCCAGGTCTGGATATGGCAACAAGAGGCCTCAAGGATTGAATGGGACATCAGGCTCCATGCCCCAGCTGCGCCATTGGGCAGACTGTCCAATTGTTATGCGTCTGATGATCTTTACTTCTTTGTCATTGATTAGACTCTGGTCGAAATAATTGAACATCATAATACAGTTCAACTCCAATTCAATGAACTCTTTTTCCAGAAAACTGGACGAATAATATTTTTAACCCGTCAATTTCCCAAGTACGATCCACTCAGCGACTGACACAACCAGCCGCCGCTCCAACAGGCACAAAGTCCTCTGAGAGGTCGACCGCCATGCTCTGGAATGTTCAAGACGCGCTTACATACCTCCTTGAGGCAATCATGATTTCCACGCGGTCCTGGATCGACTCCGGCTTTCCTGTTTGGGATTTGGAATGTGCGGTCTCATCAGCCACTGGTTCCTGGCCTGAACTCTTGGCACACTCCCGCCACCAAGTATGACGCTGAACGCCATTGTGACTATTCACGATCGTCGTGAGACGTGTTAATCGCGTTTCACCTCAATATCATCACCATTCCAGTCATTCTTCCCCGCCCTCCTAATATTTGTAGTTCTAACGTAGAGGAATGGTCAAGCGTATATAAGAGAGTCGATCCCGAACCCACTAACACAACCCTACCCTATCATCAAAGATTTACATACTCTCTCGATCTCTACATCTCAATATCAGATCTCGAGATCCTTCACCATGCATTCCACCCTCACAACCCTCTTCTTCCTCTCCACGCCCATCCACGCCGGCATCACAGCCCGAGTCTGGACGCATTTCTACCCTAACTGTCCCGGCGAACCCTTCTCCAACCTGGACACATACGAAAACTACGAAGAAACCGCCCCCTCCCAATTAATTACGACAGGCATGTGCGCCAACATCGGCGTCCCCTCCTACGAACACAACCTCGTCAGCGCAATCTCCGTAGACGCAGAGCTCCTCTCCCAAGAACCGGGCCATCCCTATCCACCACAGACAGGACCAACCTGCAACATCACCGTGCACGAAGTACCCGAGTGCGAGGATCCACCCCTCATCAACAAAGAACTCCGCCAAGGCGTCGAAGTAAGCCAATGCGAGCCGCGCTCTTTCGCGGCATACAGCGAAGTATGGCTGCAACTTGTCTGCGACGACAAGAATGAGGAGTCATTGTCAGACCAGGGGGAGGATATCCCGCGGATTGAGGGGACGGTGAACCTTGAGAATGCGGATAGCGCGGCGAATGTGCAGACGCCCGGGTCGAATTCGTTGTCGTGGTCGAAGGCTCAGACGGGGTCTTCGGGGCGGAATCCTGAGGAGGAGGGGCGTGTGAATAATGATGGGCATGCGGAGAGCGAGAAGATTGTGCATGATATTATGGAGAAGATTCAGCATCAGGCTGCTAGTATGGTTACTGGGAAGCATAATGCGACCCAGCCTGCGTTGAATGCGACTCTGCATCATGGGAATGGGACTGCGGCTGGGAACAGGACTCTGTCGAGGAGAAAGTTGTCTGTCTTGCGCAATCGCGTGGCTCGATTGTGGTGAGAGTGTTGATGATGGTTTCGTTTTGTGAGCGCTTTGATGTCTATTGATCATTGAAAACATATAGTCTCTGTAAATAGTCATCCGAAAAGAAATATGAGTTTGTGTTAGCCTTTCTTTGATCACGGTTTTGGAACATGGGCAACAGCTTTAGAATTCTGGTAAAGGTGAGTACGCGGATGTAAATTTTGTAACGGCGAAAATCCTGCATTGCTCAATCGCTCTATAAAATGCACATGGAATGAAGACGATGCGCTCAGAAAACAAACACTCGAACCCCCTTTGCATCCATTCAGAAACCAAAGCTATCCAACAGCGAATTAGCATCAGGCTCATGGAACATAGTCGGAGGTGGTTTCGGCTTCGGCTGTTTATCCGAGTCCTCCACAGCAGAAGAATCCTTAGCATCAGCGACCTTCACTTCCGCAAGACGGACCGGCAAATCAGCGACAACAAGACTACTCCGCCGGCGAAGCAGTTTCCGATAATCAACAGCACCATCATGGAAATCAAGAGCAGGCTGCGTCTGCAACGTCCTGGGTGTTGGTGGTCCGCCCAGGAATTCCCAGTGTCGTACTAGATCCAAAGCGAGGAGATCGCAGCCCATCCGGTCGTAGAGGCGGGCGTTGCGAAGAACGAATTCCCATTCTTCTCGTGGGCGAACTTGTGAGGCTCCCTTGAGAGTTTGGAGGGTCTTCTCGCGAAGTTGTTGGTAGAGGACGACCAGGGCAGGGTCGTTGGAGAGGTACGACTTGGCCTGGAGTGTGACTCGTCCGGGACTTCCTGGGGAGGCGGGTGTTGGAGCAAGTAGTGACTCGATCGGTGACTATTGCCGTGTTAGTAGGAATGCTATCCCGTGTCTTCGGAAGCTGACTTACAATAAGTGACCGCACGGCCATGTCCCGTCGTCCTAGCATCCAGAAAGCCCAAGAAGCCACCCATCGGTTGCCCTCCGAGGCTGCTTCAGGAAGAACCTTTTCTTCCAAAATTTCACGCAAGACAGGACCGTTGTCTCCTTCATAAGCTCGTGCGACTGCAATCGCAAGCTGGAGGTCTCCCATCTGATTGGTAATTATATTCGTGGCATCGCGAAGGTGGTCCGCAAGCAAGAAGAATGATGCAGCATATTCTTTGGGATGTTAGATGTATGGCCGTCACGAGCACTAAATAGAGAGTACTTACCAAATCTCCGCTTTCCGAGCAGGGCGTAGGCGTTCTTGAGGGCAGATGTCTTCCATCTTGCTTCACTGAAGTTATTCGCAAGTAAACGTTGCGTAGCGGCTTGTTCACGATGCCAGTGAGCGATTCGCCATAGACCTTGAAGAATGTTTTTCTTTCCAAGGGCAAGATAATAAATCGTGCAGTCAATAGGGTTCCTTTCCTCGGTCTTGCCATACTCATTCCGAGCAACGACTTCAAGTTGTGCTTTCTAACAAGGAGATTAGTATGAGCTAAGAACCGACCAATGAAGCAACTCACCAAAGCTGTTAAATCAGATAGCCACATGAAAATACCACTCTCTCGAGCAGCCTTCCAAGTTAATTTGCCATTGAACTGACGCGAGACTAGGTCGGTCAGAATGTCCTGGCTACCGCTGTGGAAAGCCCAGACAATCTCTCTCCATGAAACGGTGTCTTTATTCGCGACACCTTGACTCCTCCTCAGCATGTGCTGTCGGAAAAAAAGGAGATAGCGGGCGGCATTGTCATCCATTGACCGTCGGTGCTTTTCCACCGTTGCTACGCACTCGACAGTATCAACAAGGCGGAACTGTTCATGACTTGTGATCTGAGGCAGCGCAATCCGTGCGAGATTCTCATTCAGAACCGCAGCTGTATTTTCATCCATGACGGTTGATTCTTCCTCTTGCACGGTCACATCCGTATAAGAAGAGCGCATCTCCTTGGACGCCGCTTGCTGGGAGACATCGCTTTCTTCATAGAATTCTTGGAGCGGCATTTCCAGGAATCCGTCCAGATCATCACCTTCCGTATAGAATTTCAATTTCTTGTGCAGATTGATCAGAATGGAGTGCACCAAACTGGTCTTTCCGGAGAGTATGCACTGTGCGAGGAACTGTGGATGGAAGACGGGCAACGGGCCATTCAGGCGACTGACGACATCGAAAAGATCCACCGACGATAGTCCTCGAGATGGGATACGAAGACCGGAGACGAGGCGGTCGCCAATATCGATTTCCTTGTCATACACAAACAACTGATTCCCCGCGCCAATTACCAGGTGACCATTTGTGAGCCAGCACGAGTCGCCAATGGGGTGTGGGGTGAGATCTCGGATCCAAATCTCTCGGATCTGGGTCCATGAAGGCTGGGCGTCTAAGTAGTCGTAGCGAAGCTGAGATAACAAAACGACCTTGTGTGGAAATCCAACAGCCAAAATCGATTGCATGTCCGGAGTCGAGGTCCAGTCGAGATCCCGAATGATATCATGTTGGGCGAAATGCTCTTCAAATTCCAACTGAGCATTGTTGGTGTCCCAGATTGTCAAGTGTGTTCGATCCTCATCCACCAGCGCTGCTTTGCGGATGGTACTTCCACTCGCCAACGACGGGTTCGTGATTCCTGTATCGACTGTTGACTTCAGCAGCCACTCAACTTTAGCGTTTGTCTGGTCCACCTTTGCAGTCCAGGTTCGCACAACTCCGCTATGGGTATAAGAAAGGGCAATATCTGGTGAAAATGTGTCGAAGAATCCGGAGTGTTTGGCTTTGGGTCCTGCAGGGTCCACGGGGAGGATATAGGCCAGATCTTCCTTCAAGCCCATATCAAAGGTGCAAAATTTCCGCATTCGACTGTCTTCGGATGAACTCCATTCAATCTCCCATGCAATGCCATTCATGTCGGCTCCAATGGTTGCCACGTAGGCAATCCTAGACTTCGTGTCCGGGCTGGGAAGCGGAAGCACACAGAGGGGTTTGCTGGACAATGTGAAAGGTAGATGTGCGATCCTCTTAGCGTGATAAGAGTTGAAATCCCACAGTGAGATTCCATTGTGATGAAGATTGACGAGTAGGCTACTGTCCTCGATGAGACAGGTCCGATGAATGTGTTCATCAGAGAGAAGGACGCTTTTATGCAGAAGCATCGAGCCACTCTTTCGTCTCTTCTGTCTCCAGATCATAGCCTTGTTCTCATCCGTACGCGAAATAAGTGTATCACCAAGAGCATTTCGCACAATCTTTTTGACTGGTGCTGTGTGTCCAGACCAAGATGATTTCGGGGAAATTCGATTCTTGCGGGGAGTAGGATCGAAGAGAACATCCACTTGCGAGTCGTACCATTCAACCCGACCATCAAAGTGATGAACAACAATACTAAGTTTGTCCTCAGTTGTGTTACTTTGGAACGCGCGAATTTGCGCATAGTCTTCTGCTGCTGATAGGCCCGGCATGAATCCAAACTCCAGCCCCTCGACGTGCAGAATGTTGAAGACGCTCATTTTGGTCTTGACCTTGGAACCCACATCTTCCAAAGCCCAGGCAGACATATGTCCCTGGCCATCAATGACAACGCATATCTCTGGACTCTGTTTGGCGACTTCGATGATATGCTCCAAGGCGTGGTTTTCTTTATTGCCCGTGTTCCGCTCCACAGCTCGCTCTGTCGCACTGCAGAAATCACGACCGTCTAAAAAGAATCCATATCTCCTGGTAGATCCTTGATCGATACTGGATGCATCTCGGGGTTGTACCGATAGTTCCATATCGATGTCTGTCCATAACTGCAACGGCGAGAGGGCGTGGTGATCTGTCACAGCCCACACTCGGATTTTATTGTCGGCGCATAGCGTATAGAGGACGTTATCGACGGATTGTTCTCGGTGGTACGGCAGTCGCCAATGTGTCCCCGTGACCACATCAGGATGAGGAAGATACGAGACCTCAAACCGTACTTCATCCTCACCAAAGGCGAGTCGTCTCCATACCTTCACCAAGCGGTCATACTCTCCGACAGTCACCACCAAGGCTGCATCAGGGGAGAATTGGGCAAACTTGACCGGGTTGGCCAGCTTCCGTTTCCAGACCAAGCGGGCGGTATCATTCAGCATCCAAAGCGCGAGGCGCGAGTTGCCAACCAGCAGCTCATTCGGCGACCCCCACGACAGGGTATGAATCGACTCGTCGTCATCATTGGCGCGAAACGCACAGGCAAGGGACCACTATGCAATCAATCCTCATCAGTATACTAGGCTTTCCGATTGCTCGCGAACTTATCTCCCTGTTGAGAAAGCTCCGATGTAGCACGTCAATTACCCACCTTCAATGTCTCGCCCTGGATGCCATACGGCTGGTAAACAAATATATCAGGCCCTCCGCACACAGCAATCTTTCCAGAAGCCTCGTCAAAGGCTACAGCCTCGAGCTTTTCGGTATCATCGACGTAAATCGTTTGGAGGAGCGTCTGCGGACCGCCGAGGATGACTAGCGCGTGGCCGGAGATGTACGCCTGTGAGAAACGCGCGCAAGGCCACCATTAGCATTCGAGAAGTTCTGGTTCATAAGACAAGCTGTATCAAAGCTTGAGGGAACGAAAGCTTACAATTACGCGAAGCCCATCCCACAGCGCAGTGCTGAACGACTGGAGCTTCGCTGGGGGTCTCCCCGGCAGTACCGCTCGCATAGAGGCGGGTGGATTGGCGTTGTCGCTTTGAAACCTTACACCATCGCCAGGTTTGCGGACGGAGGTTCAAACAGGGGCCTTCCAAAGGTGCAAATAAGAGGAATGACGAAAGAAGGGTCAATTCCCGAGATCAGCGTTCAGGTGGTGATGCGCAGGGGATCAGAGCGGGATGGGGTGACGGTCTTCTAAATGGGGTCGATTACGCTTCCCGCTCCACTTCAGCGCGACCACCGCTCGCCCTTTTGCGCGGCCCGACTCCTTGTGAGCTCTCAGCAGCTGCACGCTCGAATAGGCGTTGTTACTTAATTTGGATAAACCAGGGACTACTAGGAGATAAAAAGTAGTATTACTAGTGTTAAGATTGGCTTGAATAGCTTTTCCGGGGTAAGCTATAGTGTCAGCTGATGAGAAGGCGGTCATTTGATGTGCAGCGCATTGCATACGAGACGATATACATCGACACCACATTTTTACACGGAAGACACCACTTGGAGGTTTGAGGCATCCTCGCTCCACTCAAATACACTTCGTACAATATTTGTCACATTCAATCATGTCCAAAAATACACAAAGGTATAGCCTAAAACACGTTGAGAAATGCCCCCCAATCCCTGTACATGATGCGCCGGATCATATGCATAGTGAGACGAAAACACAGAGGAAAAAAAAGAGTATAGTCGTCACTGATGTACAAAAAACAACACAAGGAAATTGACTGCGCCAAAAAAAAAACGAACAAATGGTCATATACTGGAAGCAAAGTTAGGGTCGTCGATTCGCCGACTTCCGGCCATCAGTGGGAGACTCGGGGAGTTCTTCGTCCACAAATCGGACGCTGGTCCCCGTCAAGCTTCTGCGACTGGATTGCGGTCGTCGGGAAGAAGTAGTTCGAGAGGCCGAGGCTTCAGCACGGAGTAGTCGACTGGCGAATGGAGTATGAAGGGGCGTGGCAGGGGTCGTGGACAATTGCGCGAGGGCTCGGGCACGAGCAGCTCGCTTGGATGGCGAGGTCATATAGTTCGGTGTGGCCAGTGGGCTTGCGGAGACCGGCTCCATGGAATTCGTCGTGAAGTCAGTCATCTTGAAGGGAGTTTCGGATGCGTTTTGATACCACGGATCAAATAGAGCTGACCCGGGGCGCTCAACTTCTCCGAACCTCGAGTATTGGGTAGATGTCAAGGCAGGTCCCGGTGAATCACGCGCTTCGAGCTTGAGCCGGGCGCTTTCTACCCAGAGGCGGAACAGATTCCTCGAATGCTTCCGCAAAGTTCTTTCCCGCATCGCTTCAGCAGTCTCGACCGTACTTCTCATCTGGAAGATGCGAAGACTGAGCTTGCGAAGAGATGCACCTGCATGGAAGAGAACGTGTCTGCGGTACACGGAGTCGGCTTGGTCTTCCATCTCACGACGAATCACAAAGGTCTCCGAAAGTTGAATCAACTGGTCAAAAGCGATTTGACGGAAATAGTGTAAATCAGCTTCTTGGTAATCCTGTACCCTTTTAAGAGTTTGCCCATGCCATCCACCGAAGATATCGGCCACGTCACTCATTAATTTCTGACGGTCAAGCTCTGCTGCTTGCTGCTCCATGTTTGTAATAGCCTCGGTCTTGGAGGCCCACATCGCAAGGGCTTTAGAAGCCATGTTCACTTTGACCTTTCGCCGCATCTTCGAATAGGCATCCTTGCGCCGTCGTTTGGCAGAATCTAACGTGGCCTGGCGCCAATTCTTCAAGGATCGTTTCATGAGGAAGTAGAATTCGGCATCCCGAGCCCAGCTCTCCATCTTCACAATCTGCTGATGTTTAGATCTCCATGCCATCAGAGATTCCTGTGCGAGACGAGGAGCATAGAATTCGAAGGCAGTATATTCACGCTCCCGCTGGAGCAACAATTGATCTCGCCAGACGGTCAATTTAGAGCGTACTAGCTCCTCGGCCCAGTGGTCTTCATGTACCTCCGCATGGGAGAGCAGTTGAGTGTATGTATCTCGGGTATTCGTCACGAATCGGGAGAACACTTCGCGCTTGATACGCTGTTCCCGTATTCGGCGCATCAACTGGAACCTTTCCACCAGGATCCATTTGTACATCGTTTCCATTTTCAGTCGTTCATCAATTCGGGCTTGGAGAGCCAAACATCGAAGCGTATCATTCCAAGATATCCAAGCATTTCGCTCAACCCGAAGTCGGTCCATCTCTACTGCTTGCTCAGCCAGACGAGCTTTCCCGATCCATTTTGAGAGAGCAGTCCGCAGGATTCTACCGTCCACCATGTCAGTCACCTGGGAAGCAGCAGGGGCTAGCTTGGCTTGGATTTTCCACTCGTCAAATGTCTCTTTCAAAGCGCGATACCGCTGGGATCCTGCGGCTTTTTGTTCCGCAGAAGCAATGGTCTTCGATTTTTGAGACCATGCCTGGAGGACACTAGCTAGTGACGATTTCCTGTTGTGAATGACGATCTCTTGCTCACGCTCACGATTGGTTCGGAAGTACCGAAGCCAGTAAAGCAAGGACCGCCTCTTGAGTTGGCTGTCGTACCACTCGGGAGCACGCCGATCGCAAAAGCCCCAGAACCATTGCCAATAGGAGGCATGTCGTAAGTTGTCTTTATGGATCGTAACCGCTTTGGCTTCTGCCGCTTTGGCTTCTGCCGCTTTCTTGCGCCATTTATTGAATGGCTTTTGGAGAGCAAAACGCTGGGCTTTCAACTCGTTGACAGCGGTGATCTCCCGCCAGGCATTGAAGTATTTGATACTCAACACGTGTCTTCGAGCGGCAGACGTGCGGGCAACCTCTTCGGATGTAAGTTGAGCCCAGTGAGTGAATGCTTTCGTCATTAGATACAAGTCTCGAGCACGACAGGCGCGTTCATCAAGGTGCTTGAAGAAACGCTCCGTTCTGGCCGTATGACGCTTGTCTTGAATGATTGCTCGCCACGGCTCAAAAGCCTGTCGGAGCAATGTGCTTCGGTCACGATTAATAGCAACGGATTCCCTGGTCTCACGAATGTGACGCGCGTGAAAGGCTTGTTTCAACCATTGTGTCAGGATACGCCGGCAGTTGGCTCGTTGTCGATACATATTGAATGTAGACGCATCTCGAAGCAAGTCTGAAAGTTGAGGCCGGTAGAGCATCTCCGGCGGAACATTTTCTTTGCCAATAGAATCATGTCCTGTCGCCTGCGACACCTCGGACTGTGATTCACCAGACTCGAAGCTATCCGATGAGCTTATTGAAGGCGAGCGACGTGTTTTCGCGGCCGTGATCATTCGCTTGGAGCGGTCATGATGAACAGCTGAGCGTGCAACAACGCCATTCGTCAAGGGAGGGTTTTCTTGCTCCTCGCCCTTATTTCGATGTTGTACAGAATCGAATCGGCTTATCAATCGGCGACCAACGTCCAAAAACTGCGCGATCAACTGCGTGCGATCCGGAGATTTTGGCCGTTGTTCGTGGGTCTTAGGCTTTGGAAATAATTTTAGCTTCGAGAAATCGGGCTTTCCGGTCTCGAGTCGAGACATAGATGCGCGTGAGCTCGGGCGTTCGACGAAGCTTTTCTGGGTACCATCTTCCCCGATATCGAGTGTAGTATTGAACGACGCACGCCTCCGGGGTGTTATCGGGGTTCCGTTTGTGATGGGATAATGGTTCTCGTCGCCCGTTTGGCTGGCCGTGCCATCGACGACCGAACGTTCATTTTGTGTCGTCTCGTTGAGGCCAGTAGAGCCGTCGTCCCCAAATTCAATCAAAATTCCCATCTGTTGGAGCGCGCTCTCGAATTTGTCGAATAGTGAGGGTCCCTGCACCTCTTTACTCCCCATTTTGAAGAGAAATCGCAGGCATGCATGACCAGGATCCGCGTCGACTCCATGTTCACTGATCACCTCGTCGTAAGCCGCGAAAAGCGCTCGGAATGGCAGTCGCTCAACCTCGGGCTTCGCCTCGGCGCGACTGACAACTTGGTAGAGGAAACCGACATCTAAAGGAGGACACTCATATTAGATCAAGTAAGAAATAACTGAACCTATCCTTGGCCAATTGCTTACCGTCATCGGACAGCGACGAATTCTCTTCGGTCAAGGCGCGCCGCTGCGAGGATATCGGAGGCATCGAAAAATCGCGACCTAAGGCGCGCTTGTCGCATCTGGGTCATACAGGCGACGGACCAAAAAAATCATCGCGAAATTAGGCAGTGCTGGAGACGCAAGAAATGCGCAGAGACCAGTCTGCAATTGAAAGAGAAAAGAAAACCCCAACTCGCAATCAACTCGAATTTAAATCCACGTTCTGGCCCATCGGGTTGTTTTGGTGGTCGCGCCAGAAACATGCCCCGACGTCACGTGTCACTTATGTAACATTCCGGTCATGCAGGCTTGGCACGACCCGATAGTTGTGATGGGATGCGATTATCATCCTCGGGCATTTTATGAGCTGAACCTCGAGGAATTGATCAACTATCACGCAACTTCTCCAGTTACAAGCTCTCTATATTCCCACGATGCCCAACAGGACTCGTCCCATCGAGAAGGTGGCCAAGGCCACGGCCAAATGCTCCACTGAGGTGCGTACAAAGTGTCGTGGATCGATTATCAGCCTCTCACGAGAGCTAACTCTCAAGTAGGCCGCAGCATATGGAAAATGTGTCCTTGCAGACTACAATTCCGTACACAAAGACATGTGTGCCAAAGAATTCATGCGACTCAAGGATTGTTTCCTAGTGAGTGTGGTCTAGAGAGTGTCCCAAACTCCGCCGCGTTGACTAACTTGACCAGGCCGCATCTAAGAAGGGCTGAGGGAGAGGCCATTCAAATTTATGCATGGAGTTGCGGTATTTAAGGTGCAATCATCCTACGAAGCGCAATCATTTTACGAATCCCCGGTGTTTTTTCTTCAAACTTAACATTTCTTCACCTGTATATTACCAAATCAAATGAAAGAAACCTCATGGACATGTAATTCATTGATCAACAACCTAATGAAGCGGGGAGTAGATATCTATCTACTCATAAAGTCATATTTATTTTCTTGCATCTCTAATCCCATCGGGCACTTTACAGCTTGACCAGGCGCAACAAGAATGTTGCGTTCTGCACCTCCTGGTCCTCCTGTGCAATGGTGCCCTCCTCGTCAGCGCTAGGTGACTTGCCATCAACCAAAGCACGCTCATCGAGCGGCCGACGAACAGCCTTCTCGATAGCCTGAGATTGGGACTTGAAGGCCTCGCTCAGACCGATGTTCTCGGGGTCCGAAAGCACAATGTACTCCATCTTAACTTCGTCCGTGGGGACAAGGCCGGCCTTCTTACGGAGACGCTGGAGACGGTTGATGATCTCACGGCCGATACCCTGGTGAGCCAGCTCGGGGTACAGGTTGGCATCCAGAATGGTCATGACATCGGCGTCGGTGTTGGTCTCCATGCCTGATGAGCCCGAATCCTCCTTAATGCCGCGCTTCACAACGAGATCACCCTCAACCAGCTCAATGCCGTCAACAACGATCTTCTTGTCAGCGACGTATTTCTTCACATCATCGCTGGACAGAGAAGGCAAGGCCTTCTTGACCTTCTGCACGTCCTTCTTGAGCTTCTTGCCCAAAGTGGGCCAGTCGGCATTGACACTGTACTGGACATTGTACTTGGCCTCGTCGGACGAGAGGACAAGGTCGAGAACGTTAAGCTCCTCGAGAATGTAGCCTTCGAGGGACTTGACATCGTCAAGGTATTGCTGGTCCTGGTGGATAACAACCAGACTCTTCAAGGGGGTCTTCAGAGCAATGGATTTACGCTCACGGGAGATACGGCCAAGCTCGATGACCTTCTGCATGCGGGCAACACGGCGCTCCACAACCTCATCGAAGAGCTCCTGGCGCGGCTCAGGGAAGCCCAGGAAGTGAACACTGCGGCTATCCTCAGCACGTAGGGACTCGGGGATGTGGGGGAGAAGGCGCTGGTAGATGTTGTCGGTGATGAAGGGAGTGAAGGGAGCAAGACCCCGGACAAGGGTGTAAAGAACCTCGAAGAGAGTGTTCAGGGCATGCAGGGTGTCATCAACGCCGTTCTCACCCTTCAGGCGCTTACGGTTGAATCGAATGTACCAATTGGTAGTGTTCTCAATCAGGCCCAGCAGGCGAGGCACGACTGTGTACAGGCGATAACCAGCCATCTCTTGGTTGACGAACATCAGAAGACTCTGGCAACTGGCCAAGATCCAACGATCCATGACGTTGGTGTTGGTGGCCTCGGCCGCGGGATCGAACATGAAGTCGACATCAGAGGCCTTCTTCAAAAGAGCCACTTGACCTTCGAAGAACTTGTAGCTGTTCCACATTGGCAGGAGAACCTTGCTAACAATCTCCTTGACACCTGTCTCCTTGAAACGGAGGGGCTCGGCACGAACAACTGGAGAGTTGATCAGGTAAAGACGCAGAGCGTCCGAACCGTAGCGGTCCATAATAAGGGTAGGATCCGGGTAGTTCTTCAGACGCTTGGACATCTTCTTACCATCCTCAGCAAGAACGATACCGTTAACCACGCAGTTCTTGAAGGGAAGCTTGCCAAACAGGTGGGTGCCGAGGACGGTCAAGGTGTAGAACCATCCACGGGTCTGGTCGAGACCCTCGGCAATGAAGTCACCCGGGAAGCTGTTCTCGAACTGCTCCTTGTTCTCGAAGGGGTAGTGCTGGGAGGCGTAAGGCATGCTGCCAGACTCAAACCAACAATCGAACACCTCGCTCACACGACGGAGTTCACCCTTACCCTGCTTGCTCGGGATGGTGATGTGATCCACCTTGTCACGGTGGAGATCGGTGAGTTCACCGGTGTAGCCACTCAATTTCTTGAGTTCCTCGACGCTTCCAACGGCGACAATCTCCTGGTAGTCATCGCTGACCCACAGAGGAAGGGGTGTACCCCAGAAACGATTCCGAGAAATGTTCCAATCACGAGCGTTCTTGATCCAGCTAGCAAATCGCTTGTCCTTGACAAAGGAAGGGACCCAGTGGGACTCCTCGATGCCTTCCAGCATCTGAGGGATGATGGGAGTGATCTTCACGAACCAGGAAGGCACCGCACGGTAAATGAGGGGGGTGTCAGATCGCCAGCAGAAGGGGTAGCTGTGAGTGATCTGGCTATCAACAAGGATGCGACCGGTTCCCTTGAGGTGCTTGATAATTGCCTTATCGGCATCCTTCACGTTCTGTCCGACAAAGTCCCGAACTTCCTTAGTGAAGCAACCCTGCGGGGTTACTGGGTTCGGAGGGTGACGGGTCTCGTTGATAACACCATGGTTGACGGCGACCTGATAATCGTCCTCACCGAAGGCAGGGGCTTGGTGGACAATACCCACACCATCCTCAGCCGTGACATAACCATCGTTCAGCACGCGGAAGCCATGATCCTTGAACTCCTCGTAGAAATAGTCAAAGAGGGGCTCGTACTTCCATCCAAGCATGTCGGAACCCTTGATGCGATCAACAATCTTGAACTTGGCCTTCTTCGGGTCCTTATAAATGGTGCGGAGCAAAGACTCCAGAAGGATGTAGTTCTTCTTGGTGGCCTCGTCATAGATCTTCACATACTCGAAGTCTGGGTGGGCGCAGAGACCGGTGTGGGAGGGAAGGGTCCAAGGAGTGGTGGTCCATGCAAGCAAGCAGATCTCAGGGTCATCCAAGAGGGGGAAAGTGACAACGATAGCGGGATCCTGGACATCCTTGTAGTTTTGCTGGGCCTCGAAGTTACTGAGGGGAGTGTTCAGGGCGGTGGAGTAGGGCATGACTCGGTATCCGCGGTAGACAAGGCCCTTGTCGAACAGCTCCTTGAAAACCCACCTTTGCAAAAACAAAGACGTCAGCAACTCTATTTAGTAAGACAAGCAAGCACTTTGTGGAAATCATACCAGACAGACTCCATGAAGCTAGTGTTCATTGTCTATATGCCAGTTGAAAGTTGTTCGTTAGGTCCACTTAGAATCACGCGACACCATTCGGACCCGAATCGTACCTTGTAGTCGTTGTCGAAATCGATCCAGCGACCCAGGCGCTCGATGGTCTGGCGCCATTCAGCGGCGAAACGCATGACAATAGCCCGGCACTCCTCGTTGTACTTCGCAATTCCGATCTTCTCGACGGCCTCCAGACCGGACATGCCAAGCTTCTTATCGATTTCGTATTCGACGGGGACACCATGCGTATCCCAACCAAAGCGTCGCTCAACATAGTGACCCTTCATAGCCCAGTATCTGGGAATGATGTCCTTGATTGTAGAAGCCAGCAGATGGCCATAGTGAGGGAGACCGGTAGCGAAGGGCGGGCCGTCGTAGAAAGTATATGGCTTCTTGCCTCGAGAGAGCTCGACCTGGCGCTGGAAGGCATCAATCTCCCTCCACCGCTTGAGGATGAGCTCCTCCTCGGCGGGAAAATCGATAGACATGGCGCTTGAGGTTGGTTGACGACTTCGGCTTTCCAACGGGGACGAGGGGCAGATAAAAAGAGAAGTGACTCACCCCCACCACCACCACATTTTTTGCCAGTGCGCCCTGCGACTCACAGCCCCTCCGCCATCTCACCGCCTTCTATAAATAGCGGAATACGGACTATAGAAGACAATCTATAGGATGAATCATATCGTGGGATGATGATCTGATTGATCAGATCTAAGAGTGAAAAAAACAACAGCATAGACGCATGATTTCTAAATGAGTTATGCAGGAATTTTTGAATTGCGCTAGATAGATGCAGGGGTGAGAAGGGCGGTCCATCGCTGCTATGTACGGACAGAATAAAAACAATGAATTCGCTATTCTTAATCTTCGTCCTCGTCCTCATCTTCATCGTCGTCTTCAGCTTCGGAAACTTCTTGGCCAAGGTCCTTGAGCCGTTTCTAAAATAAAATTTAGTATTTGCCCGTCGTATAACAGAGTAATGATGTGGTCACGTACCTTGTCTTCTTCTCGCTTAGCCTCTAGGTCTCCAAAGACGATCAGGAGGTCATCCAATTCAGTTTGGGTTGCTTGGCGGGCTTCTTCCTTATCATTGGCCTCTGCCTGAGCCTTTTCAAGTTGGGCTTTGATCTCCTTGAGTGCTGCAGCTGCGCTCTGGGCCTGCGATTGGGCTTCCTTTGCCTTCCGTTCGGCCTCAGCAGCGCGAGCCTCCAATGCCGAGATCTTGGATGAGGCCCCTTCATTGGCTGCTTGAATGTCCTTTGTTGACTTTTCCAAGGCTTGTGATTCAGCCTCTTCTGCCTTCCGCTCGGCATCCGCAGCGCGAGCTTCCAACGCAGACATCTTAGAAGAGAAATCCTGCTTCAATTCTTCAGCGTCCTTTGTAGACTTTTCTTGGACGCTCTCAAGGTCTGACTTGGCGGTCGCGAGAGACTGCTTGAGATCAGCAATCTCAGCCTCATGCTGTGTCTTCACAGCAGCCAGATTAGATTCCAATGATCCGATCGTGTTCTTGAAACCGGTAACTTCGGAATTGTGTTGTCCCTTAGTGGAGGCAAGGGCGGATTCCAGACTTTGAAGCCTGTGCTGAAGATCCGCAACTTGGCCTGCATTGGATTCCTTTGACCGGCTGATGGCAGACTCCAAATCCTGAATTTTCCGTTTCAGAGCAGCAGCTTCACCAGCATGCTGTTCCCGAGCCTTCGAGAGCTCTGATTCCAGTCCACGAATGGTCTTTTGCATCCCAGCAACTTCTTGCTTATGATGTTCTTGTACTTTTGTGGATTTTCGCTCATATTCAGCCGATGCCTGCTTGAGCTGGTTATCGATGGCACGAAGTTGTTCCCCATGTTTTTTGAGTAGCTCGTTCCTTGATTGTTTATGCTGCTCTTCTAGCTTGAACACCTCCTGTCCATGTGACGACTGAAGGGACTGGAGTGCCTGCTGGGCTTTGGATAGTTCAACTGACCCTGATTCTTTCGTCTTTCGGTGATCCAGGTGTTCTTGGTCAAGTTTCCGTTGTATAGTGACGAGATCAGATTCCAGCTTTTGGATTGTTTCGCTTCGATCTTCCAACTCCGCACGCAAGGAGTCTACAAGGTCTCGTGAAACACCCTTTTCAACGCCATTGGCAACAACAGAGACCTCGAAGCCCGGCTCGCGGTCGATGGCTCGAATCAAGCGGCTGAAATTATCCTTGAGGAACTCAACAAATGAGCGATCGAAGAAAACTTCGGGCAGTCCGTCAACTTGCCCGGCAGCAGTTTGCGGCAAGACCTCAAAGTCACGGACCAAGGGACATTCTCGCAGCTTTGTGATCTTGTCAATGTATTGTTCTCTTCCAAGCTGCTCAATGAGCAGCTTGTGCAATGTGACTCGTGGGATAGGGGAATCCTTTGTTGAGAATTCGTAAATAATTCCCAACAGAACTGTGCAAAGACCGGGTATCAACTTGCTGGGAGTTCTTTGGTGCTTGATCTCCTGCAAGAGTGTCTGGATGCTGCTGCCTTCAACGAGAAGGTCATTCACAACGTCCGGATCTTCGAAAAGCCAGCCGCAGAGTAACATTAGATAGCCCACGGTGATCCTTTCATCGTCACCACGTTGTAACCCAGTGATCAAGTTCCCAACCACCGATTGGACACTGGTTATGACCTCTTCTCCACTTTCAGCATCGCCCTCTGTAACCTGCATGGCCGTCGCCTTTGCCTCGGCATCGTCGAAAATCAGATGGAACAACAGAACAGACGCCATCCAAACTTGATAGGGATCGGCATTACCTCTCGCGTCTGGTGCTGTGAGCAGGACAGATAGAATGTTGGGAATTCGATCTTGCCCGCTAACGTGGCCTTCGATAGCACGTCTAAGAACATGCATGCGAATCCCAGGATGATGGGCAAAGAATGCTTTCATGCATTCACAGGCGGCAAGACGTGCATCCAACATACTATTGGGAGAAGGCTGAAGGCTGAGCTTCAGGAATGCCTCAATGACATTGATCCGTTCTGGTTCCTCCGCATGACCATTGGCAGTCGTATCCCTTGGTGCTTGGGAGCCCCACAGGACCTCAATATCCCCGAAGCTCTCCTGCAATGGCGAGTTCCCACGGATAAGATCGGCACAGGTTGCCAAGGCCTTGGAGGTAACGTTGACGCTGAACTTCTGGCCGAAGGCTATGCTGAGAACCTGTTCCGTTACGCCATTCTGCCAGAAAGCCGTCTGGTTCATGGGCGTCCCCACGCCACCACGGATAAGGAATAGTTGAATGATGGCGAGAAGACCCCAGACGTTCTTGTCTCTGTGAACAATGGTCCATTGTGGGGGAGCATCTTCAGCCTGAGCTGGCTCTAGTTGGCATTCGAGAAGAAGCTTCGTCACCTTCTTCACACACCCAGTCTCGCGAAAGAACGACTGGTTGGAAACGTTGAACTTGAGGAGATGGGCGAGCAATGTGAGACAATCTTCGACCACTTCAGTCCCAAGGGTCAGGGCGCCCTCCGCTTCAATCAAAGAAAATATGATCTCAAACGAGTTCTCGAATGCGACAAGCTTCTGTAGCTCTTCTGAAGAGGGCGTCAAGGCGATGAGCAGAACGAGAGCCTCTATAGGAGAGGAAATGATTTGTCAATAAGGGCATCCAGAAGAAATCGGTTCAAGAGTAATGAAGTCATACCATTTCTAACAGGTTCCCTGTTATCCGTAAGCACGTTCACTAGCCTTGAAATACCCAATGGTGCTGTAAAGATGCACTCTTGTGTTCTTTCCGGCCTGGCACTACAGATTTGGGACATCAATTGTAGAGAGTACAGGCGCGAATAGAAGTCACGAGCCTCGAGTAAGTCCAGCAGAATAGTGATATTATCTTGACGCTAATGAAGCGTTAGTCTAGTCAAATGTTGATCGCCCGGGGTAGCGTACCTGAGTGAATTCATCTGCCAGCCAAAGAGCAATCTCATCTGACGCTTCGGGCTGCAGGAGCTATCAGCTTCTACTATCCTCAAAAGATCTCAGCCAATGTGATCACCCACACTTGTCTCCTCCGGAGTAAACAGCATCAACAAGGTCTCAAGGACCACTTTGATGGTGTCCACATCTTCCCGATCATTGTGCAAGCAGCCGATCAACGATCGGAGACCTCCCGAAGCTACCGATGCAGGATAGAGCTTCGCGAAGCTTCTCAGACCCTGGATCGCTGCACGCCGATCCTCCAACAAGGTTGCACTCTGCAACCTACTGCTCAAAACATCGATTGTATCCGTTGCCGTTTGTTTGGCCGGAGCTTGCGATTCAAGGATTCGAAACATCGCAGCTGTGTCGCAATTTCATGGTCACTGCTGACCGTGGGCAAAGGAATCGGCAGGCATTGAAGGAAGGTGAAAATCCGGAAGAATGTGTTCTGGGGGGATCCCAAAGGTAACTGATTTTAGAGCTGATTGCAGTAAAGTTGGCCTTCCCGCCAAAGGGGGCTGAGGCCGATCCTCGCCGGAAGCGCAGAACGGCCGACCGTCCGCCCACCCGACCGCCCGGGGACAATTGCAATTGTCGGCAGTCGCAGAGACTTCCGGCTTTATTTCTTGTCTCATCCCATTGTTCGCGCCGCAAATTCATACGCGGTTGCATTTATTCCTGTGTATTCTACTCGGTGTCGCAGATATCATAGGACTGAAATCCTACGGAAGGGTTTCTGGAAGTTCGCAGGCAGCCACTGCGCGAAGCGTGTTCCCCAGGTCGCTGTCAGACGCATTCGAGAGCGTCGCGCCAACCTCTACGAGACCTAACAGACAAGCGCTTGTCGCATAGTCAATATGGGTGTCCCCGCTCTCTTCCGATGGCTTTCCAACAAGTACCCGAAGATTATCTCTCCGGTTATTGAGGAACTGCCCCAAGAAGTCAATGGAGAGGAGATTCCGGTCGATACTACGCGCGCCAACCCCAACGGCGAGGAGATGGATAATCTTTACCTGGACATGAACGGCATTGTTCACCCATGTACCCACCCAGAGGGAAGGCCTCCACCTGCCAATGAGCAGGAGATGATGCTGGAGATCTTTAAGTACACCGATCGCGTTGTCAACATGGTCCGTCCGAGGAAATTGCTCATGATTGCTATTGGTATGTGCACATTTCGCGAACATGCTTTTTAACCCCATTTTTTTCTAAAGTGTTGTCCTACGAATCTTTATACTTACAAGCTTTGTTCAACAAACAGACGGCGTTGCCCCAAGAGCCAAAATGAACCAGCAGCGCGCGCGCCGATTCCGCTCCGCTCAAGAAGCCCGAGAAAATGACGAGAAGAAGGAGGAACTTCAGAAGCTACTCGACAAGCAACAAAGCAAGAAGACTGGTGATGCCGCTATCAGAGAAGAAGTCATCCAGAAGACCTGGGATAGCAACGTGATCACTCCTGGAACTCCCTTCATGGACATTCTCGCTGCGTCGCTGCGCTATTGGATCGCCTACAAGCTTAACACTGATCCGGCATGGGAAAAGATGAAGATTATCATCTCAGACGCGACAGTTCCTGGAGAGGGAGAGCACAAGATTATGGAGTTCGTGCGTTCTCAGCGCGCGTCTCCTGAACACGATCCCAACACCCGCCATGTTATTTACGGCCTTGATGCGGATTTGATCATGCTGGGTCTGGCTACTCATGAACCTCACTTCCGCGTTCTTCGTGAAGATGTCTTCTTCCAGGAGTCAAAGCCTCGGACTTGCAAGCTCTGTGGTCAACCTGGGCACAAGGCTGAGGAATGCACGGGTAAAGCGAAGGAGAAGAGTGGAGAGTTTGATGAAAAGCAACATGCTTCTCCACTGAAGCCATTCATCTGGCTTCACGTATCCGTCCTCCGAGAATATCTGGCTGTCGAGCTGCAGGTTGCTCAGCAACCGTTCCCCTTCGATCTTGAACGGGCACTGGATGACTGGGTTTTCATGTGTTTCTTCGTTGGAAACGATTTCTTGCCTCATCTGCCTTCCCTGGATATTCGTGAAAATGGTATCGATACTCTGATTGCCATTTGGCGCGACAACATTCCGTCTATGGGCGGATATCTGACCCAGGATGGCCATGTTGACATGAAACGGGCTCAGCTGATTTTGCAGGGTCTGGCTAAGCAAGAGGACGCTATCTTCCGCCGCCGTCGGCAGGCGGAAGAAAGAAAGGCGGCTAACGAAAAGAGACGCAAGGAGCAAGATCAAGAGCGTGCCCGCAAGCGCAGACGTAGTTCCCCTGTCTATGACGCCAAACAAAACCGCTCGAAGGGCGAAGCTGACCCAGACCCAACTGCGGGCCTGGAGCTCATCACGCCCTCTCGTGCACACTTGACGAAGGAGGACAAAGACTTAACTCACAGTATGATTGTCAACCGCGGGGCCATTTATCGTGCCAATATGGAGAACAAGAGCGCCGCCGCTGTGTTAAAGAGCAGGCTTATGAAGGGCGGCCAAAGTGAGCCAGCAGCCGAGGAAACTCCTGCTACTGCGGAGAACGGGGAAGACGCCAACGAGCCGACATCTCCCTCCGTCCTCGGGAAGAGAAAGGCTGGTGAATCAACCGAGGCAACTGAGCAGGAGACGGAGGACGCTGGAACTCCTGGTAGAGATTCACCTGCCGTACCTCCCCCGAAGCCCAAGGATGATGAAATGCCACCAGATACCGTCAAGCTCTGGGAGCCAGGTTATGCTGATCGATATTACGAGCAAAAGTTCGGTGTTGATCCCCAGGATCATGAGTTCCGTCACAAGGTCGCGCGTGCGTACGCCGAGGGTCTCGCTTGGGTCCTCCGCTACTACTTCCAGGGTTGTCCTTCGTGGGATTGGTACTACCCGTACCATTATGCTCCGTTCGCTGCCGACTTTGTCGATATTGCGGATATGGTCATTCAATTTGACAAGGGCAAGCCATTCAGGCCCTATGAGCAGCTGATGGGAGTCTTGCCAGCATCGTCGAACCATGCACTACCCAAGGTCTTCCATGATCTGATGAGCAACCCGGAAAGTGAGATCATCGACTTCTACCCCGAGGATTTCGCTTTGGATCTGAATGGCAAGAAATTTGCCTGGCAGGGTGTGATTCTTCTTCCCTTCATTGACGAAAAGCGTCTGCTGTCTGCGATGGAAAAGGTGTATCCTCTTTTGACAGATGAAGAACGAAGCCGGAACACACACGGCCAGGAAGTGCTATTACTTTCGGAACAGCACTCTCTCTATCAAGACCTTGTCGGCAATTTCTATTCGAAGAAGCCTGGGCCGCCTGAATACAAGCTCAACATGCGCGTGAGCGATGGTCTGGCTGGCCTGGTTGAGCGCAATGACACATATATTCCCCATGGGTCTCTCGTTTCGCCCCTGCAGGAGTACGGCATGCCGAGTCTCGATGACGATCACTCTCTCACGTAAGTCGTTTTGTCACTTCCTTGCAGTAAATTGTCCTTTGCTAACAATCTTTCCAGTGTCAACTATAAGATCCCCAAGTCATCTCATGTGCACAAGTCCATGCTACTTCGTGGTGTCAAGTTCGCGACGCCGATGCTCAACTCCGCCGATATTCGCGCGGTCAAGGGCCGGGCCCAGCATTCAGGACGGTCATACGGTGGCGCACCTCTTAACGGCCGCGGGCGTGGTGGTCATATGGATTACTCGTCAGACCGGCCGAATCCATTTGCCGCGCATCTTGACCCACGCTTCATGCACGCCCCTCCGGGCGGTATGCCACCGATGCCCTCTGGCTGGGTTCCTCCCGTCCCAGGGGCTGGTGACTACTCCAGAGGACCCCCGGGCCTCCCCGTGGCGGCATGTCCCATCAATATCCGCCACACCAAGGTGGTGGTCAATATCAAGGCCACCAAGGATACAACCAGGGACACCACCAAGGGTACCAGGGATACCAGGGACAGCAAGGAAATCAAGGCCAACAAGGATACCATGGCGGCTACCAGGATCGGGGTAGAGGCGGAGGCGGCAATGGCGGTTATCGTGGAGGCAGGTTCCGCGGCCAGAACCGCGATAACTATGGCGGCCACCGCGGTGGAGGTAGTGGAGGGGGCTACGGTCGTTACTAGAGGAGATAATGGAGTCACAGCTACTCTATTATCCTCGCAATGAATCTTGCTGTATCTACTAGCATATTCCAGGGATAGGCAAAGGGATTGGATAGGAAACGGCGTTTGAGTATTGTAAAATGTTCTTTTTTCTTTAAAAAAATTGGTGCATGGATGTTTATTCCACAATGCATTTGATTCCTTGATACCGACAGAGAGAGTTTGTAAAGCTTCTGATCGCTGATGATCTACATGGCTCTAGCTGTAGGTCTAATTATAGAGGGATTCGAATTACCTTCTAGTCGTGGGGTATCTCAGACCACTTGCGAGGGGTAATCCATTGCCAGTGTCTAGGTCAATACATCATTGGACTTGGCTATATCAACCATGTGAGGTGGATATCAATAATCAGCCTCCATCAACAGGATCTTCTCTGTAGATCTATAGTTTACACTCATGTAGTGACCTGTAGCACATGACCAGTCACTCTTGCCTGAGTGGCCCGCATCCGCACTGACTCAGAGGGCGGTGAAGTCAAAACTGCCGCGAGATCGGAGGGCAAAAGAATTATTGAGTCACTCAGCTGGACTCACAAGCATCTTCCTGGCCAGTTACAATTGCTGGGTGAAACGCTGACTCTCGGTCCAGGGTTGCAGGTAAGCTCAATCATCTTTCATCCCGGCTGCCTATCTCAACTCCCTATTTCCTCTCTATCTCTCTTTCGCGTTTGTGTGCACCTTGCATTACTAGCTCCGCTTGTGGGGGTTGAATAGCAAATCCCCCAACAGGTCAATTCAAGTCAAGTTGGGAAAACTAACAATCCACAGCATGAATTGAGTAGAGAACAGTTCCCTCAATTGTCAATCGTTCTCCATCCTCGCCTGCCATCATGACCGAGCCCACCAAGATCAGCATCTTGGGTCGGGAGAGCATCGTCGCTGATTTCGGCCTGTGGCGCAACTACGTCGCAAAGGACCTGATCAGTGGCTTGCCCTCGACCACCTATGTCCTTATCACTGATACAAACCTCGGATCCATCTATACGCCGAGTTTCCAAAAGACCTTCGAAGCCGCGGCTGCCTCAATCTCACCTACCCCGCGCTTGCTCGTCTACCATGCCCCACCTGGAGAGAGTTCCAAGTCTAGACAGACCAAAGCCGATATTGAAGATTGGATGCTGAGCCAGAACCCACCATGTGGTCGGGATACCGTGGTCATTGCATTGGGTGGTGGTGTGATTGGTGACCTGACTGGCTTCATCGCGGCAACCTACATGCGTGGTGTCCGTTATGTGCAGGTCCCCACCACTCTGCTCGCAATGGTGGATTCCTCGATTGGAGGCAAGACTGCCATTGACACCCCTCTTGGCAAGAACTTGATCGGTGCTATCTGGCAACCGTCAAGGATCTATATTGATCTCGAATTCCTGGAGACACTTCCCGTGCGGGAGTTCATTAACGGTATGGCTGAGGTCATCAAGACTGCTGCCATTTCAAGCGAAGAGGAATTCACTGCGCTCGAAGATAATGCCGATATCATCCTCAGCGCCGCGCGCAGTGAGGCGAAGCCCGGCCAGGGCCGCTTCGACGGTATTCGCGATATCCTGAAGGCCCGCATTCTGGCCTCTGCTCGTCACAAGGCCTACGTTGTCTCCGCTGACGAGCGTGAGGGTGGTCTTCGCAACCTTCTCAACTGGGGTCACTCCATCGGCCATGCCATTGAGGCAATTCTCACTCCTCAGATTCTCCACGGAGAGTGCGTTGCCATCGGTATGGTAAAAGAAGCTGAGCTTGCACGTCACCTCGGTGTCTTGAAGGGCGTTGCCGTTGCTCGTATTGTCAAGTGTATTTCCGCCTACGGCCTGCCCACATCTATGAAGGACTCGCGGGTACGAAAGCTTACTGCCGACAAGCATTGTTCTGTTGACCAGCTTCTGTTCAACATGGCTTTGGATAAGAAGAACGACGGTCCCAAGAAGAAGGTTGTCCTTCTGTCCGCCATTGGACGCACCTACGAGCCCAAGGCTAGCGTTGTATCCAATGAAGATATTGGTGTTGTTCTGGCCCCCAGCATTGAGGTGCACCCTGGTGTCCCCAAGACTCTGAACGTGACTTGCGCGCCCCCTGGGTCTAAGAGTATCTCCAACCGTGCTCTTGTCCTTGCTGCACTTGGCTCGGGCACCTGCCGTATTAAGAATCTCCTTCACTCCGATGATACCGAGGTCATGCTGAACGCGTTGGAGAAGCTGGGAGCTGCCACTTTCTCGTGGGAGGAAGAGGGTGAGGTCCTTGTCGTGAACGGCAAGGGTGGAAACATCACCGCTAGCCCCTCGTCCCTGTACCTTGGCAATGCTGGAACCGCCTCCCGATTCCTGACTACTGTGGCTACGCTCGCTAACCCAAGCACCGTGAACGAGAGCATCCTGACCGGTAACAACCGTATGAAGCAAAGGCCCATTGGTGACCTTGTCGATGCTCTGACCGTAAACGGCGCTGGCATTGAGTATATGGAGCGCAAGGGCAGTCTGCCTCTGAAGATTACCGCCTCTGGTGGTTTTGCTGGTGGCGCTATCAATCTGGCTGCCAAGGTTTCTTCCCAGTATGTGTCCTCGCTGTTGATGTGCGCTCCCTACGCCAAGGAGCCCGTTACTTTGAGACTGGTCGGTGGCAAGCCCATCTCCCAGCCATACATCGACATGACGACCGCCATGATGCGTTCTTTCGGCATCGACGTCAAGAAGTCCACCATGGAGGAGCACACCTACCACATCCCTCAAGGCCACTACGTCAACCCCCCCGAGTACGTTGTTGAGAGCGATGCCTCCTCTGCTACTTACCCTCTGGCCATTGCTGCTATCACTGGCACCACCTGCACAGTCCCCAACATCGGCTCCAAGTCGCTGCAGGGTGATGCTCAGTTCGCCGTTGACGTGCTCCGTCCCATGGGCTGCACTGTTGAACAGTTGGATCACTCCACCACTGTCACTGGACCCGCTAATGGCATTCTCCGACCCCTGCCCAACGTGGACATGGAGCCAATGACTGATGCTTTCCTCACTGCCTCCGTCCTTGCTGCTGTTGCCCGTGGCGAGGGCTCGAACCACACCACCCGCATTTACGGCATTGCCAACCAGCGTGTCAAGGAGTGCAACCGTATCAAGGCCATGAAGGACGAGCTCGCTAAGTTCGGCGTTGTCTGCCGTGAGCACGATGACGGCCTTGAGATCGACGGCATTGACCGAACTACCCTTCGTCAGCCTGCCGGTGGTATCTACTGCTACGATGACCATCGTGTCGCCTTCAGTTTCAGCGTTCTGTCGCTTGTTGCTCCCAAGTCGACTCTTATTCTGGAGAAGGAGTGCGTTGGTAAGACCTGGCCCGGCTGGTGGGACACTAAGAAGCAGCTCTTCGGTGTCAACCTCGAGGGAAAGGAGCTCAAGGAGGACGAGCTGGCTGCTTCTGGTCGTGAGGAGCGTGCTAGTGCTTCCGTCTTCATCATCGGCATGCGTGGTGCCGGTAAGACCACTTCTGGAAACTGGGTCGCCAAGAGCCTTGACCGGCCCTTCATCGACCTTGACACCGAGTTGGAGAAGACCGAAGGCATCACCATCCCTGAGATGATCAAGCAGCGTGGCTGGCAGGGATTCCGTGATGCAGAGTTGGCTCTGCTCCAGCGGACGATGCAAGATCGCGCCAACGGCTATGTCTTTGCCTGCGGCGGTGGCATTGTTGAAATTCCGGAGGCTCGCAAGCTGCTTGCCGACTATCACAAGAACAAGGGTAACGTGCTTCTTATCAATCGTGATATCAAGCAGGTCATGGAGTTCTTGCAGATTGACAAGACCCGTCCTGCCTACGTCGAGGATATGATGGGCGTGTGGTTGCGCCGCAAGCCTTGGTTCCAGGAGTGCAGCAACATCCAGTACTACAGCCAGCACTCGAACACGACGGAGCTTGCCCTGGCCTCGGAGGACTTTGAACGTTTCATGCAGGTCGTGACCGGTCGGAAAGACAACCTCAGTGAGATCAAGAAGAAGAAGCACTCCTTCTTTGTCTCCCTGACTCTACCCAACCTGCGCGATTGTGGTGACCTCTTGCATCAAATCTGCGTGGGATCGGATGCCGTGGAACTGCGCGTTGATCTGCTCAAGGACCCCTCCTCGGGAAGCGACATTCCCTCTGTGGACTTTGTCGCCGAGCAGATGTCTTTCCTCCGCCGTCGTGTTTCGCTTCCCATCATCTTCACCATCCGCACGAAGAGTCAAGGTGGTCGTTTCCCTGATGATGCCCACGATGCTGCCTTGGCGCTGTACCGCTTGGCATTCCGCTCGGGCTGCGAGTTCGTGGATCTCGAGATCGCTTTCCCGGATGAGCTGCTCCGCACCGTCATCGAGATGAAGGGTCACTCTAAGATTATCGCTTCGCACCACGACCCTGAAGGCAAGCTGTCCTGGGCTAACATGTCCTGGATCCCATCCTACAACCGTGCTTTGGAGTACGGTGACATCATCAAGCTCGTCGGCGTTGCTAACGGCCTTGATGACAACACTGCTCTGCGGAAGTTCAAGAACTGGGCCGAGGAGGCACACGATGTGCCGCTAATCGCCATCAACATGGGTGACCAGGGTCAGCTCAGCCGTATTCTGAACGGCTTCATGACCCCCGTCTCCCACCCCAGCCTCCCCTTCAAGGCCGCCCCTGGTCAGCTCTCTGCGACCGAGATTCGCCGCGGTCTCGCGTTGATGGGTGAGATCAAGGCTAAGAAGTTTGCCGTCTTCGGATCTCCCGTCTCTGGCTCCCGGTCTCCTGCCCTCCACAACACCCTCTTCATTGAGGCGGGTCTTCCTCACGTGTACAGCCGTCTGGAGACCACCAATGTTGAGGATGTCAAGGACTTCATCCACGCTCCCGACTTCGGCGGTGCCTCCGTCACCATCCCTCTGAAGCTGGACATCATGCCGCTCCTGGACGAAGTTGCCACAGATGCCGAGATCATCGGTGCCGTCAACACCATTGTCCCCGTCCCCAACGGCGACAAGCCCCAGCGTCTGATCGGCTACAACAC